GGTCTTAAAAAAAAATCGATTTAATTCAATCAAAAGCTTTACGAATAATATCTGGTGCAATGAAATCCAGTCCCATTAATGCTCTTCAATTAGAATGTGGAGATCCGCCGCTCCACTTAAGAAGACAATATTTAGCTGATAGATTCCTGTTTCGTTGTTTACAATTTTTAAACCATCCTTTAATAACAAAACTACAAACCTTATGTCAAGTCATTAATTCATCTTCGTATTGGAAACTCAAGGAATTGCCATGTCTTGTTAAAAGTTACCAAAAATATCTTGCTATTGAAGCCCCCATGTATCGTTCCAAAACTCTTCCACTGTTTGAAACCGATTATAAAATCTTGACTCTTACACCCTCCATAAAACTCAATGTTGGAATAAAAAAAGATGAAATAGAGATTCATACAGCTTTTAAATTCATTATTGAAAATAACTGGGAGAATTGGCACTATATATATAGTGATGCTTCTAAACATACCAATAATAGTTGTGTTGGGGTTGGAGTATTTCATTCTCAGTATAATATTGTACAAAAAATTAAATTACCTCCTGAATCATCAGTATTTACTGGGGAATGTTTTGGTCTATTTCGCGCAGTAGAATATATATTATTAACAAACTTATGTAAAGCTATAATTTTTACGGACTCTCTAAGTTCTTTACAAACATTAGCACATTTTCCGCTTAAATCAAAATGTCAATATCCTATAATTTTAGAAATAAGAAAATTGTTATACAAATGCCAAGTTAAAAACATTACAGTAGTTTTTGCATGGATTCCCGGGCATAGCGGCATTAAAGGAAATGAAAAGGCAGACGAGTTAGCAAATGAAGCCGTGTTAAGCGGTGATATATATCCTTACACTAATTATTGTCACGATCTTCTTTCCTTGTCGAAGCGATATTTGAAAGAGTCCTGGGAACATTACTGGACATCTCCTAGCCTAGTGAAAGGAAAATTCTACTCCTCAATTCAACCGACAATTCCAAATAAGCCTTGGTACACTCAAGTCAATTTAAATAAATATTGTACTAGTTCTTTAATTCGTTTGCGATTAGGTCACTGCTGTTCTCCGTCTTTTCTGTTTAAGATTCATGTTGTAGATACTTCTTTATGTGCTTGTGGAACGGAAGAAGGAAATTTGAACCATATTTTCCTTTCTTGCCCATTATATGACCGCTCCTCTCTTTTTACTGATCTTCTATTGCTCCGGATACCTTTTCCTATTAATATACCATTCCTTTTAGCATATAACGACCCTTGTGTATATAAAACATTAGCTTCATTTATTCAGAAAAATGCTATAAAACTATAGTATAATTTGGTTAATAGGTTTATATATATAAATGTATGCGTATGTATGTGTGTATATATGGGTATATATATATATATATATATATATATATATATATACATATATATGTGTGTATATATATATATATATTATGTGTATTTGTGTAAATACGATATTAATAAAACTAAATATTCTGTAATTAATAATACTTTATCACATTGAATATATGTATCGTAAATCTTCTTGATTATTTTCCTTTTTCCAAATTCCGCTTCCTAGTCCTGTTGAAATAAATTTATATTTCAACAAAACCACTGTTTCCTTCCTTTTACTTGTCATTGGCATAAAGGATAACAAAATGCCACAATAAAAAAAAAAAAAAAAAAAAAAAAAAACAGTAAAAAAAATAAGTGTGTGATCGTGATACGAACCGCGGCCGTCAGTTTTGGGGCCGCCCGATTACCGACCGAGCTATTATAAAAATTTTTTTTGCGGCGAAATTTACCGTCATATTCGAATGATATTTTTAATTCCCTGAAAACAGGGATAAAAGGACATTTTCAAAAATTAAACAGCTAGATCGATGCTTCGTCCCCGAGATTCCGATTTATATATATATATGTCTCAATGAGTTGGATGTAGATAAAATGGTTCTACTGAAAAGTTTGGGTAAGTTTAAAAAATTTAATAATTCAAGTAGGCTAGTGTGGTTAAAGTTTACTTGAGTCGTAACGAGGACAAAATGAAAAATACATTGCAAGTGTTGTACAGGCAACGAGAGGCGTTTAAAGATACATAATTATGAACTTTTTGCATCTGTGGCGACCATAGGATGTAGCACTGCAGTGTGCGAATCTACGTTTTCAACTTTAACTGCAATCAATAGGCCTCAAAGGCTGTCAATGGCCTTTGGAAAAAAAAGGACAAAACCAGTTGATCTGAACGAAGTTTTACGAATTTTTAATAAATTACATGGCGAATCGAAGAATTCAGCTGTTTTAAATATATTTATTATTATGTTAATAATTATAATAGGTCTGCAGAAACAATTTGATATAAGTGGTATTTTTGGTCGTATCATCTCATCCAAAAATTAATTATTACCTCACTCTCACTCAGACGTGGATTTCTACATCCAAAGCTGGAAGTTCAACCATCTTTTTCGATTATTCTTCATCATTAAGGATTTAATAATGCTTATATCCATGCTCATGTTCTGTCACAGAAATTATTTGTCTACGAATAGCTATTGAACTGACCTAGAGGTCAGTGATATACATGATGATTGATTTAGAAGCTCATGCTAGTTGGGGCAAATATCCCTTTATGGCCAACCGCTCTCCTGGGAGAAAAAGGTCAAATACTTAGGAGTCACTTTCAACTCGCGTATGTCATTTAATACGCACATTAATAACGTTGCAATAGAGCCGCGTTCTTCTCCGGCCGGCCACACAATTTAACTAACGCTAAAAGTAAAATGCCCTTAAGGCACAAATTATTATTACATAAGACCTGCGTACGATCTATTATGTCCTACGCATGCATGACCTTCGCCCACACGCACCCTACTCGCTTGTACAAGTTGCAAATAGTACAAAATAAGTTCATAACCCGCGCAACCGGTGCGCAGTGTTATCAACGCAACGTCGACCTGCACAGCGATTGCAGACTCCCGACGATTCGCGAATATTTTAAAGACCTGACCAAACGGACCTGACAAAACGGACAAAGAGCCGAACATCATCCCAACCCTCTGGTGGTAAGCGCAGCAAATTACCAACCCGACACAATCGCGAACGTCAATAAACGTCCTCATCGACCCGAGCGACGAAGAGGACTTAGAGACGATGGACCCACCGCCGGGGACCGCCGGACCCACCCGCCGGATAACACTACACCCACAGTTAGTGCAACAACAAACACACTAGTTCACCCTCGCCTTCGAGCACGGCGAGACCAACACAACGGGTACACAAGGTACACCCGCGTTCCGGGGCGGTTCTCACCGCTCCCAGCCACCGATTAGCTAAATGCACAGTCGACGGCCATCGGGGTTTCGGTCCGAACCGCGACCTCGATGGCCCTTAGATGGCACACCATACTTAAAAGCACGCATGAGCACATGCATGGCCCTACCCACAGCGGAGGGCCCAAACCCGTGGGTTCTGGCTAGCCCACCGGTTCTGCGTCAAATGAAGTTTTAATAGTCTTGGGACTGAAAGTAAAAAACATCAGTTAATACAAGATACAAGGAGCTCATGCTTCGAGGGCAAATCAATGATAAATTTAATTTAATTGTTTCCTTCCGCCCTACCTGTAATCAATTTTGCCCTACCTCAAATTCAACTCTAGCTACAGCCCTGGTTTGACCCCGTTATCTTATACTACAGCGTCTTTGGTAGGTCTCTGGTCTACCCATAGTTTTTAGTGGTTTGATTTTAATACTAAGGTATTAAAATGAAACCACTAAAAATTATTACGTACTACAATCCTAGGTAATTGATTTTTATAGATATAATAGACATATAAACCTAGACCCTAGAAAAACACTAATAATATCCAGTATTTTTCTAGCAATAGGGATCGAACCCTCTGACACAAGAGACAGGTTCACTATCCATAACGCCAATCGGGTCATAAACCCCAAGATCTTGGTGTCCTGTTCGAAGCCATCCAACCACCTGATTTTGGGCCTGCCTCTAGTCCTGCGGCCCTCCGGCCGGCCTTTCAGAAGGCATTTGGGCCCTCTGGACTCGTCCATTCGCACCACGTGTCCTGCCCATCGCAGGCGTCCGATCTATATGAACCTGATGACGTATGGCTCATCATATAATTGGTACAGCTCGTGGTTGTAACGCGTTCGCCATCTCTCATTTTCCATCAAAGCTCCAAAGATACGTCTAAGTATTTTACGCTCAAATACCAACAAGGAATTTTCGTCTTTTTTGCTCAGTACCCAGCATTCAGAACCTTAAGTATGAGCCTTAGTAAGGTTTTGTACAAGAAGTTTTATGTTTCTTGAAAGAAGTTTCGAGCGCAAATATCTTAGCAGGCCGAAGTAGCCCTTGTTAGCGGAAATTATTCTTCTGCTTATTTCTGAAGATATATCGTTCTTAATAGTTACTAAGGGCCCAAGGTATACAAATTCATTGACGGTAGAGGTGTTATTGCCAATGTGAATTGCTTATAGTAGAGCTTGCTGGTGTTTTGAAGCTTTCAGGTACTTAAGTCTTGACCATGTTTGCCTGGAGACAGGCTTCCTCAGCTGATTTCTGAAGAGCAAGGTATGCACTCTCTATTGCAGGCAGGGATCTACCTATCACGTCGAGGTCATCTGCGTAACCCAGAATTTGGACGGATTTGTGGTAGATAGTCCCTTTGGTCTCGATTCTTGAGTCGCGGATACATTTGTCTTATATATGACAGACCAAAAATGTATAATGAAAACGGGCTATACAGGAATAAGATAAAAATAATAAATGAAACATAGATAAATGGTGTAATGCAATTCACTTTTAATTTGGAAAATTAAAAGTGAAATCAAGAGAATTTAAAATATAATTTTCACTTTACTTATTTATTACACACACTACATTTTTGTATAATGAATGCCTTTGTATTTACAATATGTGTAGAAACTAAGTGCAGTTATGCAAGAAACATTGAACTTTGTCGTGTAATGTGCATGTAATAAAAATATTAAAAATCTTCTAGATCCTCTTGGGATATATTCTGATCCGAATTTGTTTCATTCGCATGATTTTTTTCCGTTATGTCGTTGCTTTCTACATCGTTACCGCCTTGCTCTTTATCTGCCTTATTCTCATCAACATCATTTAAATTTCCTTCACTGTTAATGCTGTCGGACAAGGCTTGAATGTCCGCAAAAAGTTTCACAGTTTCCGCGTTTTGCATTTCATTGCGATTCGATTCCGTTGCTTGTTCTGGTTTTACTGTCTCAGTCTCGGTTTTTTTATTGGAGGTCGATTCTGTTGCGTCAGTGTTAATACCACCTACAGTTGTTTCCGTTTTCACTTCGGTCCCTGGTTTGGCATCACTAACTTCCTGAGCTTCGGCGGTTTTTACATCATTCGCTTCCTGAGCTTCAGCGGTTTTTACATCATTCACTACCTCAGCTTCTGCGGTTTTTGTATCAAACACTTTCTGAGCTTCTTCGGTTACATCAACTACTTCCTGAACTTCGGTTTTTGCAGTGACCACATTTTGAGTTTCGTTCTGAGCTTCTCCATTTTCATGAGCTTTAGCCTCTATGTCAACCTCTTTCTTAGATTCAGTTTTGACTTCCAAATCTTTCGGAACTTCGGCCTCGATTCGATCGACATTGGTTTTGTCATCACATTTACTTGAATTTTTATCTTTTTTATCATCATCACTTTGATCATCATTAGTATGAAACTCGTCACCAAAGTTATCGTCATCATCCCCATCTTCGGGAAAATCAAATTCTTCACCAGCGCCCTCTTCGTCACCGAATTCTATCTCATCGTCAACATCCTCATTGCCAATTTCCTTTGATTTCTGATTCTGCTTAACATTTACTTTATCCTTCTTCTTCATCGAAGGTCTACCCATATGTAACGGTCTAAATATAATAGTTTGTCCATCTGGAACAGACATAAGGAAAGTATTATTAAATGTTTACTAGGCAACACTTCATTTATTAATTTAATTGCCCCATCGTGACCATATTTAGTATCTTAAAATCACTATTAAACAAGCTTATCTTGTCATTTCTAGGGTTGCTACCTGTTTAATCCAGTCAATTGTATTCCAAATCTAATAAATAAAAAGGGGCCACGCAAGTCTTCGCTGTTACACGAATGGGCATGTCCGTCCGGGGAAGTACCATGACCTCATAGAAGACCGGCGTGAAAAAATATAAATATCATTTGCGCTGCCCTCTGATCGCAAGCTCTTACGATACATACATTTCCAGTTCACTCAGTACCATACTCAAAGATATATTAGCCACCAAAAGAGAAAAATTACATGTTCCATGGTCATCTTATGTACATGTGACTTACCTACGATGAATGTCTGTTGATCACACAGATGGTCGTATTGCTCATAAGTTCGGCAGGTCGCTATGTACTTGTTCTTCCCCATTGACTTCCTGAATGTGACTATTCCCAAATTTTTAAGCTGCCGTTTGACTTCCTGCGAGTTCACTTTTTGGTCGGTGAACACACGCAAAGGAAGATTGCGTGCAATGTTCAGGAGGCGCTTACTGATATTGAGCTTCATTACCTGTGGATGCAAGAGTGCAGAGAAATTGACAAGGAGTGTGAATGTATTGAATGTACTGCTGTGGTGTAAAGAATATGATATGCATACATTACAAAGAACAATGCCCATTTTTGACCTGATTGTGTATAGAAGTGAAATAAATATTAAAATTTAGCTAATTTTATTTTATAGTAATTACACTAATCACAATGTTAAAAGAAGGTCGGGAAAAAAATATTTTTTGATATTTCTTTACGCTTATTTTAGTTACAGGGTAAACATATTACCATGTTTTGAACGCACCTTAACAATCCTTTGCATAGGACGTTCCATTTTTCACACTACCTATTTGACTGTATTCTACTTTTTCTGAATTTTGTACGTGATTTTACGTTTTAGAGAAGTGAGTAAGCACGTAATTAACAGTATTTGTATAAAAATTAAGATCAATCTTATTAGTAGTACAGATTTATTAAAAAACAAAATAATAAATTATTAATGCAGCATGTAATAAAGTTCGCACGGCTGCGTAAATGGATTTTTTTGTCATTTGACAGTTCTGCGAGAGATCTGTGATTCATACTCATTGGTATTCGCCAGTAATAGTGAGTATTTATGTTTATTACTTTTAATCTAAAAATATCAATCACGTCCTAATCAAACTAACAAAGCTCCTATAAATTATACCTGTGACATAACACAAACAACTGTTCAAAAGATCTATATATCCAAAATGTTTTTTTTTTATGCGAAAAGTTGTCAAACGAGCAGACGGTTCACCTGATGTTAAGTAAATACCGCCGCCCATGGACATCTGCTACACCCGAGGGTTACAGATGCGTTGACAACCTTTTGAAAATTGCGCTCCGGCTACCTCCTCACTCACCAGACGAAACGCGAAAGTAATTGTCATACTTCCACTTTACGCTGGTCTTCTGTGAGGTCGTGGTACTTACCCGGACGGGCCTGCCCTTTCGTGCAACAGCCGAGGCTGCTGCGTGGCCCTACCACCGTAAATGTATTATATAAACTCAATATATGTTTTTTATTTCAGATTACTGAGGAAGATTACATTTGTAAATCTTGTAATGAACTCTTTATGAGAAGAATAAACCAGAAATTAACAAGCTGTGATGTTACTCAAGATTCAGGATTATCTCAACCAGGTCGAAGAACACAGTTTTTGATAATCCTTCAGAAAAGCAAAGACAGATAAATGCTATTATTCAAACAAGTTCACAACATCACATATTCATGTTTCTACATTGTTAATCATTTGCCAGTATAAAACTTGATACTATTACTCTAGATTATTTCTCTTTTGTATTTTAGATGTAAATTATTATATCTGTTATTAATTGACTGATGCTGTAATAATTTTAACCACAAATAAATACATAATCAATTTTTTTTTAAATATATTTTTAAGATGAATAATAATTATTGCCTTATTATTTCTTTTGTAGATATCATCATCTGACAGAATATGCCATTCATGCTGGATGAGTTGTAAGAGCGCTGCCACACATATTAGGCATGTTGCTGAAGTTTGAGGTGTTTCAACTACTGAAGATAATTTATTTTTTATGTTTCTGAGATTAAGTTATTAGTGAACTTATACTATTTGCATTAGGTACCAAATAAGGCAAGCCAAATCCTATTATGGCAAACATATTCGCTTTCATGGATCATATAGAATAGAAATATGTAGGGACCCAGGAGTTTTCTAGGAATAATCTGAGAGGAAGTAGTGACATAACACTAATAAGAGGAAAAATTAATTCCTGGCACATTTAAAGAAAACAATATTATGTCTACATTTTAATAGAAAATAATGTGTCTGGCAGAGCTAGTATAGTCGAATACTGTTGTAATTGTTTAGTTGGTTGGCGAACCATAGGATGTTGCACTCATGTTATGACTAGTGTGGTACTTCGGATGAACTATCAAGAAAATACCTCTGTTATAGCAGAATTTCTGGATAACATAGTTATAAGACATTTAAGTGAAGATGATGATAATTAATAAATCATTCCACTGTAACATAGTGTTTTATTTTTTCCCCCGTTTTATTCATCAGGTATTATAATTATTATTATGTATTGTAGTGCAGGCCAATGAAATGTGTAGGGCAGATAAATGATCACTTACGTTTTTTTAGTAAGTACTTATGTGAGCTGTTGAAACAGCAGATAATGCTCTTCACTCAATTTATAGTGACAATAAGCGAGTCTAAGCAGTGACGTAAGGGCCGTAGGTTTCTAGGAATTCACAAGTAAAAAAAGACATTTTAGACCTTAGATAGGCTAATATTATTATTTTAGAATAAACTTGAGCGTAAATAGTTACTTCTAGCACATTTAATTCGTTATATTGGGTACTGCAAATCCTAACCTAAAAAGTAACATTTTTTAATAATTTTTGGACTTCGTAGACCAGCAATCGTAAAAATGATTATATGATATTAATTTACTAACTTAAAGGTAGTCTTTCTGCTATACCCTGTAACTATACATACACTTTCATTATCAGGTTTTTAAATGTATGGGAAGTGGGCATTGTTCTTTAATTAACATTATAATACCCATTTTAACTTTTATATATTAATTGTAAATTAAAAATATTTATTAAATAAAGATAATCTGTCCAACCATACCTTTTCAAAATCTTCTATTGTTTTCATTATTCGCAGGCAGATGTTCTGCTCATCTTGATTTTCAGCTTTCTGACATTCCTCTCTAAACTGTAAAAAATTTAATGAGAATATCTTTACAATGTCAATAACATGCATGGGCATAGACATAGAACAATTTAGAGATTGAAATGAGAACTATGATGATTTTAAATATATTATTATTATTATCTTAATGAAGATAGTCCCCACTCCATGAATATAAAGAACAATGACGAAATATTATTTAAGGAAAAAATTTAGCGTTTAAAAAATTTATATTCAGGCATATAATAGAATTATTTTCCACGATTTTACAACAGCCTTTCATTGATCTCGATCTTACAAGTGTCTATTACCAGTCTACATACAATATCTTGGTTTTTTTTTTTTCTATTACTTATTACTGTAAATTAAAGTTCTTACCAAGTAGCACAAAACTTCAACCTCTTTATCTAAGGCGTTTTTCAGCTGGGGTTCGAGTTTGTGCACGTAGACATCTTGCTCACTTTCGTCCAAACGCTTCAATTCTAGAATAGTTCAAAAGTTAGCAAGCAATGGATGGCCTATATAACAGCTCATATGCTGCAGCTCATCGGGGAAGAACAGCAGCTTGGAACGAGGTGGCGGCATGAAGTAAAAGTATTCGTGGTTTGCGTCCAATAATTGTCATTTTTGAAGTTATACTTCTTTAGGCGCGTTATGAAAAAATGATGACAGTGCAATTTTAAGATACTCGCGCATCACTAACACAAAAGTAACACCTTTGAAGCTGCCCGCTAAACCGCTTATTTTTTTATAGATGGCAGCATATTCTCAATCACATTCGCCCGTCACAGTTCTCAATAATGTAGATCGCGCTTTCATAATTTTATTATTTATACACGTTTACAGACTTTTTATTATTTTATTGTAATTGATTATTTGCATGTAATTAAAAACTATTTTTAATGATGCCAAAGAAGTATAACTTCTCACGCGCATACATAAGTACACGCTCCCATTTTATTCAATTGGTACCCTGCTCTCGTAGAGTGCGAATTTTTCTTGTTTCGACTGATTGAATATATCCTTAAAGAGCTTAATCACCGTCAACACAAGTACTTGTGCTCGCTTCTTCAATTGTGCGGGCCTACCAAATGTGTAGGGTTACTTAAAGCACATGGAATCTGTCTGTTCCATGAGGTCTGTGATCGGTGAAACTTTAATAGTCTATAGACTGAAGAGAAAAGGTAAGAAAAAAAGAGAAGAAGAAGGGAAGAGAAAAGAACGCTGGTGACCATTCTACCGGACCTTACCCAATTACAGTGTCATCTAAATAATAAGAAATAAATTTGTGATTTTATGACCATGACCATGGCATTTTGAGACTTCTGCCATAAAATAATTTGCGTACATTAGAAACTAATTGACGTAATAAAGACTGGCAAAGGTGTTTTTTCTGCAGTTGCAATAAACATAGATAAAGATAAATACAGACTCACTTTTATACTCCATTTTATCTGCAAAAGAATAAAATGCAACTTTAACATATTAGAAATAAACTTGAAAAAAATAATACTATTGTTTAGAATATTATTTAACCATTTTAAAGGTTTTTTTTTACCACAAAACCATAGAAAGGTCCCTTTAAAAGACTGGATACAATGACCGACAATGATTTGTGAAACTTTTAGTACTAACAACATAGATATAAATCCAGTATTAGAACTATGTTGTCCTTTTTAATCAATGTCGGCACCATGTCAAATACATGTCAATTTAGTAAAGTAATAAACAGAAATCAGCAGAGACTCACCGCCATTCGGGTACTTAGGAAGAATATCGGTCAGTGGCGGAGCCTTGGTGGGTTGGGTGTTCGGGTTTGGTTTCTTTTGGTACTTAGCCTTTTTCGGCAGATTTCCTTGGGCTGGTGCGGGGGCGGGTCGTTTCGATGCAGCCTTCACCTGACTGCCCAAGCGCTTGACTGCAAAAAAAGTCATGCCTCAAGGCTAAATTTACCTTTGAGCAGTGGAATACATAGAAAGAGCTAAGCATCAAGATCATCATCTACCACCTAAGATGCCATATACAGAACTGCTGATTATTGTTGCTTATCTTTATATCATATTTTTTTTTAGCTGCTCGCGCTTGCGTGTACTATGCAAGTTTACATTCGTATATCAGGAATTAGAATCGCAATGAACAGGTTCATAAAGCTACTTTTGACAATAATGGGACTTAAAAGAAAATATAGTTGCAGACACTAGCAAACTGAACTACTACATAGAATTGAAATTCAAATATCATTAACAAGAACAAAACATCATTCAATATTACAATCAAAAAATATATTTTACAATTTATTAATAGGTAAAAAGACATTTTTATGAAGTTTTGCACAAGACTTTTTACAATATTTCTAATTTGTACAATGGCTTAGTTGCATTTATGGAACTTTAGTAAAAACTAAACCCTTAGTTTATGATAATTCTCTAATAATGACTGACATAAGGGCTTTCCAAAAAACACATGCCGCTATTTATGTCAATTAGCTGATATGAAAACAATATGAGCTGAATTCAGGATCGTAAACAATAAATACTTACTACCTACAAGATTGTAAATAGTAAAAAGTTACTTATTAGTAGATAAAATGAATTATGGAATTGTGAATGTATATTCCACAATATGAACCGCTCAGAGATCAAAATTGTTTACGATTATTTTCTGATTCTTTTTTTCAATTATCAAGAAATTAACATATCTCTAAGAATTTTTTTACATTACTTTTTAGAATGATTCTTTTAATTTTAGTTGGTGCTTTATAGTTTTTGGCAAGCATCTGACTCCCTATCAAATTATATTCAGATAATGTGTGTAGTAATTTAACATCTATCACTTAAAAGCGATAAAATTAGATGAATTTTAAAGCTATTCTTTGATTGGTTCACAGTCCATAGATTGAGTCGTCCTAAAACAACTCACTGTCTAAGCATGGCGAAATTTTCTTTTAATACCAATTGTTGTCAAAAAGTGGTAAGACATTTTTATGGTAGACTATACTTACATTTATAAAAAAACCTGAACTTAATTTAAAGGGATTACAAATGAATATGGTTATTTTAAGTAGTTGCATTTCTTATAATTTTAAGAAAAGTATATGAAATTAAAATTTGAATAAGTCGGCTGTAGTTTTATATTTCACAGCCAAAAGTGACACTATTGCTGACTGGAAGGGCTGGTCTTAAGGCAAAATCCCAGTCATTTCCCAGCAATTGCTTACATTTCACAGCTGGGTATGGGGACTGTTACTGACCATGTACGATGGTACCTATTGTATCTAATTAATAGTAACAGGTTGTTTAAGCACCACTAATGAGCATGACTACACCACTATAAAAGGCACAATCATGTATCCTCATTGTGGTTTTGTGGATCTCCGTGTATTCTAATGGTTTCATTAGCAAAATAAACCTCTTTCTCTCTCTCCCGTCCGATATTTGAAACACCACAATTCCTGGTCACATCTGGGCGCTAGTGTCGAATTATAAAAATACCAAGTCAAAAGTTAGTTTTGACTGAGCATCTGTCACCATCCCCCATATTTAGTTAAATCTCACCTATGAGATGCGTGAAAGGATTGTGATAAGGTATAGAAGACACGGGATCCACTGAGACCCCTGGGAATCGAACCCTGGAGACGGGACATGCCTGGACCAGCTAATGCGTTGCCAAATACCATCTGGTGGAATCGCAACAACGTCGGCTAACGTCGGCGGCAAAACATAATAATATGATTCTAGTCGATACTTCGACTAGGTTCATATTCAAAATCGTGCGATGTCAAAAGTTTCCATCTTTTCCTTACACCAGATGTTACGAGGAAAAGATAGTTGCGTCATAATGTCTGACACTCCATCGGAGTGTCGGGCAAAGTGTCTAAGGCGCGTTATGAAAAACGTGCCAGCGATTTTTACTTAAAATCATAATTTAATGGTCTCACCTGTTTCATCATATTCCTCCATTGTAATCTCACCATTTTCAACCCTCGACCACTCGTATTTCTTTCTAATGTCAATAATGAACGATCTCTGCATCACCGGGGGATTCCTCCGCTTGTACTCGTTAATTATTTCTGTCAGGGGCACGGCTTTCCGCTTGCCCAGCATGCCGTCTATTCGCGCCCTTACCAAAGGCTTGGCGTAACTCAAAAGACACTGTCTCTTAACAAAGTCGTGCATGCCGCTTTCAATCAGGAGATCTTTCACTATGGCGGAGACTGCCTGGCCACGCCATGTCTCGTCTTTGTTCTTTAAAGCCGTGTACTTATCCGCTTTCGTCTGCACCTTGGGCGGTTGGGGGTTTTTAGGCTGGTTCCACGGTTGTTGGACCGGCGCGTTGCGGTTCACTTTGAAGTCCTGGCTCCGGCCGTAGGGGGTCTTGTGTGTCCACCCAGGATTGTTAAAGGCTTGCCTCGGCTCCTGGCGGTTCTGGTAGCCGCCGACCGAGCCGCCGCCACGCCCTCCCTGACCTCCCTGGCCCATCGCCCTGACTCCCTGACCTGAGTAACTCGGCCCGGAGTAATTGTTTCGGACGCCGGGGCGATGGAAGCGGGACGTGTCGTCGGCTCGCGCGTGGCTCCTATCGTACGGGGCGTCCGATCGAGCGGGACGATCGTCGTATTGACGGTCGAAGGTGTTCTGGAAACGTCCAGAACTGCCGCCGTCGGCGGTTCTGTAGCGATCGTCCATGTCCCGATCGGACGAACGGTAGTCGTTACGCGCATTGCCAGAGTTGTTGGAACGCCGATCGCCGCTGACCGACCGCCTAGCGAACTCATCGGGACGACCCCATTGGCCGAATCGTCCGTCACCAGTGAAACTGGAATGGCGCGAGTCGCGATCGTTCATCAGTGGCGCCGGAGCTTGGTCGTCCTGTTTCCAGTTAAAGTATCTGTCGCTTTTACCGTCGTCGTAAAAGTCCTTCTTGAACTTATCCGCGAAGGGAATGTAATCCGGTGCGGGGGGAGCGACCGTCTGTTGCTGGCTATTGCCAAAGCTGGGCTGAACACAGTAATTCATTTTGGTATTCTGTGGACAAAACACGTTCACAATTTTACACATCCGTAGCGTGTTGACGTGGACGGCCGTCAACTATCGACTTCAAGTAATGTTATTACGGAAAAACAATGCCATGGGTTGGAGCTGCATGATATATTAACGGACCGCATGGACGATGACCACGTCGAAAGTTTTTCCCTACCGGCGTGGTCCGGAGCTCGTACGAATCAAAGACAAGTCAAATTTCAATGGATTTGGTATCCTTGACTGGTGAACAAGCCGGTTCAACTAAGGTTTTAAAAAATTAAATGAATTTAATTTTTTGACCACCTTGTTCGATTGTTCACCGTAAGATTCGAAAATACGGATGTGTAAATTAGATAAACGAAAAGTTAGCGCTCAGCTTTTGCCTTTCCTTGGGATTAAACTTTCACCTGGGAAGGTTTAAAAATCAAGTGCCAGCATAGAGGATAAAATGATCAGATCCATAAAATAGAGCAGCACTTGCAATTGTTGCCTTGGGCCGAGAATTCATGATTCGGGAACACAGGACCTACTCATAGAAGGCGGGAAGCCCTGTCCTAAGTTTGTTTTTAAATATCATTCTCAGCCCAATTGTAGACAACAGTGACGACAAATTAACAGTCCATTAACTAATAGAATAAATTAACAGTCCAACAAATAAACATTGACCATAGAGAAATTCAACCCCTCTTGTATATTAAATGGTTCTATGCCCTGAACCCATATTCCCAAGAGCTCATTTCTCCCAATATTTCAAGTAGTTCCAGGCAATTTCTTTATTGTCCAAACAACAATATATATAATAGATAAGTTTCTAATAATGAAGTCTAGTAGGTACATGTTTAATGTAAAATGTAAACATAACATAATGGAAGGAGATGTCCAATTGCTAAAAAAATTGTGGCATCCAACAAATAAAGTAAATTAGTTCAACAAAGAAACTTTGAATTTACTTACTTGTTTCAATATCTATTTACAGAAGCAACAGGGAGAAAAATACAGACTAAGCATAATTCAACTAATGCATCCTGGATTGATTCCAATGGAAACATTTATATGAAAGAAATAAACAATCTGTATGAGATTATGGAAAAATACATTGATCAAATAAAAAACTAGTGTGTGTCAAGCATCTTATTGAGATTGGAAATTGAATAAACTCCGGTTAAAAAGTTGTAAGATAAGACAATCTATCAAGAATCTGATGATTTAAGTAAGAGGGGGAAAATTGTTAACTGCAAATTTTGACATAAATAAATAGTATTAACTAATGTCAAATACCTATTGTTAGTATAATCCAAATCTAACCTAACTAACCAAATCTATCTTTAGATAAAATATTGGAAGCGGACATAAGTTGTACTACACTACTATAGCGAAAAACTATTAAAAATATGAGTGAAATGTTAATATCACCTACCTGCATCATATTCATATTAGATAAGGAATAATTTCCACCTGCAGACTCGTTGTAAGTGAGTGCATGCTTTGTTTGCATCATATTAGTTTGATCTTGAGCCATTGGTAACTCAAAATGGATACCAGAATCCTATAAAGTGCCAAAAATTGTTAAGAATGATGAAATGTAACATAATATTTAAAGATGGTAAAAATCATCAAAAAATAGTAATTCCTGTATGTAACATGACTACCAACATTACTAAATGAAACTATTTTTAAAATATAATTTAAATTTTTTTATAGTGCTAATCTCTGCAATTAAGATTAAACATTAAAAGTTGTAGGAAAAAAAGGAACGAAAAGTTTCTCGCTGCTGTGGGAATCGAATCCGCGTCATAACACTCAACTGATTGCCACACCAACGAAATTCTCAGTCCTTTATCTATTTTGTTTTTTTTAACATTAAAAGCAATGCTTGGTGCATCAATTGTTATATCCTTTCCAGCATACAATTTCGAATATCGTTTTACAACGATAATTCAAATGAGAGATGTCGCCAGTGCTTTTTTAGAAATAAAAATTTTTGTTAGGCTTATCTCTGCACTTGAGATTAAACAAGTGTAGTAGTATTGTAGTCTGTGGGATATTCGTTCCTTTTTTTATGTTTACTCTTAAGTGCAGATTGTCAGTGGGGCAATCAGCCGTTTAGTTTAGTGGCTAGAGCGTCAGGGTGCGAATCCCGAAGACGTGGTTTCCATTCCCACGGCGGCGAAAAAGTCTTTGTTAAATTTGCAACCATTGAAGAGGCTTCAACACTCTTAGTGAAGATTTGAGAATGACAAAAATGAGCTTCGATTTCTTTATGAAAAATTATCCGTTCATGTAAATCATATTTTAAAGAGGCAAATTGCTAACGCCACCGCTGAATATCAGTCTGAATTGCAGCTTTTAAACACTGCCAAGCAAGAAAAAATTACAAAATTCATTATACCATTGCCTAAGCTAGAATAATAATAGTTAATCAATATGGTCAAGAATTTCAATTAAATTTAGTTTTAAACGTTTTTTAATTTTTGCCACCTACAGAAACCCTTATCCTCAATTCGCAAAATGTTATATGAATTTCCCAATTTTCAATATGTTGTCAATGCATCTGGAACCCTCGAGTGCAGCAGATGTCCATGGGCAGCAGTATTCACTTAACGTCAGGTGAACCGTCCGCTCGCTTGACAAGTTTTCACATAAAAAAAGTCCTAATCCCTTAAGACAAAGCTTAATATAATACTTAATAAACATAACGAAAGTATACCTTAGTTTTACGTAGGTCTTCTACAATCAGTTTCCGTCCACTTAGTACCAATCCATGTAGTTCTTTAAATACTATAGCAGCGTCATTTTCATCAGTCAATCCTATAGTCACTTTTCGGGTAAGCGTAGTTTCCATCATAAGGTTATCTAATATTATATCAGTCAAGTTGCATCTATCTTTTATAAGATCCTTAACATCATTATACCGCATCTAAATAAATAGTATAATTATAATTATTAATAGAAATTTAATATTTTACTCACTAAAAATTTGAGCTACAAACCATTTTCGGAAGATTGTGAATAACTAACAACATTTTAAGTATTTACAATTAAAATAGTACTGTAAACTCTTATAATAAATTAATTAATACTTTATATACTTTTAACGATAAAAATATATGCGATTGAACGAATGACACAAAAAACAAAAATTGATCTAGTACCATAAAGTCTTATTTTAGTTTTAGAGCTAGACAAAGACAAGTAATATGTAAAGTAACTGTGAAGCAGGGCTGCATTTAGGTATGATGAAAAAGATAGTACAAACCATTGAAGAGGATAGTATTTTAAAAAAAATTATAGTACACTTTATAATTTGCATTTTTAACAGGGATTAATTTACTCCTCTCCCAATTTTATCAATACTTCAATGTTATAATTATTTTTTTAAATATCGATATTCAAAATCTGATATATCAATATTAAAATTAAAATATCGAAGTCGTATCAAAAATATATTTTTATTCAAATTTAATTCAGCTGATCATTATTATCTTTTTCATCTTACTTAGTACCTATTAATATCATCGTACCCAAGTCCATACCCTGGCCCTGCTTACTTACCTCTATGGTTGATTTAAGATGAAAGTATTTATTATCTATGATAAAAGTGAAACTGAATTTCATATTGTCTGTACTGTCGATCCCTAGAGATGGGCAAGTAATAAAAGTGCTTTTCGATAGCGAGTTGTAGGCTTACATTAGGATAACATTATCCTGTGTTGTAAGGACGTTTTACAAACATTTTCACATGGACAAACATCCAGATGCGAAACGCACTCGTAAACACCATCCGGGCCATCCTGTCGAATCGCTCTTTTCGATATCCAGTTGAAGGCACCCTCTCCACAAGCCGCCGTCTCACGGCCGGCGTACCACAAGGCTCCTGCCGCTCACCTTTGCTATTTACTCTCTACACGAGCGATATACCTAAAGACCACCCCACGTCAATCTCACGCTTTTCGCGGATGACACGGCGCTCTTTTATTCAGACCGCAACCTTAGTCAACTAACCACTCGACTCCAAAGCGCCGCCGACCGCCTCGACGATTGATTCCGCAAATGGAGAATAGAAGTAAATCCCGAAAAGAGTGTGGCGATTCACTTCACACGAAGTACTTACCCGTCGAACACACGAAGTACTTACTTCGGTCCGAACTGCGACCTCGATGGCCCTTAGATGACACACCATAGTTAAACGCACGCATGAGCATATGCGTGGCCCTACTCACAGCGGAGGGCCCAAACCCGTGGGTTCTGGCTAGCCCACCGGTTCTGCGTCAGATGAAGCTTTTATAGTCTTGGGACTGAAAGCAAAAACATCAGTTAATACAAGATACAAAATAAAAGTAAATATCGATATATCGTGAGATTTCACATGATTAATCAAATATTATATTTACAAAAAAAAATTCGAAGAGACTGAATGAATGAAACAATTGAACAGATTTTTTAAAGTTAACAATGCGCGAGGAACATGCAAAGAGCTTATAGTAACTTAGAACACAAAACCAGATTTACGTTAAAAACATATCGAAATTGACACGAATTCGAATAGCATAACTATTCAGCGAGGAAATTTTGCTAGCTTGTGTAAATTGTGCACCATGCCGCGTGGATTAGGTGTATTAATATGTAATTTAAGATAGATTTCATCTTGTAAATATATATATACGCTATTAATATAAATAGATACTGTAATTAATGAATTTTTATCATATTGTATATATGTACCGTTAATCTTCTCGATTATTTTCCTTTTTCTAAATTCCGCTTCCTGCTCCTGTTGAAATAAATTTACTGTAACAAAACCACTGGTTCCTTCCTTTTAATTGTCATTGGCATAGCGGATATCAAAATGCAAGAATCAGAAAAAAAAAAACGCGCTGTATGCTTATTGATTGTGAATAGGGCAAGTTTTCTATTCTATGCAGAGATGTGAACCGATTACAATTTTACACACCGGTTATATACCGATTACTTTAAAAAAAAACGGTATTTTTAGGTTTTTAAAGGTTTTTATTAAGCTTTGTAAAAAGAGCTCATTGGACTTAAGTCATGATGCCCATAAACCGCAGGTAAGGGAAAACAGCAACCAGTATAGACATGTAAAGGGGTTTTGTAGGTCTTGTGGCTTGTGGCTGTAATTAAAATGCTTTTTTTTATGCGAAAAGTTGTCAAACGAACAGACGGTTCATTTAATGTTAAATGAATAACGCCGCCCATGGACATCTGCCACACCCGAGGGTTACAGATGCGTTGACAACCTTTTGAAAATTGGGCTCCGGCTACTTCACTCACCAGACGAAACGCGAAAGTATTTGTCATACTTCCACTTTAAGCTGGTCTTCTAGGAAGAAGTGGTACTTACCTACATATAAAAAAATACTTTCTAATACATCTAGCGCGAAGTGCTTACTCACTTGTCGTAGATTTCCGTTCTCTGTTTGTTAAAACGTACTTGGTTTAAGCGCAAGATGTCGTACTAAGTGATAGATGGATCAATATTTTGCTTTCAATAAAACCGGTTTTCTTAAACAAAAATCGGTTTTAATAGGTTCTATTAAAAACCGGTTTTTTCACCGGTTTCTTAAAACCGGTTTACATCTCTAATTCTATGAATCTATTGAATAATTGAATTCAATATAGAATCACTGCTATAGCGTTAGAGTTTACTGATGAATTTATGTTTAAATAAGTTAAAATTTAGTATACCAAAAAGAAATCAATATGATGTTAACAATACATGGATTACCTACAAATGTAAGACATTTTCTTTACCTAGAATGGTTGATTCTGTATTTGCATTATGATAGGTAATAATAGCACTTACCTGTTTGTTTGTTATAGATAAAATACCCAAATTTAAAAGCTATTATTCAAGAGGAATGCAAAATTTCTGAATTTATCCTCGGTGCTTTGGCACATGATCAAGATGGCATGAAGAAAGTAAGAATAGGAGTTGCGGATGATAAAGAAGGCAATATCGTGATGAAATGTTTAGACGGATATAGATTGTCTGGACACGTTATAAGAGTAGTGCCACTGGGAAGAGCTGCAGTAAGTCGGTCTTAAAATTCAAAAATAAAAATCTGAAACCAACAATATTATTTTCAAACTTTAGCTTCTAGTACAGTGCCGGCCAAAAAATTGAGACTAAAGTGGAAGAAAACTCAAAATACAAAGCGAGGGGTCTAATTACTAATTAAAATACTTATTTGCTAATATACATACATAAAAAAATATATACACCATTTGTGTTAAAAATACCTTCATATTTTAATGGATTGCCTGCAATGCTAAAAAATCGACAAAAAATTGCATTGCATTCTATTACTTTTTGACTAGTCTCCGCATACAAGCAATCAAATTGAATATTGTTTCATTTGAAATATCATTCCAGCTTTCTTGTAAAGCCTTGCATGTTTTGTTGCGAGGAGGGATATCCATTTCTATCAAGCTTTTCCCAGAGAAGTTTTTACGTTTGAGATTAGGGTTCTGAGAAGATCTTTATCTTATTGGAAAAAAATCCATTTCTAATTAATCTTAAAACAGACTGAATGACATTTCGCTGTATTCTTCCGTTATACTGCTCCTTTTTTTATGATTCCTTCAAATCTTACCAAATTGGTTCCATATTCGTGAACCATCAGCAGACCATAATGGAACCACCACCATGCTTGACTATTGACAGTCTGGCATCATCTTTTCCTCGGTGTGGTTGAACAAAAATTCATAACAAAACTTAACATATACAAAAAAAAATTACTTAGAAATTATTTAATAACATCAGTATATGTGGGTGTGCATCTGAAATTAGTTTTTAACCATATGTAAATTTGAAATATTTTATTGGTTACTCCTCTTTTTACAATAATAATCTTAAATTTTTGGCCGCCAGTGTTTTGGTCCCTTAGTTTTGGCTATATAATTTTTTTTATGTTATAACTTGTAGTATATCTTTCAAATTTATTTAATAATGTAAGTGAATGTATTCAAAACTAAAAAAACACAAAATTTTAACTTAATAATAAATGGATAGTATTAGAACTAGCAGTCTTTATTTAAGTGCATGTGGTGAGAGCTTGAGTTATGAATATATGCATTGCAAACAAGACGGATTAAAATTAAAAAAATATTTTCTTAATCTTAATCTGTCTGCTGTGCCATAAATACTTGCACATATTATATCTAATCCAAGAATATCATATCCTATAAAGGTTATTTTTATTCCAGCTAAACTCATATGAGTTATTTTAAACTAAAGGGCTAAAATCTTATGAATAATATAATATAAAATCTTATAATATCATATAATCCTATAATATAATAATTGAATATAAAACCTTATAAAATTTACTTAAACAATTTTTTTGTGTATGATACATATAAAAATATATTTATTTGCTAATTGAGAAAAGGATGTAAAATATTTTTTGCTATCTACAGAATAAAATCATACAGCAGAACGCATACAATGATACAAGCTATGAGTGGAGAGGTAACCAGCAAGGTTCAAGTTATGGAAACAGTGCTGTTGAACCTGTTTCAAATCGTTCAGTGCCATGGACAAATACACAAGTCACTACTCAATGGAACCCTAATCAACAAACAATACCAACACAGATGCAAAACCAGAGCAATTTTGCATATGTTCAGCCAGCTTCTGCACAACCTCCTTTTTTTCAACAGGTAAAATTCTCCAGATATTCAGGATATTAGTTACATAAAGCCTTTTTGCCACTAAATGCTATCACATAATGTCACATGAGTCTAGATGTTATACACCATGTTTGCCACGAAATACCTTAATACCTTACAGAAAACAAAAACATGCATACTAGAAATTGTAATTGCCCTTTGCAAAACAATGTTATTACCGTTAGTTTTATAAATTTTTAATTTTTGTTTGAATCATAACATGTTATATATGATACGAGGTCTACTATTTCAAGGTGTATTCTAAAATGAGAGTTAGTCCACCGTATTCTATATTAGCTCTAATTTTTAGGGCCCCGTCCCTAAAGGGTAAAATGGGACCCTATTTTTAAGACTCCGCTGTCTGTCCGTCCATCCTGTCACCAGGCTGTATCTCCTGAACCGTGATAGACAGTTGAAATTTTCACAGATGATCTGCTTCTGTTGCCGCTATAACAACAGATACCAAAAATTATTAAGTGGGGCTCCCATACAACAGACATGATTCTTTATGTCAATAGGGTACATTTTTGTGTGTGATTTGATAGTTATAGCCATATTTTGATGATTGAATTTTTGGCCTACCTTGGTATAGATCAGCAAAGTGCATGCATCGGTTTATAATTTAAATATTTTTATAAACTATATTATAATTTAAATATTTTTAATTTATTTTAGAATGAACCTCATCAGCAAAATAAAACATACGGTCAACATGAGAGGTTTTCGCAGGGCAGAGCTGTGCAACCTCAAGCTTATGGTACCCCCAAAGAACGCAATGTTCCCGTTGGAAACAGAACCATTTCTTCTAATTTGATAACGGTTTGTACCTATTATTTTTAAAATTATTCAATCATGTACAGGAATGTAGTGTATTTTATTTAAAAATACTGATTATAGATCTCAATGTTTGGTAAAATATTAGGTTTAGGTAAACATACCATACTTCTTTTTTAATGAGTAAAAATAGCAAGCAAACTTACAGTTCACCTGATATTAAGTGATAACTGCCCCCCATGGACATTGACAACACCTATACGGTTGCAGATGAGTTGCCACCTTTTAATAAAGCAGGCTCCGGTTACTTCCCTGAACAGGGGCCCATTTGTTGCTGCTGACAATTGATGTTCTATTTTCATTACATAACCCTATTATATCACAAGTTGGGGGAGAAAAAGAAATCATAAACTGTACGAGGGATTTACACTTGAGGACATTAAAACAGGTAGAAAAAGTACGAAAAGTGCGAAAGTCCGAAGACGTGGGTTCGATTCCCACAGCGGCGACAATCTTTACGCCTTCTTTCTACATTGTTATTTAGCATTTGAAGTAATGAAACTTGAGGACATGTCATAAATATAAAAGATAATATGAAAATAAAAAAAAAATTAAGAGAAAATACTAGAACATTATAAATGGTGTTGTCAATATCACATGTGTATTTTTTTGTTATCACAGCCTCAACGACAAAGCATTCAATCCAGGCCCCATGTGCTGACCAATGTGGAGATAACAGACCAACCCCTGAATAGAGCACCGGTTCAAGGTGGTAGATATTCAGCACAGAGCTATAACAATAATGACAAACCCGTAAGTGTAAACTCAACACAATAATACTAATACACTATAAATTCATTTACGCAAACAATGCAGCGTCTTTAAATTACCAAAGTTTTAAATGATAAAAGCTATTAATAAACTAAATATAATGGAATAATGGACCTAAGCTACCTGATTACATTTTGAACATAATATGTAGATGAAGAATTCCAAGTTATTCAAACTGTGGACTTCTCACTTTGCAATAAATAATCAGAGTTCAATAAGTCGAGTCATATCTTTCTTTCCTGGGTTAACAAATCAAAAAAGTCAAAAACATAGTAATAAAGTGCAATGAACAAGTCAAATCAGTGCAACTAATAACAATAGTACAAGTAATACAACTTTCAGGACTATAGTCCAAAGAAGTCTACAAACAAAGTTAGAATCAATGCCCATACAATATAAGAGTTTCTACTCGCGGGCACAACTACAAAATACAATTTGTTTCTGTGATGTCTTTAAGTATGATCTGCAGTAATGTAAAAGTTATATATAATCTTTTATCGATTTGTACAGGTGACCATTATGAAAGAGTACTTTCAAGGACCCTCGGAATACAATGTTGACCCCCAGTCCAACCAGCCACAGACCCATTACCAGGGTCAAGGGTATAGTCAACAATGGTCAGCAACAGTGAGTAAACTTACATGATAATCGTAAGCGCAATACAAACATAATCACACGCCCAAAGGTACAAACGTTAGTTCTATAAAAGGCCGTCTTTTTTTTTTGAAGACTGCGTGTTTGGGGGAAAAAGATGTTTATTTTTACGATGCGCGACACACAACCAACTTCATGTTGTTACCATGGCGACCAACAAAGAGAATGTAACCACTACGTTTAAGAGACGGGGCTTCCACACTAGCCAAAAATATCAGTTTACGCCGCACTCCAATACCAACCATGCCACAAAAATACCACAAAGATGTCAAACAACATGAGTACCACCGTAACGAGCCAAATAGTGCTTAACGAAGCTAGCTTAGCTTCTTATCGATATCGATAAAAGATACTAGGTAGAAACCGAGGTTTCCACTTAATATTTTTTTATTAATTTTAGTAGGTAAGTATCGAGTCCGTATTTATGTCCATTGCTAATGAGGGGATATTTGGTAGAAGATTGGACTTGAATACGGACCCGAAATAAGATAAAAAACGGTTTCTGTTAATTAAAATAAAATTTTATTACTGAAATGAAATTTGTTTCTTGATTCTTCAGCCAACAGCTGTTGTCCTACTCTACACGAGTCTGGAAATAATTGAAACATAAAAATAGAATCAAAATCCAAAAATTATTTTAGTTTTCTTGCATACTCAGCGCACGAAATTAATTATATGACGTATCATTATTACAGAGATTGTGTTACAAAATCCTGAAAAATTCACCTGTTCCGATTCTTGCTCATTTATGTAGGCACACCATTCAAATATGTAAAACTTTGTGCCCCTTGCGTGAAAGATTTTTCACGCAACATTTTATTTCTTATTTTTTTTTCAATGATAAACATTAACGTAGTTATCGATATGTGGATATTATAGTTGCAGTACATCACTAGCACACAATTAAAATGAGATAAATTTGTTAATTTTGTTTGTTCTTAGCCTGCTCTACTTACATGTGGCTGTAAAGTATCATATTTAAGTGCTTACATGGCCTTCATCTAAGGGAAATCTCGCCATAAACATCCTTTTTTCAAGATTCGAATGACTTGCTCGATTTTCACCAATTTCACTAATAAATCGTCTTTTAGGCATTTTGAATTAAAAGTACAACTCTGATCACCTGTCACTACTTTTCGTGAGAAAATTTACTCTAAACAATTTAAATTTACAATAAAATAAGCATTTACACTCAAAATACGCGATGCGAAATTAAGTTTTGACATGGCACTTCTTGTATTGCGAGAAAGAGAAACCGCATTGAGGGAGAGTGATAGCAATGTTCGCCATTATTTGCCGCGTAAAGTCCATAGAAAAATTTTTTGTTCCTAGTTTCGCCAGACTGGCGACCAATGACAACTACAAATAGTTGTCAATATCAAAGACATTTAGAATTCCAAATTATTTGATTAAACTTTTATAAATTGCATTCAAACTATTTTTCAAAAACTGATTGTACTGGCTCACGGCTTTTTGTTATTTTTCTTTTGTAATGCTATAGAAGTATAACTTCTTATGTATGTACTTATATAAGTACACAGTACATACATACGTATTTTTTTTCAAATTTGGTGAAATAGGCAGTCATCCTTCTCCTTCAGAGTTATAGATAATTCGGCTTGGAAACGTTTTTGTAGTAGGAGTGTAAGGTCAGCAAATATATGTATATAAGTAAACAAATACTTTTTATATGTTTTTTATTTTTATAGGTACTTAATTTTATACACGTTAAACGTAATTTGTTTCGTATTCAATCTCGTCCTCTCCTCGTCTCATATAAATTATTTAAGTTAATGATAATTAGTTAAGTTATTTAAAACAGAAGTTTTAAATACATTCTCACCTGAAATTTCTTTTCCCCTTCATTAGCACGTAGACAAACTTTTCTTCATTCTACTGCAGTTATGTCATTATATTTTAACGCTAACAAATAGACTAATAACATAAACGAGTAATAAAAAATAAAATAGATTTATTGTTAATAAAAGAATTACTAACAAAATTGTATGATGCTTTAACGCTCCTCGTCGTTGTAGCTAACGCAAACTGGTTAATTCAGGTATTAGCGAGTGTCTGTACACGCTACTACAAACGAAAAAATGTCTCCAATCGGATGTCAATACGCGCCGAACCGCTACATGAGTTGCGATTTTTCCTATTCAGAAACAAGAGCCGCTCGCCAAGCACGGCGCGTCGCAATACGGGAGGGCGCCGTATAACAACAGACCGGCCCAGGGGGATAAGAGGCCTATGGGCGTGCATGACCCGGCGAAGGGGCCGACCGGGTACGGTCAGCACGAGAAGGGCGGGCGCGGGATGTCGCCCGTTGCGACTGCGGAGAGGAGGCTCTCACCCCCGGGACATAGGATCTCGCCGTCCGGACACCGTATATTGCCGTCTGGCAGGAGGATCTCGCCCCACCGAAGAAACTCACCCGCCGGCGCGAATATGTCTCACTCCACGCGCGGAATTTCCCCTTCGGGTCGCAGGATTTCTCCGTCTGGACGGAGGATCTCTCCACCTGGGCGGAGGATTTCGCCATCTGGGCGGAGGATTTCCCCATCTGGGCGGAGGATCTCTCCATGTGGGCGGAGGATTTCTCCATCTGGAAGGAGGATTTCTCCTCCAGGACGGAGGTTTTCTCCATCGGGACGGAGGATTTCTCCATCTGGACGAAGGATCTCTCCATCTGGGCGGAGGATTTCCCCATCTAGGGGGATTCCTCTATCGGGAAGGGGGATGTCACCATCTGGAAGAAGAATATCTCCATCAGCGAGAAGGATTTCTCCGTCTGGAAGAATCTCACCATCTGGTCGTAGAATTTCTCCAGCGGGACGCCGAATCTCGCCATCCGGTCACAGGGCTTTACCATCAGATCGCAGACCGTCGCCGATTGTTCATAGAATGTCACCATCTGCAAGAAGGATCTCGCCGTCTGCACGTAGAATGTCTCCTGGCCATAAAGGTTGGTGTTACATAATACACACAATAAACAATAAAAATTTACGTCCAATTCAAATCCTAATTATAAATTTATTTCATATCAAAAAAACCGAACAAGAAGCTGTAAAAAAAGCTAAAAAATTAGAAAAGCCGTAAAAATACAGTTATTATTAATATTACATTATTTTTATTATTAATATGGAGCTCATCGAACTTATAGTTGTCGATGCGCATGCTCGTTTTCTATATACCATAATTTTGTAGTTATAACAGCTTATTATTATTTTTAGTTAATATACTGTTACACATAATATTTTTATGTTTGTAATTTCAGTAAAAAAAGTAAACCAATCTAAAGTAAAATAAAGAGAGCTAAAGTAATTGGGCAAAAAATTTGGATATATTTTTTTTAATGGAAATGTGCCGCCGATACAGGATGATTTTTAGACGAAGTATATACTTTGATATAATGTTAATTGAGCATTCCATAATTAAGAAAAAATAGTAATATTTTATTTTGATAAGAAATAACCAGAAAAATATCAATTCAAACATTGTTTGTTTACCCCGTTAAGAGTGGTCACCCTATTGATAGGCGGCTTAGTAATTATGCGTTCAACGCAAAAGTTTTAGTGCTCCTCAATAGGTCATCAGGTATTGAGACGGTAACGCAGAAATTTCTTAAGGTGTCCATAATGTTTTAAAAAATTAAAAATAATCTTTAAAAAAAATGAGGTCACAAGTACGTACCAGATTTCGATTTAGAATCTAATTCTGCATATGCTCTGTTAATATGTCCGTCGTCTATTTTTTTTTTATGTGAGGAATGCGAGCTGATGGTTCACCTTATGTTAAGTGATAACCGCCTGCCCATGGACATTTGCAACACCCGTAGGGTTACAGATGCGTTGCCACCTCTTAATAATGTGGGCCCCGGCTACCTGACTCACCAGACGAAACTTCCGTGAGGTCGTGGTACTAACCCGGACGGACCTGCCCATTCGTGCAACAGCGAATACTGTTGCGTGGCCCTACCACCGATAAAATCTTATCATTTCTGTTATAAAATCACCCTGTATAAAAGATATATAATGTTGCAGGCTGTGTGTAACTTTTCAGTTTTATTATTCCGCTTATGTTGAACGCGTTTAGATTGATTCATCCAATCTGTTGTCGTCTCTTACAATTACCCCGTTGCCTACTCGACATTGAGCGTTGTTAAACTATTTTTGTCAACGTTTTGGTAACGTTACCGACGCTCAAATATAGAGTTGATGTATTCGTTGCTTAACTGTTGTTAAAAGAACATTCCGTATGTGTATAGCAAAGCTTTATTATTCCCACTAGGCGAAAGGCATATGGGACAAAGGCTGTCGCCGCGGAGGATGTCACCGAACAAGCCTCCACCGACAAGGAACCTGTCGCCCGGTAGACGGGGCTCCCCCAATCGTGGACATTCGCCGAGGGCCTACGCGAGGTCAGTAGACCTTCGAGGACACCTATAGGGGTCGCTATATCCCAGCTCATGTGCTTTCACTACATAGCCATGCTGCCGACATACGGATGAAAGACGTACCTATATGAAACTTAATTTTACAAAAATGAATTATTGTATTTACATATTGGTTTTCTGTACTGATTCCGAATATGTAAGTAATTATACGTTTTTTATTTTTTTAAACTTATACGTTTTTTTAACGCCCCTAGGAAACAAACACCCAGATCCGGAACACCCTTGACGACTCCGTGGCGCAGTTCTCAATGTATTGGTTCCGGCTTTGGGGGTCGTGGGTTCGATCCGCACACGGGACAAATATACGTGTGTGACCCACAGATAGTTGTTTCTTATCTGGGTGTTTGTCCGCGTGAAATTTATGTTTGTAAAACGTCCTTACAACACAGTATAATGTTATCCTTAAGTAAGGGCAATGTTTAAAAAAAATACCGCTTGATCCATTTGGGAATCGAACCCACGCCGAAGCCCAAACCTCAGCAACAGCGCCGCTGGGTCATCGGCGACTGCGACGATATATCCATCAAAGTTGATATTTAAAATGGCATACTTTTGACTCCATCAAGAAAATCCTCCATAGGTACTCACCATCTCGTATCGACAAGCACATGGAAAACTTGCGCCCCGCTCCGGACAAAGACGTTAGGCCCGCCTACGACCCTATACCTCAGGTAAGTTGTAAACCAGTTCACCGCCGATCATCCACTAATGATTTATGTATATAAACACAAAGCCAAACGATTCCTAATCTCCCGCGATTGTTGAAACTAACATCCCTCAAAGGAAAATCTACTTTATGTTTCGCGTACTAAAATAGGCTCATACCCCGCGTCGTTGTTACGGTTTATACGTTTCGCTGGCTATTTAAATGTATTGTAATATGTAAGTATCTGAAAAACACATGCGGAAACTGCACAAATTATGGATGTTCCAGGAACCCGTATAAACAATATACGAATGCGAATAATTCAGTGGCAAACGAGAGATCTCGAAAAAAATCGAATATTCGAAACATATGCTTATAGATAGAATGGAATGCATTTTTAACGTTAAAACTGTCGCGTTTTAAAACGATAGCTCATTATCATCCACACCACCTTATTCGCGTCACTATTATTCGTCAATCGTCTAAGTTTATAAGAAATATGACACGAGATAAGGTTAGAGATACTCTTAAGGTAGAAGAGATCAAGCTATTTTGATCCTTTGACTGAAGACAACTTACAAGACTCGGCTTAATGTCAAACTTTATTTTTGACATATGGAAATTGTCGCAGCTAATTGGGAAAGATAGAATGGAGCAAATAAATCGGAAGATTCTGGATACCTAAATTAAAATACTTGTGTAACCGATAATATTAGCATATGTTTCGTGGTTGGATACAGTTTCAAAAAAATTATCCTATGTATAACTCCATGGGGAGAGCAGTGCCGCTGAAACCGATAAGATGGGCCACAAATGACCTTGATCAAATCAAAGAAGAGGTCTCAGACGAAACAATTTGCATGATTAAAAATTCCGTAAAAAATTGTCTAAGACTAGTCTTAGACAATTTGAAATTTTATTAGCAGGTGGGCTCCCAACGAAGCCCTTTTCACTAACAACATCGATATGAGGGATTCTTCGTCGTCACTTTTCGGATAGTTGCGATTTAATTTAGAAGAGAGAATTTTCAAGAGAATACAGCCTCCTTTAATCCGTCTGTGCTTCTGCTATTCTCGTGCGGATAATGGCGATACAAACTATTTTTCATATGGTTCAAGGGCCAGTAGTTTATTAAACCACTATAAAAAAAGATCCTAAAAGAAAATATTTAAGTTAAACTCTGTGGATTTTTACACGGTTATTGAGGTACACCGGTCCTAGGTAGACCCGATCTTGATTTCTGTACCCAAGTCCGAAATGAAAGGGAAATAAATGCATTCAACAAAAAGAAAACCTGTTTTCCAAGTTTTTCCTATTTAATTCCTTGCTTTTGGGTCGCTGCGGTTGTGCGCTGGAATGAAAAGAAGAGGAATAAAATTTACTTTGGCCGGCAAAAACGCGGGAATTAGAAATTTCGTCGTCCCAAAATTTCAAGTCAATCGACCGACTGCCTACCTTTCGAGAGATGTATGCTCTGATCTGCAGTCTCAGATGTTTCAACACAAAATTTTCACCGGCTAAAAGTGGAAACATCAATAAAGGCCCAAAGTTCAAACGCCGTATTATCGATAACTACGAAAGCTCAGCTCCGACTAATTTTCCATAGGAGGCTATCCAGAGGGGGCTGAACTTACCACTAGATGGCGCTGCAACGAATTTACCTCATTACCGTTCAAGTGATCGCAATGATCACGGTACACGCTTCAACAGTTTGATAAAGACAGTTTTATGACTTTTCTATCCGTGCTATGTGGCGTCGAGCATGCTAAATATATGAAAGCACGACGCTTGAGAAGATACGATGTGATGTTGTTTATAACGTCATGGAACAAAAGATTCAAAAACGAAATTTTGGGTTACTTTAGCGAAAAAATTGGACCCCACGGAACTTAGCATTAGGCGGACCATATACACGATTTATATCAAGTTTTGGGTGAATTTTCGCAATATTTGTGTTTAACGCACGAGATTTGAATGTGAAGGATATGCAGGAAGAATTTTATACTGTTTTATGTTCTATAGCCATATGAGTAATATGAAATTGATTTCCACAATATACTCGTATTATCAGGCAACGGAAAATTCCCCATCGGTAAAACGTTTGGATCGCTATGACGACAAGAAAAATCTTGTGAAATTTTTCATAATAAGAAAACGATACGTTTTTATAAAGTCTGTACGATTATAAAATTTAGATATAGACAAACTTTATTTTGTCAAAAAATAGCACTTACATTCGAAATAAATGAGATGGATATAAAAAAATTGAAAAACAAAATCAAAACATAGTCTGAAGAAAACCAAATTAAAAAAGAAACAAAATGAAATAGAAAATTTATGAGATAAAAAAATGTTAAGGGAAGACGTAATAAGAAATTTATTGTGCTGCGTGTTTATGTCAAAAATGGCCTCCACTCAACAAAAAATGCGGAAAGCTCCGCAATGCTGGTTTTGTGCCATTTCGATGAGAGAAATATGCGGGTATACACGCAAACTTGTATCCCATATTATAATAAGATAAAAAAAAGTCATATTCGAAATTTCGTCTATCGACTACCATATTAAGCTTCACATGCAGCTTTTCTTTTATGTCATCAGCAATAAAACAAGAAGTATGAAGAATTGGCTACGATAACAATTGATGGAATAAAACTACAAATAAGTGACAAGTATCTCGAAAATTAAATCAACGGTTAAAGATTGAAGTGGCAGCACATTTAAGATTGGAGTACCTTTATAATGGTGTTGAGCAAAAAGGAATTGCGAAAATTCGCCTGCTTGCGACAGTCAAAAAAGCTGTCTGAATTCACTAAAGAAACACAACAGGTGATAGGCAAGAAGATGTTCGTAGTGCATTCGCGTCTTTTCATCGTTGTAATTTCGTCTTCAATCTTTAACAAGAGTCCAGAGCTCTGATTCATCCGAAGCGTGTAGAGTGTCTTATTATTTTGAAGTCTAATGCCATAAATATTTCCGGTTAATACGACATACCTTAGTCCATTTCTTGAAGACAATATAACTCTTAAGTGAGACATGTGGCATTTGGAAATGACACCAGCCACTATAGTATGGGACACGGATGCAAGTGAAACCTTGTTACGTCATTTCAACGCATTAAAATAATTGTAAATAATCCTGGCCTTAATGCGGATTATCGAATAAAGAATTAAAGACGAACCAGAAAAGGATCCGAAATGGATTTTTACAAAAATGATTCGGAACAAAACTCACTACCCTAGGGGCATATAATTGCCTCTTAGACTTGCTACCGTTAAATATAACTCTTTAAACGGAGTTCACACGTGCCCTTAATGTTCTACAACGTTTCAAAAAGATCGGCTATATTAGGCACAGGGATTGAATTTTAAAGATTACCTATTGATATATGTTTTTTGTTGATATTTATTTATATTTTATTTATAAACTCAACGTCAATTAGTATATTATAGAAGAAACATAACTTTCAGAAACAACATTTATATTTAAAAAAAGGTAGAGGATGTAAGTGGTACAATTTTGCAAAGTTTACACAAGACTTATGATTTTGGTTCATAAGTTGAAAAATGTGGTTGTTATAAATGATTTTGAAGCAATTCCGGGTACATTTTTTAAGATTTTGTAGAAGCGTTTTTATCAACAATGCCTATTTCAAACGCTTCTACGGAAAGGTAAAATTTCAAGAAGACAGCCAAAATGAATATTGCATTCTTAATTTAGTAACTAGCATTTTCCCTCATATTAAGATTCGACCTCTTTGCATGTTATATGCAATGGAACAAAATCCTTACGATTTCAACGATAAAAGTAAGCGATATTATTTCAGTGTTCGTACGGAGCTATCCAATGCATGTTTAATATTCTTTCGAAACTGTATCTTATGTGTTTGCAAGTGTAATTTTGATTTGCAGGCGCAAAGTCAACCTATGTACTCAGGTGGTTACCCACCGCGCGCGTGCGATAACGCGCAATTCGCGGCGTCGGCGCCGCGGCCCGCCGAACAGCGGCCGACGTGGCAGGACCGGGACAAGGCGTACAACGCGCCGACAAAGCCGCTCGACGAAAGAAGGGACCCAGCCAGGGGCCAGAAGTTCGAGCCGCCCAGGGGACCGGACTACCCCAGGGGCCAACTGAGCCAGCCCGAGGGGAAGATGCGCTCGCCGTGCCGCGTGTCCCGTTCGCCCAGCCGCAGGGAGCGCTCGCCGATACGCGACCGGTACAGGCGCCACTCGCCCTCGCCGAGGTCGCCGCGCCGCTCCTGGGCGCTGGAGAAACGCCGCAGCCCTGAGAGCCACGAGCCGCCCCCGCCCCCCACCTGGCCCATCAAGGAGGCCCCCTACTCGAGCCAGGCACGCCCGAGCGATGAGCGGCCGGCGAACAGCGGCCCAGTCTGGGACAAGCCGTACGGGGCCCTGGCGGGCAAGGAGAGTCCGCTCGTGCCACGCAAGGACGACCGCCGCAGCGCCGAACGCGAGGACCGCCGCTACTTGGACAGCCCGTCTCTCCCGCGATGGGAGCCGCAGAAGGGGCCGAGGGAGAACAGGGACGCCTCGCCGCGCCAGCCGAGGCACGAACGCTACCCGAACCAGAGGGAGCCCAAGTTCGAGTCGAAATTCGAGCAAAAATTCGAGCCGAAGTTCTCGCCGCGCGACGACTACGAGCAGCTGCGACGCGACGACTTCCCCGACCCGGACGCCGCCCGACAGCGAGCGGCGCGATCAGAGGGGCTTCGCGAAACAGGAGCGCGACGAGCCGCGCCACAAGGGCGACGATTACCGCCAGCGCGCGGAGAGGAAACAGGAGCTGCGCATCGGCCCCGACACGCTGAACAGGGAGATCGAGGACGTGTTCAAGAGGGCGGCGGAGCTCACGAAGAAGACGGAGGAGTACCAGAGGAAGAGGAGCGAGAAGATGAGCTACGGCGCGGAGCTAGAGCGCCGTCGGCCGGAGAAGCGCGACGCGCACCCCTACGAGTACGAGGCACCGGACAGAACTAGATCGCCCAGACCGTCCAATCTGGACCCGTACGGGGCTCCGTCCGGCTCGTACGGCAGGGGTCCAGCGCACGCTCGCGACCCGCGTGAAGCCGACCTCGACCCCAAGGTCCAATACAAGCGCGACAAGGCAATAGACGAGATCGTCGGCAAGATGCTGCACAAGTTCGCCCCGGAGCTGAAGGGCAAAATGAGGGATGAGGTGGAGGAGCGCTTGAAGCTCGCAATAGAGCCGATGATACTCGACATGTTCGGCGATAAGGACGTGGCGTTCATAGAGATCGTCATCAAGTTCGAGGACAGATACAACGTAAAGGACCTGGAGAGGATATTCGATCGCGTGATGTCAGAGTTCCCGTCCGAGTTCAGGCGGATGAAGCGGCCTGCGCAAGGTGAGAGCTGATTTTGTTGCGTTTTGAGACCATCGAGAGTTCCTCGTGGTTCCCGAGTGCGGGTACGGACTCGCAGTTTCTACCGCGTCCCCGATTACTCAAACAGGTAATGTAATATACGTTCGGCGTAATGTTAGACTTGAAACGTTTGTTACCATGCGGATAGTATGGTCGGTAAATAGAAAGAACGGCAATAAGAAATCGGAAGGTGGTTATCTCTTGACGTTATTTTTTTACTGCTACATGTCTGCTATATGATAGGCTGTTATAAACCCCAACCTTAAAAGAACTGATATCGGAGAAAGGAAGTGTGATTTCAATTGACTCGATAATCAACCAGTCACCTGCTTATTATTTGTGATACAATATATTCAGTGACCTCACGACTTACGTCATCATTCAATGTTGACGTAGAACCGGTCCTGCGCTAGGGAACAACTCCTTTGTCGCCACAGATATGAGATCACAAACACAAATACACACACAGAGTCGGAAAAGCCATCTGTGTTTGACACAAACATCTGACCGGCGTGTTTATCGATTCATTGACACGGCGATATGAAGGTGAGTTGGCAGTGACCTTTTGAATCATTGCACTATCTGTGTGTTTTAACCGACTTCAAAAAGCAGGAGGTTTCTCAATTCGACCGTATATATATTTTTTTAATCCCCATGTCGCTGACACAGCGTTCGATTAGTGAATGCCGATTGACTTCAGCGTTTGTGTATGCACCTTCTCCGCAATTCGCTTCTAGTAATGATCGTAATATCTTGACGAGACAGGATTAATCCTTTTTCACCCAGGCGTTGGTCCAATTTTCTTGCTTTGCTTTATATTTGAATAATAAACTTAACCAAATTATGACAGGCCTGCGTTACAGTACAAGTCTCCTCTCGAGTGCAGTGTTTCATTTCAAACGGAATAAACAGTGCGCGAACGTTTTTGGAAGAAGCACACAAGTAGTCCCTTTTATTTATACCACTGAAAGCAGACAACGTATACGATATCCTTGTCATACCTCATCATACAGCAGAGGTCGGTAACGTAGGCCCGCGAAAGAATTTGATAACGCCCGCTTAGAGCCCGCAAGAATAAATAGTCTTGTAGGTGATGAATAAAAATTTGGAATGGCAAATTTTGAATTTAAGTATAATATTTCGTATTTAAGTATTAATCGGGTCTGACTTTAAATGTATTAGTGATGTCTCCTAGGATAAGGATTGTGGGCCTTGCTCTCTACAGCATTTTGAACTTTAGAATTTTGTTCTCAATCATTCAATGTCGTTAATATCTCACTACTATTAACCCGTGGCCTCTCCTGTGATATTATTTTCGCTCCATAAATATGTTTTATTTTGTTTAAGGTTTTATTTTTTAGAGTTTGTTTGTTTCTGCGTCTGCCTCGCTATTCATAAGAGCATTAAATAAAAACCGGCCAAGGGTTCCGTCACATCTTCTATAGAAACGAAAAAAAAAAAACATGTCTGTTGTAAGGGAGCCTAACTTAAATATTTTTATAATATGTTTTTTCTATATTTATGGTTATAGCGGCAACAGAAATACATCATTTGCGAAAATTTCAACTGTCTAAATATCACGGTTCATGAGATACAGCTTGGTGACGGACGGACAGACAGACAGACAGCGGAGTCTTAGGTAATAGGGCCTATTTTACCCTTTGGGTAATGAACCCTAAATATAATCGAAACAAATAACAAATATTAAGGTTCACGGTCTTTTGGTGGAAAGTGATAAAATGAATGAAATTAAGATCTTAAGCCAGTACAATCTAGTCATATGCGTCAACTCCGCATATTCTGACTCATGCAAGCGCACTCATCCTAAAAATTAGTCCTGATATCCTAGAATGGTAAAATTGGGAACATACTGATTGATGACTTTGAAATAAATAAAAAAAGGCTTTTCATAAAAATTGTACTGGATTATTTTTTGATTTTTGACTAGATGATTGATTTGCAAGAAATATAGATAAATAAGTCCACGAGGAAACTTTACATTCCATATAGCTAATTTGCCACGCCTAGCTGATAATTCTTGATTATTATTGTTGATTTTAATACTACATGTGCTGTTTCAGATGAGACGCCTATACCGGCAAAAATTTTACGAAATTCTCCCAGCCCCAGCATGAAAAGAGGTAAATAATACATCTATATAAATTATTTCTTATCATTTAGGAAAGGTTAGGAGAGCTCATTCTTTGCTCACTAAAGAAAATCACAATTTATTCTTCTAATACAGCTACTTATTTTATAATCATCTGTTACCCCACTAACACCATAACAGTTTATTTTTTACATAAATTGTATCGCCCTAATACGTTATCTCATTTAAGTGGTCAACTTTCATCTTTACAGATCATCCACTGGTAAACACGAACAGTAAGTACTATTTGTAGACAGTAATATTTTCATACCTTCATTTTTTATTATATTCATATATTTTCACACCAATTTTACCGATTCTCAACTGTCTGCGGAATAAGCTGAATTTGAGGTTATGACTTTAAATATTTTCAGATTGGAATTTTGATATCCAGCCGCCGCCGGCTTTGTTCGAGAAAAAGCCCCTGCTACCGACACCGACCATGATGGTCCCCATCCCTTATGCCAGTAGTGAGCCCGTACTCAATCCCATATTTGTTCCGCAACCGCACGAGGGTCACTATCTATTCTTGTGCAAGGACAACTTCCAGGCGTTCAACGACACCCAGGCGTCGAGCCTCAGGAACTATATCGTGAACAAAATAATCAGCGCAACCGAGTCGGGCAACTGGGTCACCCGACGTTACCCTCAGGGGGGTGCAGAACAAAACCCACTACGAGGTGTGGACGCGCGACGAGCAGTCTAAGGAGTGGCTGATGAACTTGAACTTCAAGGACTTCCCCTATTTCAAAGTGCTGATATACACCGCCGAGGAGCGGTGGTACGAGCGCGCCGCGATATGGCTGCCGGGCCACCCGAGGAAGCAGAACCCGCCGCCCCTGGTGAAGCTGAAGCTGCAGAACAGGGCGCTGGCGAACGTAAACGTGGACAAGTGGAAGCTCGTGAAGCAAATCGTCACCGCGAAAGGCACCAGGCTCTACGTGGACATGCCGCCGTCGTCGGCGCGCGCCCTAGAGCGACAAGGCATGTCGCTGAGCTACGAACTGCAGAAGGTGCACGTGTTCTTAAAAGCGGTCGCGGTCGACAAGGACGCGTTCGACGCCGGCCTAGCGGAGAAATCGATCACGTTCATCCCCGACCTGCAGAAGCAGAACTCTAGCATGCCGGCGATCGACATGCAGGAGGCGAGCGTGATAAAGCTGTGCCTCGCCGGCAGCACGGTAACGCTAACGACGGCGTGCAAGATCAAAGACGCCCTGATAAACAACATCTACAAATACCTCCAAACGGGCGGCACGTGCAAAACGGACTTCACCAGATACGGCTTCTCGAAGCCGGGCTACTTCTGCGTGGTCCCGGAGAACGAGGAGACCAGGGCGTGGGTGAACACGGTGGACTTTGGCCGGATCAACGGCCAGTGCGTCACGGTGTGGAGCGCGGACGAGGACAACGCGAGATACTTCACCATGTTCATCTCGGTGCCCTACGAGAGCCACCTGACGCCGAAGACGCTCCTGCAGAAGTTGAAGTTGAGCAATCGCGGCGTGAAGGGGCTCAAGTTCCACATGTGGAAGAACGGCCACGTGTACCCCTCGAATATGTTCAAGACCGTGAACTATCGCGTCGACGTCGACATAGAATCGGTAGAGACGCTGTTCAAAATGAAATTCACCCTCGACTACCTTGTGAATGGTAGTAACGAGACCGTATACATAAAACCCGAGGATTCGATGTCGCGTCTCAAGGATATAATAGGCAAGTTCAGGGCGGAGGCGAGGGATTCGTTAGACGTCACCAATATGGATATTTCAACGTCGGATGAGGACGAGGTTGTGTGTCTCGATTAAGATTGTTCTCGTCAAGTTGTTACTTAATATCGTCTTTTCTTGGTGTTTCACTGATTTTATCAGCTCGTTTATCGTTACGTTAGTGTAATCAATTACTTATTAAACTTAGATCATGAAGAGTTGCTGTTTTTTTTTAAACCTATCATAACCGCAAAACTTACACATTTTTTATTTTCATTTAAATTACTACAACCATCATGTTATTGAAACACGAATACGTACTTGTAACGTGGTTCGCGAGTAATTTTTGAACAATTTGAGAAAAGAAATGCTATGGACTAACCAAAAGACTACTTGGTAGTTGAAGTAAGGTAAGTACCGGTTGAACGGAGGTATTGTTTCGAGAATTGCCATCAGTTTTGAAAATTCTCAAGTTTCTTTCAAGCAATTTTGTACTTTTTTGTATTAATTTTGTCCAAGTTTTTACAGTCATGTCTTCTTGGAGTTTCAGTTAGATACGACGCATGTTGATGGAAACGGATGTAGCTCTTGTGTGATTACAACGCTTCTCTTCATGCGTAAAGGCGCAAAGGGCTAATGTTTGAGCGTCCGAAACGACTCATGCGAGTTGCTACAATAAAAAAGGTAAGCACCGGAAGTCATGTTGCTAGTGACAGCCTTAACTTTTCAGTCATTAAAAGAAAACACTTCCAGCTTCCGGTTGAACTGTTTTGGTGACACCAGCTGTTTTATAAGTTTACTGCAAACGCAGTTGAATATGATTGTGTACTTTTTTATTTTTTCTGGTTGATTAAACAAATATCAAAAGGTAAGATTTTCATTAACTAATTTCAGCTTCACGACATTTCGCAGAATTAAGGGAAATTTTTTCCCGATGTGGATGAGACGCTTAAATAAGCTCGGAAAGGTATTATATTATCTAAATGTTGGGCTCTAAGTTTGTGGGCAGATCGAGCATTTCAGGAGCAGTTCTCATCACACCAGTTAATGCATTCTCTTCTTCGAAATAAAGAACAGATATCTGTCCACTCGATACAAACTTTTAAACATATCAAATTTTCCAATAAATGTAATCTGGATAAAAATTCTCCACGAAGCCAATGGGCTTGGAATTAATTGTCTCCTCTTTATATTCGATAATTTATGTATTTCGATCCGTTATTTTATAATTCATTGCTGTTCAGAACTGTAATTCCCGGTTTCCGTCGGTTTCGTGAATGGATAATTTTATCTTCTATCCGATATACGCAGAAAGTAGTGAAGGAACTTTGAGGTCTCGCCCAGGTGTGCTACTCGAACCCGTATTTATTTCAATCGATTTCGGGATACCAAGCAAATAAGGATCAGTCCAAGTTCACTGTTGAATTTTGGATGTTTCTTAACTCCAATACACAACAAATAACAACAGCCTCAGAAATCATCCTTAGTATCGCTCTGTTGCAAGGATTTGTTGTCTATCGCATTTAGTGTTTGGGGCGATCTCACTTTGTTCGCAGACTGAGGACTCGTTCGAGCTTATATGGATTGTCAGTTCTTTGCGCCTTCATGCGGCGTATCATGCATTAATTTAAATTTAATTTATTAAATACAAGAAGTCTCTTTCAGTATAAGTTTTTTCTATGATTGGCAGTCTGATCGCTTTATCGCCTTAATCTTTAAACAGATTATATGGAGTCTATTTATTGATCTATTAACGGATTCATCTAGATCGTATGGAGTGCGTGGATGTAACAGAGGCCATTCTTCAAGTAAGCAAATTTTTAATGTAATACCCCAAACAAATCGTATCTATTTGGTATATTCGTTTGTTTGGTGAGAAATATTTGTTACTTGTTTTTACAATACATTCGAAGTATTTAGTATCCAAGTGAGGATTGCTTCAATATGCTTAAATTTATTATTATTTATTAATGTTCTGAAATTATGTTTGGCTTTTTTGCTTCCAATTTCCATGACGATGTTGATCCGGGATTTGATTCGTCAAAAGAAAGTAAAATAATGGTATCATGAAGAGATTTTGGAAATGTCTGTTTGTTTTAGGGGTGACCAATAGTGGAAATGTTGTGCTAGGGTTAAACAATAGTCTTTTGATAAGTGTTTCAGCACTAGGACGTGACCATCGACTAGACTAGACTAGGTTAGGAAAGAGATTAAGCCATTAATAATGAATCCATTACTAAATCTTCTTAAAAAGGTAGCTAATGACAAACACGATGGCAAATATTAATTTAGCTGTCTGACACGTGCGTCCACAACGCGGGCATGCGCCATGCGCGGCTCTGAGTGTAATGAAACGTGCCTCAACGTGACGTTTCTTTGAGATTCCACTCTCGCATTGAATCGTCGACTAAGGAGTTTCACTTTAAAAAAAATTATAAATGTTTATTGAACGGTCCAGCACTCCTCTATGAGATTTATCGGTTTACTGTCTCTGTATCCTCTGCACAGAGGACGCTATTGACCTACAGTTTGATATACGTATACACCAATACATTTCCTTTGTGGATTCGATCTAATAACAATAAGCTCACATAGAAACTAGAATCCGTCCGCAGAACAACATCTCGGCTCATTGGTTGCAGGAGTCTTGGCGCAAAAGGAAATCAAGCGTCCGCCGTTAAATAATGCGCCTGTAAAGAGGGCCGTGCCGTTTAAGAGGCTGCCAGTGATGAGGCCTCAGCCGCAAAGGACCGCACAGTTGAAGAGGGCTCCTACGGTGCAAAGATCCGCGGCGGCGCTTAGATCCGCGACGTTGCAAAGACCTGCGATGCTCCAGAGGCCCGCGACCGCCGTGAGGATGCAAAGATCCGCGCCCGTGAAGCGGATCGTCCCAGCGCGGGACAGCGTTGCCGTTAAGCAGTCCCCGGATCCGGTGGAGAAGGAAACTTCTACCAAGGAAGGTAGGACTATTTCTTTTTCCTGGTGTCAGTAAAATCCTAGTTTTAAGGTTACTTTGACGGTTATGAGGCTTGACGGTGGTAGGGCCACGTAGCAGCCTCGGCTGTTGCATGAATGGGCAGGCTCGTCCGGGTACCACGACCTTACAGAAGACCGGCGTCAAGTGGAAGTATAATACTTTCGCGTTTCGTCTGGTGAGTGAGGTGGCCGGAGTCCAATTTTTAAAAGGTCATCGCATCTGGAACTCTCGGGTGTAGCAGATGCCCATGGGCGGCGGTATTCACTTAACATCAGGTGACCCGTCTGCTCGTTTGGAAACGTTTCACATAAAAAAAAATATTTTATCCTAATTTTAAACTTTGTCCTTTAGGATAAAATTGGACATTATCATCCTGTGTTGTAAGGACGTTTTTCGAACATAAATATCACTTGGACATATACCCAGAAGCGAAACAATTATCTTTGAATCGCACAAATACTTGTCCCGTGTGGGAATCGCGCCCACGAACACCGTTGCCAAAGACCACGCCACGCAGTCATCAAAACTCTTGTTCCTCATCTCAGTTAAATACTAGGTTCATGGATGACTCTTTCTTGTTTCTAGCGTCTGATAATTCTAAGACGTGATAGTTCGAGCAACAGTTCTTAATAAATTTCATAATTTAAATTGTTTATAGTGCTAATCTTTGCACTTAAGATTGAACGTTAATGATTGTTTGTATGCTGGAAAGGATATAACAATAGATGGCGCCAAGCATTGCTTCAAATGCTAAGAAAACAATGTAGAAGAATGCGTTAAGATTTTCGCCGTTGTGTCAATCAGCCGTTTAGCTCAGTGGTTAGAGCGTCAGGCCGCGAATGCCGAAGACGTGGGTTCGATTCCCACAGCGGCGACAATCTTTTCGCACTTTTTCTACATATTTTAAATTTCATAATGTTTATGTGAATTATAATGATAATGTTGTATGTCATGAGTTACTATTGTACATATTGTTTATTTATTTATATCTTTAAACATGTTCATTGACGGTGGGGTATCCGCCACCGGTAGGGGCACGCAACGTTTGCTGTTGCACTAATGAGCGGGCCCGTCCAAGGAACTACCGCGGTCGCGGGGATTATTAAACATCTGTTTCATCCGGTGAATGTGAACCTACGTAAACGCTTCACCCTTACTTCACCTCGGGTGAACCGTTAGCTCTTAGCTTGCCGCCATTGCACAAAAAAAGAAGATTTTTTTGATTCTTAGACTGCGATTTTACTTGTCGGCGCAGATGACCAGAACGCGGAAGCGGAAAAGCCTGAGAAGGTAGACGCGAACATTCGCTCGGAGGGGCAACACGAGCTCAGCCCTCGACTCTCCCGCGCGCTGGATGCAGAGCTTCAGCGCATTATGATCAAAGTAATTTAGTGATTTTAATTTAATTTTTATTTATTCTTAATTTGTAACGCTGTTGATGATTTGTTTGTTGTTTGTACCTATAATTGGAGTAGCACCAATCTTGTGTGTTTTAGTTTCATTTTTTTTTAAACTTGTGATGGTGTCTATTCTGTTGGTGCAACTAAATAAATAAATAAATAACTGAGAGCCGTCACGTTGAGTAATTTGCCTTATTATAGATTTTACGACCGGCGTGTCGTCATGTGGAAGTATTACTTACTTCGCCGGCTCAGCGACCCAAAGAGGATCTTGGCCTCCGACACGAAGACGCCACTGCTGTCTATTCTGGGCTGGCTTGACTTTCAAGTATTACTTAAGCAAGCTAAATGACTGTCTTTGCAAGTATAAATTGAGTATAGATTGTAAATTTATTTACTAATGCATTGTCCACGGGCTCTCAAATCTGTTAGCACCGTTTCTTTATCAGGAAGAGTAATAAAAAAATGGATTCCACCCTAGCTTGCTTACGTAATACTTGAACTGATGACTGATATTTCAAATTCTATAACCCGTTTTCATCGATATTTGTAGTTAAAAAACAACCAGAGGTACCACTTATCACCTTTGCACCTATGTCAATTTTCACGAGACTTGTTCTTTTTTATTCTGTTTTGAATTCTTTTTTATTCTGTTCTATCTTAGGTATGGCAGGAGTTCCCCGACGACCCGACCACCGCCGAAGAGAAGCTGGTTGCGGACAAGTTCCGCAACGAGGCCGGCGACTCGCTGAGGAACGTACGTGCCCGTGATTTTCGTTCGAGCGGCGAACTTGCGCCGAAGACTGTACCGAGTGGGCCTTTTTGTGCGTTACATACAAGACGGGCACAATCGGATGGGGGAGGGGAGAGCATTATTTTTATGCGAAAAGTTGTCAAGCGAGCAGGCGGTTCGCCTGATGTTAAGCGAAACATCTATAAAACCTAATGGTTTTTTTGGATGCGTTGACAACTTTTAAAAAAGCCGGCCCACGCGCTTTTGTTACTGTTATTGCTCTCCCATACCCGTTACATTAAAGGAATAAACTCAGTTGTATAAAGAAACCGATCAAGTGCGAGTCGAACTCGCAGTTATGTTCCGTACTATTATCTATAAAAGCGGCAATCATGCCTGTTGTATGGGAGCCCGACTTAAATATTTTTTTATTGTTTATTTTAATTTTGGTTATAGCGGCAAAAGATCATCATCTGTAAAAATTTCAACTGTCTTAACTACCACGGTTCACGAGATACAGTCTGGTGACAGGACAGACGGACAGACGGCAAAGTCTTAGTAACAGGGTCCCGTTTTACCCTGTGGGTACGGAACCCTAAAAAGAGAGGTGACTTATGGACAACCGTTTGGAACTGATTTCCTTTCGCTGTATCTTTTTTGCGTTTGTATTAAGTGATGATTATATTAAAAAGTAGTATTAGTACATAGTTGGTAGGGCCACGCAGCAGCCTCGGCTGTTGCACGGATGGGTAGGCCCGTCCTGGTAAGTACCACGACCTCACAGAAGACCGGCGTCAAGTGGAAGTATAATACTTTCGCGTTTCGTCTGGTGAGTGAGGTGGCCGGAGCCCAATTTCCAAAGGGTTGTCAACGCATCTGCAATCTTCGGCTGTAGCAGATGTCCACGGGCGGCGGTATGCACTTAACATCAGGTGAACCGTTTGCTCGTTTGGCAACTTTGCACATGAAAAAAAAAACATCTTCGGTTTTCTCCGTGCACATCTGGCTCTCTCCCCAAGTCTCCGTTTTGTGCGAATCTCCGCTTGTAATTATCCTACATGCCGCACGCCATTGCTCGTGGAATATGTCACGCAAAAGTGATCATTTATATTAATAAAAGGAGACGTTTAAATACACGTTTAGGATTATAAATATTTCGCATATTCTCAAAATTGACGGCAAGCGATTGAAATTTTTTTTAGTTTCCTGGGTGATCGGGAAGTGCATCAAATTTCACAGCAAAAACATGTCGAGTTTTGCCACATAAAAGTCCTGAATTTTTTTGTATACTTTACTCGGTCGAAATCCTCAGCCCGCAAACAAATCAGAACGATAACGTGCGATAAGAAACTCGTTTACAAAAAACAGATTCAGATTTTATGTAGACTTTTTTTTTCCACCTCAAATGGAATTCGTATTGATCGAAAACTTTTATAAAAGCAGTCTAGTGACAGAACTTATATGTCTCCTCGTAATTAGTAAATTTTTCCAACTTTTGAGTGAAATTTGTTTGCTGCAGTCCAATTTTGATACTTTCTATCAACGTGCAAACTTGTGGCTTTGATAAAAGATAATAAGAAAGATAAGTATATAACACTTTTCTTTCAGGTCTTGGGGCTGAATGTGACGAAACGGCTTTTAAAATTTAACAACTCTTTATATGTGAAGGTAAGAGTTTCTTTCAAAGGTAACTAAATATACATGCATTCAACAATAATTAGTACAATGTCAACACTGGACTTAAAAGGCTGAAATGACGCTGAATATATCTTAGTATTAAAAAAAACGCCTTGAAAAAGTACGAAAAGATTGTCGCCGCTGTGGGAATCGAACCCACGTTTTCGGCATTCAGGCCGCGAATGCCGAAAACGTGGGTTCGATTCCCACAGCGGCGACAATCTTTTCGTACATTTTCTACAAATTTTAATGTACAATCTTAAGTGCAGAGATTAGCACTATAACAAATTTAAAATTTCTAAAAACTAGGGCCTTTAAAATGCACAAATGATGCAATAAATCTTCCCCAGATATATTTCATGACGCGACCGGAGAGGGGTACTTTGACGGAGTTCATAAAGAAGTACAACATACGCACGTTCAAGCGCATCGACAACAGGGCCAACATGTTCGCCGGACAAATGGCCACATTCGACGACTTCGATCGCATCTGCTCGGCCAAGGAGGTTTATTGCGGTGAGTGCGAAAAATAGGGGAAGCATGTAATGGGCCGTCCATTAATCACGTGAGGCTCGAAGGGGGGGGGGGGGGGGGGGGGGGGGGGGGGGGGGGGGGGCGTGTAGTAGAGATATGAAGTACAAGATATGACGTATATTTATATTTTCGACAAACGCGCGATATCTAAACCGAAAAGCAGTGTATAGTCTGACCTTGACTCACCGTTACATTTTTATCATGGTCCTTAATTTCAGAATAAAATTAGATTATACTCTAAACCTGTATTTAAAGATTATATTCAAATCACACTCACGTATCACCAAAGGGGAGGAGGGGGTTAAAAATAGTAAAAAACCTCACGTGATCAATGGACGGCCCCTAAACAATCGGCGGAGGTCACTTTAGAGTACGTACCTACCTACACGAACATGTACGTCAACTCCAAACACCAGGGTGAAGTAAAAAATACCAGCTGAGTGTGTATGCACATATTTATGGTGTGAAAGAAGCCAGAGGCTAAACCTCTGTGGCTAGAGTTCTGAGTTCAATTGTGATTTTGTAATAATTATTTGGATAAAAGTTCTGTAACTTTTTATCATACCATCACTAGAGAATTTTAATGTAACCTTCGGCTTTATAAACATGTTTATAAAGCTCATGGATGACTGTTGTTGACTGTTGACTAATAACTAGTTTGTTATGTACGTTAAGAGAAATCCCTTGTATTATATCCCATTAACCTTTCAGCGTCTTTTGTTTGGACTTTGTGCAGTTTATTGTCAAAAGAGTAGACTACAATTTCCTCATACTTACCATGGAATCCAAAATGGGCGAGCCACCTTTTATATTAAACGAAATATTCTCATTCCACAGGTCGTGTTAAGGTGACTGTGAAGCCGTGTTACAGTTTCACATCTTGTCCGCCCAATTTAAAAACTGTTTTCGCGGGTAACACCGAAAACGACGAAACGTTAAAAGTTGAAAATGACGTGGAAGAGAAGACAGTCAAATCAACAGATCAAACTGAATCTAAACAAGAAACTTCAGAAACGAAAGCTGACGGTAAACAGGAAGCCGGTCTGAAGAATGTAGGTGAAACCCTGCAAATGAAAAATAGCGACAAATCAGAACAGCTCAAAAAAGAGAAAACAGGGTTAGAGACACAAAACATTATTCCTCAATTGCCTAAGAGAGAGAAGCCAGAACCTACATGTGAAAGTCCTCCTACGAAAAAACAGAAGAGTGAAGAGATAAAAGAGGACATGATAGCGTCGGGGCCTGTAATCATTACCAAAGCAACGGAGAACGCAACTCGATTGTTAAGGAAGGTGAAACATGAACCAATAAGTGAAAGTCCTTCCACGAAGAAAGAGAAGAGTGAAGCAATCAAAAAGGAGATAATGGATTCGGAGTCTGTAAACATTACCAAAGCCAAGGAAGCCGTAACACCATTGGTAAGGAAGGTGAAACCAGAACCGATTAGTGAAAGTCCCTCTACGAAAAAGGGGATTATAGAAGTGATCAAAAAAGAAAAAACGGCTCCGAACCCCGTTACCGTTACCAAACCCAACGAAAACATTCCAGCTCAATTACCAAGGAAAGAGAAACCAGAAACCATAAGTAAAAGTCCTACAAAAAAAGAGAAGGGACAATATTCAAACGCATTGGAGGACTTCAAAGAGCATATCGGGAAAAAACCGGATCAGAAAGGAAACATCAAAACAGAAAAACCTACGCAAAAAAGGAAAACTAGCTATGATGCTAAAATCAAAATTGTTGATGAATACGAATGTGCAGATGAGTTTGAGGGAATACCCGAAAAGCAATTCGCGGAGGAAGATGAAATGGACGACCAAGACATCCTTGCGTTGATGTCTGAGGGTATTGTTCTAGACGAATGCAGTGGTTCAGATGAAGAGTAATTAGTTGCGTAATATTTCATATGTGAAAAGTGTATGTTTTAATATAGAATAAAGCAATATTTAAGAAAATTTCTTATTAACAATATCCAAAAAGTGTTCCAGTGTTATTCTCAAAAAAAAACTACACACATTGATTGGTGTTCTGGTAGTTATAATCTCATATGGAATGTCATGTAATGTAATTAGTTTTTAATAGTTGTTAGTTATGCTAAGGCATTCCCTGATTGTCTTTATAATTCTACTAACACTTGTACTATTATACGGCCATGTTGTGCCAGTGGGAAGTGCCATGGACTCGCAAAATATGGAAATATTATTTTTTTTCCTTTTCTCTGGTTAGGTAAAAGTGGCCCACCAGTTTAAAGGGTAGCAAACTTGCAAACCCCACAGATATTCGTTAGCGCCGGTTATTTCCTAGCATCAGGTGTTCTACATAAAATAAATTCTGATAATCGGGTATGAGTGATTTCAACAAATCTGTTGAGAAATATCAAACACAATATTCACTATGTTCATGTTTTTATTAATTTCCATTTTATAATTTTAAACTATTAATTTGGTAACTCTGTTGTATCTATTTCCTCCTCTATCTGAAAAAGAAAATTGTTTTTTTAGCTAACAAAGTTACTAAATGATTAAAACTTTTGGATCTCCTCTAGTAACGTGGACGGGGCGAGGAGCGCACGTTCTTTAGAAAGCTGCTTACAATCAAATATAATTGTGAACAACCATTGCGACTTCAGTACTCATTATATAATTAGTATTTTATAAATGACTGAAATCATACTAGGTTTTGAAAGAATACGCTCAGATTTATGTTTAGAGTAGAATTAAAAAAATATGATTTCTTTGCGACTTACAATAACAATTAGAAATACGTTTACAAATCTTCTGTAGTATTTGTGAGCATAGTCTACTCTAGCTATAATCTAGATATGATAACTAACACAACATATATTAAAAATGTTTAGATATATGAGTAAAATACTATTTATGGTTGTGTTTATATGCGTTTTACAGCGAACAAAGTGGCATATGAGTTCTGTAAAATATAAAAAGGATGACTTGTTGACAATTAGAATTTACTTACAACTTGTACCCTAAAATCAATATGTTTTTATTTAATTATACTATAACAGTATAATTAAATAAAAACATATTGAAATATGTGATAAATTCAAGTCATTACTAATTTTGAACAGCCCGTAACAGCGAGGAAGCACGCCTTTTCTTTGGAGCAGCTTCCTCTAACCGTTTTCTTTCAGCTTCTAATTCATCAGCTATACCGTAAACTGCTTTTGGAGCAACCTGAGATATTAAGTAATAACAATATTATGTTTAAAAATTATCTCAGTCTTCTCCGGGTTGACTACTTTATCGCCCAGGGCGTTTTTTTTAACCGGATAATAGTCCGGGCTGTGTTGTGGTCTGTCGCGCATAAGGTTGTGCAGCAGAGAGGCCCTGCAGATGTCGCTTATGTATGGGAAGTACCGGGTCGAGGATGATACAGATCGCTCTGGTGACCGCTCTGTATGCGTGGGAACAGATTAAGGCATTGTTGATTCGAAATTGAAATAGACTGTTCAACAAGTAGTCCTGTACGATTTTAAAGCGTTTGTAGGTCCTAACGAGTGTAGTTGAACTTCGTCGAACATCAAAGAAAAGTAACTCGTGCAGCTGTCCTTCTGGGGGTTGGCAGAATGACAAATAGAGAGAATGTGCTTCGTGGTGAAATGTATTTGAAGACTTAAAGTATCCAGCTGCTAAAGCCGAAGTGCCGGTCTAGAAGATTTAATGAATTGAAATCATTTTGAATCCATAGTAAGATAATGCGTTTGTAAATTTTCCCAATAGCTAATAGGAGACTAATTGAATAGTATCGGTAATTGAACGCCAAATCTCGGTACTTCTTCATCTTAGTGAATGCAATGACTTGTATAATACAATGACTAAGGGAGATGTGTATTAAAAATCTTCGCTAGATAGCTAATGCGATGGGCAGGGAGTCAATTAATCACTCTGTTAAAGATTTACGCCCGGTTTCTGAAACACTGACTATCGTAGAAGTTAACTAATCAGCTGCTAAATGGCTTTTTTAATTGTTTTTCTTTAAAACAGCCCTTACCTTAGGATAACATTACACATATATGACAAACATCCAGATGCGAAACACACACTCAAAGTGCCAGATAGGTTCGTACACACCATCCGGGCCATCCTGTCGAACCGCTCTTTTCGATATCAAGTTGAAGGCACCCACTCCACCAGCCGCCGCCTCACGGCCGGCGTAGCACAAGGCTCCTGCCTCTCACCATAAAGACCCCCACGTCAATCTCGCGCTTTTCGCGAATGACACGGTGCTCTTTTATTCAGACCGCAACCTAAGACAACTAACCACTCGATTCCAAAGCGCCGCCGACCGCCTCGGCGATTGGTTCCGCAAATGGAGAATAGAAATAAATCCCGAAAAGAGTGTGGCGATTCACTTCACACGAAGTACTTACCCGCAGGGCCGTGCCTGACGGGCGTTCATTGCGTGCACAGCACGCAGGCGGCCGAAATTAAGAGGCGGCCAAATCGTTACAAGTTGTTTACAGGGCAAAAATACAATCGGTTTGTTTTCATTAAGATACGAAGTAAAAACAGTTTCTCTAATCTAATCTATCTAAAAAGAGTTTCTCAGAAATAAGAAATGTATAAAAACTGATTAGGTCGTTGTAGTATTTATATACCTAGTCATGCAGCGAATCCGAATTTTTTCGAACATTGCACGAGCGACGAGCCGAAATAGTTTTTTCAATTGACCGGCGTCGCGTAAGCGGTCTTATTCGTCTTATTAGTCGTATTAGTCTATAGACTAGCGAGGATAAATCGTTATTTGTGTCCTGTGTGTGATCCGATATTATTAAATTCTTTAATTTAACGAATAAAAATAAATTGCTTAATTCCTGAAAACTTTTAGTTGTGTGTTCGTGTGGTGAAATTTAATAAAAAGTTTATTTACTCGACAAAGACTGAAAAAGGTAATACACAAAAAATGTAAAATTTGGGTAGACTTTCACTTTTTGGGCCCGGGAAATTTTGGCGGGTCTTTTTGGAGGGAAAAGGCCTTTTGATATGAAATTCTTAAATAAATATTAAAAAATATTTAATAATATTAAAAAAAATTAAAAAAAAATTAAATAATAATTAAAATAAATAATAAAATAGTGCAATTTAATATTAAATTACTTAAAATTGTCTGGAGCGCAATATAAAAGAAAGCGAGAGGAAAAGCAAAATGAAGCTAAAAAAATGTTTGGCTCATTAACAAAGTTTTTAGTAAAATCGCCAGAACCGGAAAGTAGTTGTAGTAGCCAATTAAATCCAATTGATGATTTGTTTTGCGATAAAAATGAAAATGAATTATCTGTCGAAAATGAAAAGGCTAATGACAATACTAGTAGTACCGACGAAATGGAAACAGAAGATAATAAGGATATCGATCTATACAATACCGATACCGCTGAAATTGATAAAGCATATTTTGCTATGTGTATGGATTTAAATGATCCAGCTTGCTGGCCTTTAACAATTACCACTAAAATATTGGATATATTAATCGAAAAAGGACCCATACAAAATAAACAATCTACATATCCAATTAATGAATTGGGAAGATCATTTTCATCAATTTATTTCTATAGAAAAATGCCAAATGGTGAAAAATTTAATCGTGAGTGGTTAATCTATTCTCCAAAAATGGATTCCATATTTTGCTTCTGTTGTAAATTATTTGGCAAACAAGAAATAAAATTAGTTAATGAAGGCTTCAATGATTGGCAATACACATCTGATAATTTATCTCGTCATGAAAAAACATCGCTGCATATCGGAAATTGCACCAATTGGAAAAATTTGGAATTAAATTTAAAAAACAAAGCTACAATTGATAAAAATTTGCAACGGTATTATGACGCAGAGAAAAAACGATGGTATCAAATTGTCGTACGATATCGTACAGATATCATGCTGTGGTACAATTTCTGGCAGTGCAGGGTTTAGCGTTTAGAGGTAGCTCGAGCAGATTGTATGAAAACAATAATGGAAATTTTCTAAAAGCAATTGAAATGATAGGAAAATTTGATGATGTTATGGCAGATCACATAAATCGCATTCAACAATCAGTTGCTTTAAAGAACCATATGCCACATTATGCGGGAAATCGCTTCCAAAATGAAATAATTAGTATCCTTGCAGCGCAAATTCAAAAATATATTTTGTCAGCAATAAAAGACGCCAAATATTTTTCAGTAATTTTGGATTGTACGCCGGACATGGGACATGTCGAGCAAATTACAATAATTTTGAGATATGTGCATATTCAAAATGACGAAGTAGAAGTGAGAGAAAATTTCGTTGGTTTTTCTCCAGCTCAAAAAAGTACTGGAGAAGCTTTTTACGACTTTTTAATTGAAAAATTAAGCTCTCTTAAATTAAATGTTAACGATATGAGAGGCCAGGGGTATGATAATGGATCAAATATGGCTGGAAAACATATTGGATTGCAGAAACGAATTTTGGACAATTATCCACGAGCTTTGTTTATGCCATGCAACGCGCATACATTAAATTTGGTCGTCAATGATGCAGCGAAAGTTTCTTTTTCAACTGTGGATTTTTTTTTAGTAATGTGTCAGCAATATACAATTACTTTTCCGGATCACCTTTTCGATGGCAAATTTTAAAAAAACATGTAAAATCGTTAACAGTAAAACAAGTTAGCGTAACCCGGTGGGAATCAAGGATTAAGGCGATTAGACCACTGCGTCATGAATTAGGTGAAATTTATGACAGCCTAATAGAACTAGCGGAAGAATGTTCAACACCAATAGGTCAACATGAAGCTAAATGTTTGGCAATGAAAATTAAATCGTACAAATTTATTTGTTCCACAGTAATATGGTACGAAATCTTAGAAAAAGTAAATATTATTAGTAAAATGATGCAGACCGTTTCTTGGAATCTTACTTCATGTGCTGAATCTATTAATAATATTTTAATTTTTTTCCAAAGTATTAGAAATGATGAAAATTTCGAAAAGTATTTGAAAATTGCTGATGAATTATGTGAATCACTTGAAATACAACCGGAATTTCCTGTTGAAATTAATCTACGTCGACGCCATAAGCGAAAACAATTTGACTATGAAGGAGATGAGGATATTCAGTTAACTGCTAAAGAAAATTTCAAAATTAATTTTTTCTATGTAATATTGGATACAGCCATTTCATCTGTTACTACCCGATTTGAAACATTATCCAATTTCGAACAGTCTTTCGGATTTTTATATAAATTTGTTGAAATAGGAGAGGACGACATAAAAAAAAGTTGCTTCGACTTTCATAATAAATTCAAGGATGGCGAATCGTGCGACATAAACGGAGCAGAATTATACGAAGAGTTAATTTCATTGAAAATAATTATAAAAGATAGGAAACAACCCGAAGAACTCCTAAAGTATTTGTACAAACACAATTTACAAAATTCATTTCCAAATGTATCTACAAGCTTAAAACTATTATTGACCATGCCTGTATCAGTTGCGTCTGGAGAACGTAGTTTTTTTCTAAATTGAAAAACATAAAAATTACCTACGTACTTCCATGACGCAAGAACGTATGAGCAATCTTTCAATTATCGCGATTGAAAGTGAAATTGCTGAATCTTTAAATATTCACGAAGCAATTGACGATTTTGTCAGTAAAAAATCCCGTAGGATTAACTTTTAATATGTACTATATTTAATAATTGCTTCGTGAAGATTCAGCAATTTCACTTTCAATCGCGATAATTGAAAGATTGAAAGATTTCCCTAATTAGCCGGTAACCTAACCGAAATAATTTTATGAAACCGGTTAATTAACCAAAAACCTTTACTATTTTCAATATCAATAAATAATACGTAAGATTTGATTTTTTAAAATCAAATAATTTTAAATTGTCACTGAGCGACACCTAGGATTTTAAATTATCGCATTCCTATGTTCTTTATGTTTGATAATTTTGTCTGTGATTATACTACCAATACCATAATTACTTTTTTTCATGTTATTATTAAAGTAAGTAAATTAATTCTATTTTGTATACCTCCCAAGTTGCAAGTCGGCCCAGATCTGCCATTGGCCACTGAGCTTTGTTATCCTAATATGTTAGTATAGATTTAAGGGTTATTCCTTGTTCTTTATGTTTGATAATTTTGTCTGTGATTATAAAACCAATACCATAATTTTTTTCATGTTATTATTTTTGTTTAAATTTTAAATAAAAAATGTTTATTTTGTGCATTTTTTTTTCTTAAATTTCATCCAAACATTTAAATCTCATAAAACCGGTTTTTAGCCGGTTTTTCTTTTCAGAAACCGGTTTTGGGAACAAAACCAATATTTTTTTTCGTTCTCGATTTCGGTTAACCAAAAACTGATTTTTTTCCCGGTTTGATGCCCTGTGTAAAATAATAAACATTAAAAATTAAAGTAGTTTTTTTTTAATGTTATCCTGGGGGCGGCCATACAGACTGGCACGCAGGCGGCCATATACCCAGGCACGGCCCTGCTTACCCGTCACATCTTTATAATGGCCCTCGTCAATGCAGAGAGTTGGGGCAAATATCCCTTTATAGCCAACCGCTGCCTTGGGAGAAAAAGGTCAAATACTTAGGACTCACTTTCGACTCGCGTATGTCATTTACTACGCAATACAGCCGCGTTCGTCTCCGGCCGGCTACACAATTTAACTAACGCTAAAAGTAAAATGCCCTTAAGACACAAATTATTATTATATAAGACCTGCTTACGACCTATTATGTCCTACGCATGCATGACCTTCGCCCACACGCACCCTACTCGCTTGTACAAGTTGCAAATAGTACAAAATAAGTTCATCCGCCTCGCAACCGGTGCGCAGTAGTATCAACGAAACGTCGACCTGCACAGCGATTGCAGACTGCCGACGATTCGCGAATATTTTAAAGACCTGACCAAACGGTTCTTCGACAGAGCCGAACATCACCCCAAGACTCTAGTGGTAAGCGCAGCAAATTACCAACCCGACCCAAACGCGAACGTCAACAAGCGTCGCCCCCGAAACGTCCTCATCGACCCGGTCGAGGAAGGGGACTTAGATACGCCGGACCCACCGCCGGGGTCCCGGCTTATAACACGGCCGGATAACACTACACCAACAGTTAGTGCAACAACAAACACACTAGTTCGCCCTCGCCTCCGAGCACGGCAAGACCAACACAACGCGTACACAAGGTACATCCGCGTTCCGCGGCGGTTCTCACCGCTCCCAGCCTCCGATTAGCTAATTGCACAGTCGAGGGCCAACGGGGTTTCAGACCGAACCGCGACCTCGATGGCCCTTAGATGACACACCATACTTAAACGCACGCATGACGCACGCCCTGCCCACAGCGGAAGGCCCAAACCCGTGGGTTCTGGCTAGCCCACCGGTTCTGCGTCAGATGAAGCTTTAATAGTCTCGGGACTGAAAGCACAAACATCAGTTAATACAAGATACAAGGATGCGAAACATCTATCAGTAAAAATCACACAAATAGTTGTCCCGTGTGGGAATCGAACCCATGACCCCCGGCACCGAAGCCAATACAGTTAATGTTATTTAAGTTGCCAAAAGGATGGTTAAACTCTCTGAATTGATCAGAATGATCTTCTTAATGATCGGAGTGATCAATTAAAAGAGTTTAACCATCCTTTTGGCAAACTCAAATGACGTTTGAAAAGCCATTTGACAGTTGATTACTTAACTTCTACGATGATCAGTGTTTCAGAAACCGGGCGTAAGTCTGGGTCGGGCACGGAGCAGCATTTGAAGTCTGGATAATTCTGGGCCTCAAAGAACAGTTAAGAAACTTGTTTAAAGAGATAAAGGTATTCACTTTTGCTTCTCAATACATTTTGAAAATGTTATGTACGTCCATAAAAATAAGGATCAATTTTCAAGATACAATAATGTTCATGATAAATACTAGGAACAAAACATAAATTGATCGTACGCACAAGTAGACTACGTAAAATAAGTAAATCTTTTAAGGGGACAATGTATACGTTTCTATAACAAAATTCCAGAACGTTCAAAATGCATCAATAGCTAAATTTAAAATAATGTTAAAAGAACGTTTGTGTGTTAATAGGCTGTTATAATATTAATGATTATTTAAATGATAACACCCTCTGGTAAGAACTGATCGCTCCAGGCTCTTTCAATCAGTTCTTATATTGTATTTGTAATGAATTCATGTCAAACTGTTTATTTTTTTAAAAAAAAGCCCGCTGAGTTTCTTTCGCCGGTTCTCCTCAGTACAGTGGCTTTCTTTTCCGAACCCGTGGTAATATTTTGACCATCAATAAGCAAGTGTAATACTCCTATGTTGCATAAAGACATTTGATTTGATTTTGAATAGATCTCATCAACCGACGTGTGTTTAAGGGTAGGGTCCGGTGGTGGAAACCGTGGGGATTTACTTTCCACTTCCTACTCCAGCTTGCTCACTTTTTGCGTAAGTTGGTTGAGTGCTAGTCGTATAAGCTACGAGGCTTTTCCGTTGTTTTTGAACGCATTGCTACCATCGAGCAGAGGCAAAGCAATCCACTAACTGTGGTAGGGCCACGCAGTAGGCTGAGCTGTTGCACGAATGGGCATGCTCGTCCGGGAAAGTACCACGACCTCACAGAAGATCAGCGTAAAGTGGAAGTATAACAAATACTATCGTGTTTCGTCTGGTGAGTGAGGTAGCCGGAGCCCAATTTTTAAAAGGTTGTCAACGCATCTGTAGCCCTCGGGTGTAGCAGATGTCCATGGGCGGCGGCATTCACTTAACATCAGGTGAACCGCCTGCTCGCTTGGCAATTTTTCACTTAAAAAAAATCAAATCCACCGGAGTCCGGACAAATTACACTACTACAAAACAACTATCAGTCGCAGGACAGCACGTTTGCTAAAACTTATTAGCTTAACAAACTTTTGTTGGTTATAAAGAAAATATTATTTTTATCTGCGTACCAATATAAATATATTTTTTTATTTTTGTGCTAGTCTAGTTGACGTTTTTACTTCAAAAAATAGCAGCTCTTACTTTTTGTGCTTGCCAACACTAACTTGTGTCAACGATAATTTTTACGCCGTTAAATGTCAAACTTTACCTCAATCGGCGCGATTTAATTCTATATCTATCCTTTCTGTTTGGAGGCAACGTTTCCTGATACATTATTAGCTTGTAGATATATTAGGGGACTTTTAATATTATCAATATCGCGTATCACAAATATAGCAAATACTTAAAACGCGTAGAAAATTTTCTTTAACATATTGACGGTTTAGTTTATTAAAAGGAAGCTCAATCAATAAACTTTTACGAAAGGCGTATGAACCGTAATATGCGCTTCGGGTCTTCGGGTCCAACTTTGGTTCCGGCCTTTTAGTCACTATTTAGCCAATAATCGTGTGAGTAAAAATATATTCAAGATTAATCATTAATATTACATTGAGGTAAGAGAAAGTCCATATTTTTATGAACTAGCCAATTTTCGTTGTGTGTAACACTATCCTAATATAGCTTCTTGATACGATTACTTTTTGATTTTATATGAAAAAAAAATTAATATAAAGCTTCATTCTAGGAGAACCTAGTATAACAACAATTATTATTTTTTTTGGGATCTAATTAGAAATAAGGTTCTAATATTAATCTTGACCGATAATAGACTAATAAATAGAAATGTTGGCAAATGGCAAAATCGGTATCAACAAATGTCATTATATTTCAGTTTACATAAGAAGAGGGAAATAATAGAGAAGCATAGAGAAGACATCATGCAGCAAACAATGTCTTCCAATAATCAGTCATTTAATAGAAAGGTAAGAATAAAATGAAACTATTATATTTTCATTATTTTAATATAAGTTAACTTATGTGCAGATAACTTTTCTGTGATTTATTTGTGCAATGCGAGATATTTCAGTGCTTAACTGCTGAGCAGTGGCATTACAACTTACAATGAATTCCAAAATATTGATTATGACATCTATTATTTTTAAAGCCGCTTTATTTACTATAAGAATATTGTTTCTAGTTTTTTGTAAATTTTATGAAAACAGTCTTTGGAACAACATCGGCCTCACCAAGGTTAATTGAAAAACTAAATTTTCATTTACTCATATTATTGTTCATATTACATAGCATTATACCCATATGCAACGTTTACATAAATGTAAGTAGGCTAGGTACACATGCCGTGCTTCTAATCTGGTATAAAAATGTGGTTATAATTTAAACTGTCATCTGTCAGCCAAATTCTAACCTAATATAGGTAATGTTTGTTATACTTTATTATGGTTTTATTATGGAATAAGTTTTTGAGTTATATTTTATTATGGTTTATTAAACTACATATGGAGTAAGATTTTGAGAATTTCATGGTATTGATGCATGTTAGGATAACTTCCTTATCCCTATTTGTAGTATTTTTAAATAATGCTTATTTACAATAACTTAGTATGATCTCAATAGATTATTATATTATCCATATAGATCTTGCAAATTCTATAATGATTACAATTATGGAAGCAAGGTAATTTTTACAGCTCATATATATAACAATAATATGACAAAAAACAATAAGCCAAAAATTAAGTCACAGAAAGCAAGCTGTTTTTTACAATTATGTTTAGTTATTTTAATACCAAGAAAACACACAGAAACCTTGGGCTCTCAAGATAACTTATAATTTCAGAGGCTGTATGGGAATGATTACCCAAACCAAAATTTCATCCCATTTGGGACCAACCAACATGCTACTACTCAAAATTTTGCTTTACTATATGACGATGGTCCAGGCCCTAGCTACAACCATGGCAGCCCTACTCCGAACAAGAAACGTCGAAAAAGAAATACATGGGGATCAGATGGGGTCAACACTAACCAGAATCCTGGTAAACAGCAATATGTACCTTTCGCGGGTCCAAAGGGTCCGCCGAAGCCTCTAATGGGTCTATCATTTGCCGGCCGCCGTATGCCCCGTAAAGATTTCACACCAAACAAAGTGCCTATGTCAGTTCACACAAAGACAAATCTAGAGCCAGTCCCTGCGGCTACAGTCAAAAGGTCTGTCCAGCCAGCCTACACATCCGAAATGCACATTCTGCGCGCCGATAGGGTGCCCTGTCAGCAAACGACTGGTCGTTTAGAGCTTGCCCTTGGAGCTATTTTGAAGGAAATGAAAGCAAAATTCTGTACAGTAAAAGAGACTGGCGCACTCTTCAATTCAAAAACCACTCAGCGTTACATAAAGCAATGTATCCGTGAAAGGATAAAGGCTGTCATGCTAAACAAGTATGTTGGGAAATATATTGAAGTTGTAGCAAGCTATCGTGAATCATATCCGCCGCATACTGACAAGGATTTAATGGATATGGCTGTAATGAAAGCAGGTACAAGTGCTATGTTTTCTTCCTGTGGGCACATCTTTGAATATTATGGTCATCAATCATCATCAATTGTTCTTGCCCACTTTTTCTATACACAGTTTGGCTACCTCTGTATGGTCTGATTCGATATCTTTATGAAAATTTTGGATGAAATATATTCTGTTTTAACAGTGCAACTATTTAAGTATTAGTAATAGTTCCCGTCATTTAATATAAAATTATAATATATTTTTTCAGGCGCCTCAGAAACAATTATAAAATACAACTTCAACAAGATGTTGACTAAAAAACTAGAGGAGATGTTCAAAAAGGTTTGTTGAATTAAACAAGTATGTTATGTCAAATTCAATATTCATATACTTCTATTATTATATTCAAATACTTCTATTATTTTTATAGTTAAAAAAACAAAGTGAGGGTAAAGAAATTGAAGTCCTCAAAATCATTGAAGCGCATAAAACTATTAAATGCGGCGAAAAGTCGGAAGCAGATATCAAACAATCTTGCAAAATAGAAAGAAATTTTTATATATCAATTGTAGACTCCTTGCTTGAAGAAAGATTACCAAAACTTTTACCAAATTATGCCTCGGTAAGTAGCATGAAATAAATTAAGGAAAAGTGGCAATTATTTAAAATAATCGTTAATAACCGTGTTTTAGTTGCTGTTAAAAATTTTACAAAATGAGTCAGATTCATGCAAAAAGAATCAAGATCATGACAATACCACAATTGAAATTCGTGACAGTGATGGGGATGAAGATGTGTTGGGGGTAAAGGCCGAAACCGACAAAGAAGTGGAAAATGGGGTGATTCTGCAAACAGCGACAGCTGATACTATACCAGTGAATGAATTGACAGAAATAAAGAATAGTGAAGAATCACCTGAAGGTGAATCTAATACAGACAATACAGATGCTGTTGAAAAGGTTGATAGTGTTAATAATACAGTTGTTAAAGAGGAAGTCCAGACTGACATTGCAACGGTTAAAGAAAAGACTGATAATTCCATAGTTGAGAGTAAATCAGGTGATAGTATAGTTGAGGGTATAACAAAGAATACTGAATCGCATCAGCAGTCACAGGAAATAGGCACTTCTAATTCATCATCATACTTAGTAAAGGTAGATAACTTTTTTTTCAGTAACTGCTCTAATGGCTAAATGTTTCTAATTATAGAAAAGTCATCATGTCAAACTTCATAATTTTCCAGTTGTTAAAATAAGTAAATGATCAATAAATTAAGATATATTTATTAGAATATGTTGTAATAAAGATATCTGTATACTAACAGTAACTTTTTTATAACAAACTACCTATATGGCCTTTTCAGTAATTTTTATTATTTTTGTTATATGTTATTCATGTAATTTGCAGGTGCTTTGTCAACCCAAGTTACCGAGCAAAGCTGCAGCGTATAAATTCCTAAATAAGTTTAATGCGGTCAGTGTGAAAAAGCATAAAACTATCCATAACCTACTGGTGGTGGAATTGAAAAATGATAAGGATTTCAATGATATTACAGCAGCAAGTGGCACTGTCATTGGTAAAGACTCGATTCATACATAATATTATAGGAATATTTCATTGGACTATGAAGCATTTATACAGCGTGTCGTTACCATCGCGACAGTAAATGAACACACGTCTAACGCTACTTGCCAATAATCATAAAAAAATATTAACATTAAACAAAATCCATAATTAAAAAAAATATTTTTCAAACTAATTAAGTAAAAAAGAAACAAAATTTGTAACATCCTATACAACTCGCCTTTACAAACCTAGACCTTTACAAATAAACTTTACGTTACGCTTTTATAGGTAAGGGTGTTCTAAAATGCTTTGTTTTGGAAAAATTAATAACTCTGTAAATATTGATGTTTAAAGAATTTAAATGTTTAATACAACTTTAAAAACTTATCCCCTATATGTGTGTTCATTTATTGTCGCGATGGTAACGACACGTCGTATATTGATTAGATCATACCTCAACATGTTTTCTTTACTCGAAAAATAATATTTCTTTTTCTAGACCATGTGGTGTAACAATGCTTTAATTATAATCACTTATAGATTTATAAGTAAACATTGTTTAAATACACATTTACTGAACAATTATATTCACATTAACCAAAATAGTGTTGAGCCATGATAGCTGTGTCCGGATGCTTGCTTCTAATTCAAAAGAGTCAACAACCTAAGTTAAAATCATCAGCTCCATGAATTTGCTTATTTTAAGTGTGACTTTTCACATACTCATGCTACACTGCTTCTGCATATTTTCGAAATAATAGCAGAAAAAAAGTTGCTTTGCTAAGTTCGCCAATCCGCATTAGGGTCACATGGTGTGGACTATTAGATTTCTTTACCAACGTAATTATAACACGTTTGAGATGCCGTCCACAGTTCGCTTGACGTCTAGATGCCTAATGCCCTCTGTATAGAAGGGGCAGTGAGATACATTTAGCCTATATATATATATATATATATATATATATATATATATATATTATTTTATTTATTTAATTATAAGTAAGATGTTGAATATTCACAGAAAACTCGAAGCTCATCATTAAGGGTAATAAAACGGAACAGCCAGTTGGGTCACCGGCGCCGGCGGTCGAAGCAGAAAAAGAAATGAAAGATGAAAAAGAATACTCCAAGGGGTCGAACATAATACCGCCGGAACTGGAAAACCAGATAACCGACCTCCTCTCATCAATACGAAAAGCTGAAGAGCTACAAAGGGAGCAAGATGGAGTCAAGGACGAAGAGCCCCAAGCGGACGTCGCTGTGGACGAAGGAAAAGTGCCAACAGCAATGAACAACGGAACAAAGGAAGAGGACAAAGTGGCCGATAAGAACCTGTACTCGCCAAGTAATCCGTTCGACGAAGAATCAGCAGAGCTGGAAACAATCAAAGAGGCTGCGGGGGAGAGGGAGGGCAACGAAGAATCAGCGGAGCTGGAAACAATCAAAGAGGCTGCGGGGGAGGGGGAGGGCAACGAAGAATCAGCGGAGCTGGAAACAATCAAAGATTCTGCGGGGGAGCGGGAGGGCGACCCACCAGTGACAAGTGTCGAGCCTGATGCCCTATCAATGCAGGGTGAGGGAACCAATAAAGAACCTAAGAGCAACATCAAAGACGGTAGAAGCACTCCGGTGAGGTCCTCATCCCGTCTGGCTAACGCCACCCCAAGTACTATAAGGACAAGACGAGCCAGCCGGCTAGCGCAAAACAATTGACCCGGTTACAGAAGTGTGATATTAATAGATTTAGTGACAAGCAAGCCTCTAACCTACCAACAGCATCTGTTCAACAGACGACATATTCTTTTAATTGAAACATTATGGGTGCGTTCCACTAAGCGCCCACAACGATCAAAATGCTCCTTTAGTCGTTCCACATAACGACCGCGGTCGTTGTGGTCGCGGCCAAAACGTCACTACGTCATGACTTACGCTCACGCGAAGCTCACGGCGACCCATCTAAAAAGGTGGGTCGAAGTGATCGTTGAGAAAATTAGGCATTTTCAAAATTCAAAATGTCTAAGTTCAAAGTGTCACCGCAAAAGAAATTTTAATTACATTTGAACGTAAATTAATTAAATACACCACTAATATTAAATATAAAAAATTAAATTATAATTTTTTTCAATATAAATCGGTTTGAACAATAATTATTTAAGTTTATTTTCAAGGCTTACAGATTATAACCTAGCCTCTTAATCTTTTGCTTCCTTTTTTCTATTTCGCGGTTTGTATTATTTACCTCGACGCTCAAAACGCTCTATAATCCATTCCACTTGAGTTTACGGCAGTAACGCTCACAAGCAAGTGGAACGGGAATAACTGCGGTCGTGAGCGTGATCGTTGTGGGCGCTTAGTGGAACGCACCCTATGGTGTATGGTTGCATTGTGCAACTAAACTTTTAATTTTATGATTTTGAAACGATGTCAACGGCGTCGATTGTTTTATCTGCTGTGCATTAAATTGTTTAATGTAATATCTAAACATCAAGGTTTCATTTTTAGACTAGACATGATAGTCCAAGACTGAGACACTGTGTCCTTGTCTCATAGGCAGTGTGAAACGATAACTCTCACTCGCTTTTACGTATATTAGTATACGTTTTACGTATATACATTTAGCAACTCCTGTTTGCGGTCACTGTTCAAAGGCAATCTTGTCATCGTATAAAGAAAAAAATTAGCTTAAACTTTGGTATAAAATTCATTACGCAAATGAACGCAAATTCATTCATCTTGAAAATAAGTGAACGACATGTTTAGAAAAAAAAATTAACACATTTAAATTATTAATACTTGCGCTCCTATTTTTGCAATGCGGTAGTAACGTATTTTTCAATCAATAATATGGCATTAATTAATATGGAGTCATTCAATACCTGGAGTTGTCTTTTAAGATCAGTAGTGTTCAATGTTTTCGACGATTTCGGCAATTTATTAAAAATAAAATAATACCTGATAATAAAACTTTTCACCTAATTATATCTCTCGCACAAAGCTTAAAACATTTTTATCTAGCACGCATGCGCAAATCTTCCCGATATCTTCAAGCTAGTTACGCACGCAAAGCCTAAAATAGTCCTCTTATAATTCGTCGCGATTGCATACGACGGCTCCGTCTATACTTTTTTACTGGTCTGAGGTTACGTGCCATTATTTCGACTATTTGAAAACTGTTGTTTTACCAATTAAATAATCAGATACACCGATTAAATAACAAGATATACCTTTAAAATTTGTAGTAACAGTACGAAAAGATTGTCGCCGCTATGAGAATCGAACCCACGTTTTCGGCATTCGCGGCCTGACGCTCTAGCCACTAAGCTAAACAGCTGATTGCCACACCGACGAAAATCTTAACGTCTGTTAAGACGTGGGTTTGACTCCCACAGCGGCGACAATATTTTCGTACTTTTTCTACAAATTTTAATGTTCAATCTTAAGTGCAGAGATTAGCACTATGAAAAATTAAAATTTCTAAGAAGCAATGGCGACATCTCTTTTCGAATTATCGCTGTAAAACGATATTCGAAATTGTTTGTATGCTGGAAAGGATATAACAATGGATGCGCCAAGCATTGCTTCAAATGCTAAAAAACAATGTAGATAAAAGACGTTAAAATTATCGTCAGTGTGGCAATCAGCCGTTTAGCTCAGTGGCTAGAGCGTCAGGCCGCGAATGCCGAAGACGTGGGTTCGATTCCCACAGCGGCCACAATCTTTTCGTACTTTTTCTACAAATTTTAATGTGCAATCTTAAGTGCAGAGATTAGCACTATGAAAATTTTAAATTTCTAAGATATACCAGATATTGAAGATAACTATTTGTATGACCCACAGATTGTTGTTTCGCATCTGGGTGTTTGTCCGCGTGAAATTTATGTTTGTAAAACGCCCGTTACAACACAGGATAATGTTAACCTAAAGTAAGGGCAATGTTTTTAAAATCAAAAGAAAAAAAAGATATACCAATTAAATAACCAGATATAACAAGTAAATAATCAGATATACTAATTAAATAACCAGATATACCAATTAAATAGCCAGATATACCAATTAAATAACCAGATATACCAATTAAATAACTAGATATACTGACTAAATAATCAGATATACCAATTAAAAAACAAGGGTTGTGAGTGTGCATATGTGGGTGCATAGTATTGTACTATAATTAAAATGATTTTTATTGTGAAAGTTTGAATACATAATTATTCCAATGATTATTCCCATCATGTATTCGTCTTGTAATTCGTGTTTTCGGTTAGGTTACTTAACGCGCCAAGCTCCAGCATCTGGCATTCATACCAGCATATGAATGCTCGTTTGTAATCTTCTCTTATAACGAAACTGTCTAGTTTAAGCCAGAAGTCGTGGATGAGTCAACTTTGATCATTAAAACTGTTATGTGTTTACATACCATCAGCTGATTAATGTAGTATTCGTAAGTGATTGTATTTGTGACGGGGTCTAAAGCGGTCTGCATCATCTCATCAAACTCCTCCTGAAAAAACTAGGTTATGTGAGACAAGAATACATAATGATCTCCGAAAATTCTGCATCAAGCAGGGGTATCCTTGTAATGTCAACGTGCATAGTCATTGCAGGCTTCTGCATAGTCTAAACGATTCATCTAAAAAGTAGAACAACATCTCAATCCTCACTTCGCAACGCAGTTAATTACGAACAAAGGGTTCGTAATTATGCGACCGTTTACAAATATCGCCCGCGTGACATCGTCATTTATCCGGTCGGGGAAGGGGACAAGGGGACGCGGACCCACTGGAGACTCCGCTAGTCGACACTAGGTATTGCCACAGATGGCTATTGCCGGTTCTGGCTAGCCCACGAGTTCTGAGTTCGATAAAGCTTACTTTTTTAATTGTCTACTGTCTGAAGGTTAAAACAACAGCTAAAGCAATAATAATAATAATAATCATACCAAAGAGATTTTTTTTTAACCTTACATATGGAAGAAGGCAAAAACATTGTTAAATTAACAGCTACTTTATGGAGCCTAGGCAGTTGTTAGATCTGCTTCAAAGTGTCCAGTAATTTCCATGATATTTAAAAATTTAGATTACGTCTCTCTCTAGCTATCCCTATTTGTATTACCAAGTTTCGAGGCAAAAAAAACATAATCTGAAAACACTCATTTTAACTGTTTCAAATGAACCAATTGTTGGTTTATACTGCTTAGAACTGAATTTTTATTTAATGTCTGGCCAGTTTACTACGATCTCTCCTGATGATAATTAGTGATGTAATAGGTGATAAACGCGTTAGCTCTATAAAACCCAGTTTGTTTATGGCACACAATAAATAAAATAAAACAAGGTATTAATGTTTCAAACCTGTGTGAACGGTTCGCCTTCTTCAAGCATCAACTGGGTGAATCTCTCTTTGGTCAAGTATCCACGGCCTTCTTTATCGAAGTACTGGAAAGCAGCCAGTAACATATCTGCACTTGCTGGATAAAATCTACATGAAGAAAAATTAATGAGGCCTACAAATCATTCTGTAGCCATCGTAATTATCGGAAAGTCTGTAAAATTAGGTAAGAAAATATTGCAAATCTCGCGTCAAACTACATCTATTAATTTATTGATTAATAAATTTTCAAGTATTCTAAAGGACAGGACAGTATTAAGGTGACAAAAAGGATAAAATGAAAACGAACAAAAGTAGTCATCCCAAACCCAAATGATTGAGGCGAAAGCTATCTCTAAAAGTTACGATAGCTTTCGCCTCAATCATTTGGGTTTGGGATACGTTATATTTGCCAATAAGCTTCCGCCACATCGATAGTAAAGGCGATAATGGTGATATCAGATGATTCATTTATTGTTCATTTTCGTTTTTCATTCGGCACATTTCCGTCGAAATGAAACATTGGAACACAAAAGTGCCAAATAAATTCATAAATGAACCGATCCAACGATGTTGAATTATTTGGCACCATTCACTCTAACCCAGAATAAAAGTAAAATGAACAGTTTGAACACTGAGAGAACATACACTCGGATTGTTCATTTTCGTCTTTCATTCGGCACATTTTCCTCGGAATTAAACATTAGAACACAAAATAAGACAAAAGTGCCAAAAAATGCACTAATAAACTGATCCCTCGATGTTGAATGATTTGAAACCATTCACTCTATCCCAGAATGAAAGTGAAATGAACAGTCTGTACTCACTGAGAACGTTCACTCAGATTCAGCCTGTTCGTATTGAGTCACTTTCCCTAGTATTACTTTACTTACTCTGTCCTTGAGTCCTGTAAGCAGATGAACGTGCACCAAGATGTACGACTTTATTCGTGGGTATTGACCACTTAATTGTTAGTGTCTTGGCGCGTTACTAAGAAAACGCAGGTTCGAATTTATCTACAAAGAACAAGAAGCCATTTGCGGCGCTATCACAGTAAATAATTGACGTTGCATACCTACCTACGTTCCATCATTGCTTTGCACATGTAAGGAAGAAAGTTTATCAAAGGCACATTGCCAGTAGCCTCTTTGTTCTCAGTAGCTAATATTACTTCTTGTATTTCAGCTTCTGTTGGACAACAACCTAAAAAAAAAGCAAACTTTAAATCATTTCCCAACTAGCTAAATCCCGAAAGTCGTTTCTAAGTAGATTTATAAAATAAAATAAGTGATATCCACAAACAGATAAGTGTAAACAATTTCCAAAAATTTTGTAAAAGCTCTAATGGAAATGTCCGATAATAATGTCGAAGAATATATTGAGGGCAAGGCTGAATTGACTTTTGCTCTGCACTTGCAAGTCCCCTGGTTGACACACACGTATAGAGGATAACTTTTTAAAATTGTTATTAAACATTCACATTCTTTAAACATCTATATTTACAGTTATTAAATTTTCCAAAACAAAGAATTTTAGAACATTCTTACGTATAAAACTGTAACGTAAAGTTCATTTGTAAAGGTCACAAAGTATATGAATGGGTTGAATGAATTTAAAAGAGACCAAAACATACTGTTAGAAGGAGAGGCTTGTAATGACGCTGTGGCAACGAATGAAAAAGTCTCTGAATGTATGAATCAGTCAGTTGTAGTTGTATAGGTGTTACAAATTTTGTTTCTTTTTTACTTAATTAGTTTGTTTGAAAAATATTTTTTTTTAATTATGGATTTTTTAACGTTAATATTTTTTTATAATTATTGGCAAGTAGCGTTAGACATGTGTTTATTTATTGTCTCGATGGTAACTTAACAAATCATACATATTGTTTAAAAAAAATATTATTTTTATTTTTTTATGTGAAAGGTTGCTACACGAGCAGACGGTTCACCTGATGTTAAGTGAATACCGCCGCCCATGGACATCTGCTACACCCGAGAGCTACAGGTTCGTTAACAACCCTTTGAAAATTGGGCTCCGGCTACCTCACTCACCATACGAAACACGAAAGTATTTGTCATACTTCCACTTTACGCTGGTCTTCTGAGAGGTCGTGGTACTTACCCGGACAGGCCTGCACATTCGTGCAACAGCCGAAGCTACTGCGTGGCCCTACCACCGTTAATGAGAAGACCTCAGAGTTTCTTGCCGGTTCTTCTCTGGACAGGTCTAATATAATGAACCGGTGGTAGTTTTTTGACGTGGTAGGGCCAGGTAACAATCTTCACTGTTGCACTAATGGTCTATCCGAGGAAATACCACAACCTCACTGACGACCGGCGTGAACGTCTTGTATCTTGTATTAACTGATGTTTTTGCTTTCAGTCCCGAGACTATTAAAGATTCATCTGACGCAGAACCGGTGGGCTAGCCAGAACCCACGGGTTTGGGCCCTCCGCTGTGGGTAGGGCCACGCATGTGCTCATGCGTGCATTTAACTATGGTGTGTCATCTAAGGGCCATCGAGGTCGCTGTTCGGACCGAAACCCCGATGGCCATCGACTGTGCAATTAGCTAATCGGTAGCTGGGGGCGGTGAGAACCGCCCCGGAACGGGTGTACCTTGTGTACGCGTTGTGTTGGTCTTGCCGTGCTCGGAGGCGAGGGCGAACTAGTGTGTTGTATAGTTAAAACACTAACTGTGGGTGTAGTGTTGTCCGGCGGGAGCGGCGTGAAGTGCAAGCGTTACACTATGTCTACTACACTTTCGTCTGGTGAGTTAGGTAACCGGGCGGAGCCCACTTTGTTAAAAGATGACGTTGCCATACGCAACCCTATGGGTGTTGCAAATGTTTGGCTCGCTTGCCACGTTCTTACGTAAAATAAGTTCAACAATAAATCTATAAATCGAACAAGAACAAGATAAATCTATAGTTAGAGAGAATCCTATATTGAATAGAGAAACTTTGTCTTTGAATCTACTCTACAATAGAACACGTTTATTCACTATTAGTAAGACTTCACTGTCTGTCTGGTTAAAAATTATCTTCATTGGAACATTACCTAAAGACCGGAGTATTGTGCCGATTTCTCTGACATCCACGACTTGTTTCCCAGAATGATCGAACACTTCGAACGACTCAATAATTTTCTTTTCCAAGTCATTATTAGGTTGTACTGTGGAGGAAATAAAAAATAATACAAGTTTCTACCAATAAAAATATAGGTCTTATTAAATTGCTGGGTATAGAAATACTTTTCGGTTCTTCTTTGCGCGCCATAATTTACAATTTCCACTTCAAAATCCAAAGTATTTAAAAAAAGCAAAATCACAAATTAGAGGAATGTACATATCTATGTTTTGGTTACATTGTAATATATCAAAGAGAATGTAATCACTACGTTTATATAATATATTTTAATAAAATAGTTTGTAATATATTTTTACTTATACTTGTTGCTTAGTAACCATTTATAACAGACCACGCTTCAACATAGCAAAAAAATTAACATTAGGTATTATTAATATCACATATTGTAACTTAATGCTTTCCGAACAGTGTTTTTTTATACGTAGCAAGTTTATGTACTTTAAAAAAATCGGCCAAGTGCGAGTCGTACTCGCCCACTAAGGTTTCCGTACCATTATCTATAAAAACCCAAAAAATCATTTCTGATTTATGAAAGTTCCACTTAATTTTTTTATGCTGTTCTTTTAGTAGTATTTGTTGTTATAGCGGCAACAGAAATATATCTGTGAAAATTTCAACTGTCTAACTAACACGGTTCATGATATACAGCCTGCTGCCTGGTGACAGACGGACAGACAGACAGTCAGTCCTAATAATATGTTCGTGACCATATTACTAAGACTTTTACCCTTTGGGTACGAAACCATATAAAAGCGGTATCCGGTATCTTTCTAAATTAGTATACAGGTGCAGATTCTCGGACATAGAAGCAAAATTCCAGTCCATTCAATTCGACTTTGGAGGCAAAGCAATGTAACTGTAAAACGGCTGTACATTTAGTTCGAATCTCATTAAGTAATACCTTAATGAGAACTAAATCAATATTGATATTGATTTATTTCTTAAGGTTGACCGAAGGAACGTCTTTAACTTTATCTAGGGTCATCTATTAATCACGTTTTTACAGCCCTGTTATGTTTTTGTGGCTTGACTCCGGGCGCATTATCAACTTATCTGTAGTAGAAAATATCATTGATTGAGAGTGAGGGTGTTTCAAGTTGGCGTCAGTTTAAGCCACATTTTGTTAAAAGAAGAAGAATATCTCTCTGTGTCTCAAAGCCCAGAAGATGCATTCCCACAGTGCCGAAAAAGTTTTCGACATTTTATCTATTTCTGCTCACAACTAGATTGGCTTAATTCAAAGAGAGAGTTTCTCTGCCCCGTTCCTACTTGATATAATACTGGCCATTCGCCATAAATGTAAACATTGTTTTTAAAATTATTCTTTTGGATGTTCCTTATTACTGACACAATTGTTCTTACGTATATATGTGCGGATATTATTATTGGTCATGATGTATTAACTCAACATTGCAAAGTTCAATTAAATTTTGGCGGTCAAAGAGCAAAACTTGAAATTTGCGGAGTAACCGCAGCTACGATTCCTCCAGTATCAATTTTTCCTAACTTATCGTCGATCTGTAAACCTATAGCCACTAAATCTAGACGTTTTTCTAAAGATGATTTAAAATTCATTGCTAATGAAATTCAGGAATTATTATTAAATGGTATTATTGAAGAAAGCAGATCTCCATGGAGAGCTCAAGTTCTTGTAATAGAAAATGATAATCATAAAAAGCGTCTTTGCATTGATTATTCACAAACTACCAACAAATATACTTACTTAGACGCTTACCCATTGCCAAATATTGAGACAATTGTACAAGATATTGCTAAGTACGAATTATACTCAAAGATTGACTTAAAAAGCGCGTATCACCAAATTCCGATCCTTGATACGGAAAAACCATTAACTGCTTTTGAAGCAGTCGGAAATTTATATCAATTTTGTAGAATCCCATTTGGAGTTACTAATGGTGTAAGTAGCTTTCAGAGAACAGACTGGATAATACGAACGGAAAATCTACAATCTACGTTCGCCTATCTAGATGATGTTACCGTATGTGGTAAGAATAAAGAAGACCATGACTATAATCTTGAGAAGTTTATGTCTGCTGTCAAAAAGTACAATCTTACTATAAATGAGAAAAAATGTACATTTTCAATTAAAAGTATTTCTATTCTTGGATATAACATTAATAATAAAATGATCGCTCCCAGATTTAGAAAGAATCAAACCTCTACAAAATTTGCCTATTCCAACGGATGCTGCTTCGTTAAGAAGGACAGTAGGAATGTTTTCACATTATTCTAAATGGATACCGAAATTTTCAGAAAAGATTCGAATTATTATTAATAACAATGATTTTCCATTGAATAACGATGCAGTAAACGCTTTCGAAAGTTTAAAACAAGAAATAATTAAGTCATCTGTTCATGCCATTGAGAGCAAAATTCCATTCACTGTCGAAACAGATGCATCAAATTTCGCAATCGGAGCGACACTTTCACAGGAAGGGAGACCTGTTACTTTCTTTTCAAGATCACTCACAGAGTGTGAAATAAAACACTCTGCTATTGAAAAAGAAGCATATGCCATTGTAGAATCTGTCCGTAAGTGGAGGCATTTTCTAATAGGACGAGAATTTCGTTTAATAACTGATCAAAAATCGCTATCATTCATGTTTAATACCAACCATAATAGTAAAATTAAAAATGACAAGATTATGAGGTGGCGCCTGGAGCTCTCTTGTTTTAAATATGACATTATATATCGACCTGGGAAAGAAAATGTTGCAGCGGATGCACTATCTCGAATGTGTGCATCTGTTCATACAGAATCTAAACTATTTTCTTTACATGAATCGCTTTGTCATCCTGGAGTCACTCGAATGTTTCATTGGGTGCGATCTAAAAACTTACCATACAGCATTGATAATATACGACAAATTACACGGTGGCTGTAAAATCTGTGCAGAAGTAAAACCTAAATTTTGCAACAGCCGTGGAATATTAATAAAAGCTAAAAGTGTATTTGAAAGATTAAACATAGATTTTAAAGGACCCCTACCTACAAATTCAAAAAATCAGTATCTACTCACTATTATAGACGAATATTCAAGATTTCCGTTCGCATACCCCTGTGAAGACACATCTACATCGAGTATTATTAAGTGTTTCACAAACTTATTTTCTATATTCGGCATACCCTCATACATACATTCTGATAGAGGATCATCATTTATGTCCCATGGTTTAAAAATCTTTTTACAAAGTAAAGGTATAGCTACAAGTCGAACAACATCATATAACCCGCAAGGAAATGGGCAAGTGGAACGATTTAATGGCACGTTGTGGAAGACAATGCAATTGGTTTTAAAAACAAAAAAATATGATATAAGCCAATGGGAGAGGGTATTGGATCAGTCATTGCATTCGATTAGATCATTACTTTGTACAGCTACTAATGTAACACGTCACGAAAGAATGTTCAGGCATAATCGAAGATCTGAAAAAGGTGCAACATTACCATCGTGGTTGATGGTGCCAGGGCCAGTGTTTATGAAAAAGCATAATCGGGCTTCAAAATATTCACCTGTAGTCGAGGAGGTAGAGCTATTACAATCAAATCCTGACTTTTCATATGTCCGTTTACCTGATGGAAGGGAAGAGACGGTATCTAAAAGACATCTAGCGCCTCTAGATTCATCGGATTTTATCGAAAATACTATGGAAATTGAAGAAAATAATAATCAAATAGATCTGCCAAGTGGAAATATACGAGAAGAAGATAATGAACAATGTTGAGAAGTAATGACAATGGAGCGACCGGTTAGAACTAAAAAGCGGCCAGAATATTTAAAAGATTGTTACTTTTACTCGATAGGGTAAATGGTATAATACTGGGCATTCGCCATAAATGTAAACATTGTTTTTAAATTATTCTTTTGGATGTTCCTTATTACTGACACAATTGTTCTTACGTATGTATATATTTTCTGCTTAATAAAACCTAATAACTAGATTTTGTATTATTTATCACTACTTAAACGTTTTCATCAACACACCATGATGAAAATTTAATAATTTTTAAATTTTATTATTCCCACATATCTTCGTTTAATAATAGAAAATATAGACTCAGACCCATATACTTTTTTATTGGTCTGAGATAGGAAAAATTTAATATTTTAATTAATATTGTATTACATATTCAAGATTATATTTGATATCATATTCTATATTATCATATTATTTGCAATACCGTAACAGATGGAATTATTAATATTCTTATAAAATTGAAAAGTTTGGGAGTCATCAAGTACATTATTGAATTGTGCTTATGAGACATTATAATGTTTTCATAGGAAACAAAAAGTACAATTTATTAAAACGATAAACATAAATTTATAATTATTTTAAGTATATTATTTTTTTAATTAAAAAAAATTTTCGTTAATTATGCATCTTAAACGAGTCATAGAGATTTCTTATCTATGATATTGTCGCGAATATAAAAACTACAAATAATACTTATTTATTTCATTAGATTAGAATCAGATATATAAACGTACTATATATTATAAAAGTACTACATATTTCAGATATATAAAAGTACTTGATTAGAATTACCTACTTCAATTTATAAAATAGTAGGTAGGTATTTCAATTTTCTGGATTTTATAATTTGCTTACTATTGCAAGTCAAACATATCGCAATATTACTCCTACTGGTTTATCAAATTCATATGAAATCTTTTTAGTTACGGTGAAATCGTATGTGATTTTAATTAAAGTGTACTTAACGTATCGTATCGAGCATGAGCAAACTAGGTAAGTAATTTAAATTTTTTAACCAGACCAACTGTGTAGGTTTTCATTTGAAGTTAATTTGTTAAATTCTTTTAAGAAAAACTTAAATAATGAAACACTATTGGTTAATGGTTTAGCTTGCGTATTAATCGCAGTAACTTAATTTTTTATATCAACATAGTAAGTTTTATTTAAACCGCAGATTATTATACTTAATATATTTAAATATTTAGTTTCTCTCTGTATTTCAGTTTCCAAGCTTATAAGCTCATCTTTATTTTGGAATTTAAAAATTAACCAAACTGGATACATGATGTTGAAATATTGTTGGTTGTAAAGTCTGTTCTCAATTCTCATGTTCTGTAATTTCTGACTCGTCATCGTCATCTCTTGATTCTGAATTTTTCCCTCTTAAAAGAGGAAAAAAGCACCTTAATCTATGTGTATAAAAAAAGAAAGCGAAAATTGGGAAGGCGTGTAATATTTACGGATAAATAAATCTATTTATATAGAGACGTTCAAGGTTATTAATTTATGGAATTTAAAATATTTTAAAAGATTCAAAATGTATAATCATCATACTTATATTTTTACTGGCAACAAAATGTTTACCGCCACTTTTTCTCGTTGTTGATTGGATAACGTGTAAAAGTTTCCACTGGTTAAAATTACGATTTGACATGGAGTCGATTACAAAAAATCGATACGAAGAGATGATAATTCTTGTTTTTTTAACGCTTATCTACGCCTTGATATTACATTTTTTCAAACATTATGGACACCTTAAGAAATTCCTGCTTTACCGTCTCAACACAATAACCTATTGACGAGCACTAAAACTTTTCGCTGAACGCATAATTACTAAACCGCTTATCAATAGGTTGACCACTCTTAACAGGATAAACAAACAATGTTTGAATTGTCTCAGTTAACATTATGTCAAAGTATGAACTTCGTCTAAAAATCACCCTGTATATTACTATCTGTCCTAAAGTATTATCATAAAATGGATTAATAAGTTCGCGAGGTCCGGTACATAACATATGCACATTTTTTAGTCATAATCTCTATGTAGCTCCATACATTTCTTTCACTTGTTTTCCAAGGCTTCTGTGCCGGTCTTAGAAATATTTTATTAATGAACATTTTTGAAGTTATACTTCTTTTGTCACTTTTGGAAATAAATATGAGTTTAGGTGTGCGCGCACACCAACACCGACATGATGAAGTTAGCTGATGCAAAGCGAGCTACTTCACGGTATTACCACGGCAACTAATAACAATTTTTTTGACATTTATCTATATTTCAAAGTTATTTATTTAAATCATTATCTATGCATTTAATTTATTTTTCACATATAAGGTGTACTGGCATAGGGGACTACATTTTCAGTTATTTTTATTTTGTTATGCGAAAGAATCATAATTAACTTCTTACGTGCGTATGTTTATGGTGAAAATGATGAACCCAAGTTTCATCCATTAGATTGGCCCCAAATGATTATCGAAAAAAAGCGCACAAGAAATAAACGCACAGATCAAAGCTCAATTAAACAAACGCCCACAAGAAATATCGGCACATAGAAAATTGCGCAAATGGAATCAATACCACATGAAAATATCCTGTCCTATATAAATGCGCTCATAGAAAACAAAATTCATTTTAATGATCAATTTTATTGATGTTGAAATTTAAGCACTTTGGGCAAATTTGGATGAGGAAAATTTCAAAGGTGCATATCATGGTAATATAAATATATTATCTAAAAACTATGAGCATGTTCAGTTTGATGTGCTGTAGATATATAGCTTGTACTTGTTTCGATGTATATTAAGAATCTAGTGGATAATAATTAATAATTAATCTATAACCTATCTATTCAGCGAGGAAATGCAGCTGACGTTCTTGGCACCATGCCGCGCGGATTAATTTTATTAGATAATATGAAATTTTAGATAGATTTAATCTTGTAAATATTAGATCATTTGATATTTCTGATGATAGCGCATTCAATAAATATTTATAGATACAGTGGTGTGCACATACACAAATATAATCGCGGCGTGTCTACGCAATGCGCACACTAATAGATTGTTATACTGAATTTTAGATTTAATAAGATTACGTACGATATTATTTGAATATTCAGTTCCAAACTCTCGAGCTCGACTTATCGAGAATCCAATTCGAGTAAATTCGAGGTAACTCGAAACTTGAGTTGCTGAGTCGAGTCAACGAGCTGACACATCCCTAAAGTAGCATCGCTTCATATAGCCGCCATGTTAATTCGTCTTGGCGCTTTCTAATAATTATTTGAAGTACTGTAATGGCTGTTTAAACTAGTGTGTATTGTAGTGTAATATTAAGGGAAAAGACAGTTGTGTAGTGGGAGTAAATTATATTACAAAATGGATCCTGCCAAAATGAAGGTTGTGGATCTTAGATCCGAGCTTGGCGCTCTTGGTTTAGATACGAAGGGTAACAAGCCGGCATTAGTAGAACGGTTGAAGAAAGCTCTTGAAGCAAAAACTGGCAAAGGTAATTATTTATTTGGCATTTTAACCATAATTTACTAGACAATGTTACATAATTCTAAGAAATACATAAAATTTCAATGTTGCTATGTAGCACGTGTAACAAGAGTCCCGCCATGTTTCATTTCGTTTTTGGAATATTCGATATTGGTTAAGTATACCATGTAGATTTGCAATTTGAATGTGTTAACTTCATTAAATTCGTACGTCGTGTGCGTGATACATAAAAATACACTTCTCATTGTAGAAGTCGATATAAATTAAAACCCCACCCATTCATTTTATTTCTCATTACTTATAAAAATGTATGTTAAAGCTGCATCAATTCAATCGAGCGTAATAGATGTATAGAATTACTAGTTCATTACTTTGTTAGTAATACTTAAATTTGTTGAATTTAATATCCGAATTTTGGTTTATTTGAATCTGATGTGCGCCGCCATTCCTTATTTTTATTTAGCCTTAGAAGTATAAATTTGGTAAATTGTGCTCTTCTACTACTTTGTTTTGACTTTACTTGACATGACAAGTTTCCACAAAAACATTTTCAATAAATCACGTGATAAACGTTTTTGGATTCCCAATAAACATTTAGGCTGAAAAATATTAAAAAATATTTTTTGCCCAGTACATAACCAGTTAGAAGCTTTGTAAACGATGAACAAAACTTAAAAAAATATATTTAAGGCTGTACTAGAGCATAAATTGTATAATTTTATGCAGCAATGCTGGTTTTATGCCTGCATACATAATCAAAATTATTACTTTTGGTTGTTAAATGACAACGAAAAACACTAAAATACAGTTTGTATTTTAAAAAACCCCTATAAGCTAGTTTAAAAGACTAAAGCAGACAGCTAGACTGAATATTGCCATTGAGTTGTACTTTTGGGTTGCCTTATTCTATACAAGAGCATTGAATATTGCTATCATCTGGATATTGGTGTTGAATTATTGATTGTAAAGATGTCATATTAGGCTTAATAATAGCTGTTTACTGGAAACCTTTAAAAAGAAAATCCCTTTCCAAGAATGTAATGCATTGCTGTCCGCTGCATAAGAGTTTAGTGTTACACTATTCTAAAGCTGACTTGATTAGAGTAAAGCTTTCCCATAGTACAGCATCTGGTATTATATGAGATAATCATAAACTTAATATAGAGAGTGTTTATATAGAGAGTTATTCAGCTTAAGAACCATGGAAGCAACAATAAAACTGTAAAGAAATTGTTCAAGAGCAAAAGCTGCTAAACTGAGCCATTGAACATAACCTCTAAACATGGCTTAATAAATTCTTAAAATATAATAATTTTTCTTTTTCTAAATCTCTTTGTAATTTAGACAGAATTATAAATGAACACTTGTATAAATTAATTGTTTTAATTTGTTTTCAGTATAAACATACTCAGACCTTATAATGCTTGTTTCAAGTAGAGTTAAATAGTTTTTTAAAAAGACATTTTCTATAATATCTATTATTTCTTTTGTCTCACTATTAGTATACAGATCTGATGACTGATACCAAATCTGAGAACAGTATCTATATAATAGTATCTGTAGCTATTGCTTCGGATTGTACAGTACTGTAAGATAGCTAGATCAGATACAGTTAGAGCTGTATAATTTTAGGCTTCTTTTGAGGTTAGAACAACTAAATATCCTGCTACACAGCAGCAAAGCAAAATTTTTTTGATACAGCATTTATACACTTTTAAATGTTATCTGGGTACACTTTGGACTCTTTCATCCATTTCTTGAAACTCTGCTTCTAACAAGACAGAAGGAGAGATTTGTAATAAGCCCTGTGGCAACGGATGAAAAAGTCTCTGAATGTATGAATCAGTCAGTTGTAGTTGTATAGGTGTTACAAATTTTGTTTATTTTTTATTAAATTATTTTGCTTGAAAAATACTTTTTTTTAGTTACGGATTTTTTTAACGTTTATATTTTTTTGTGATTATTGGCAAGTAGCGTTAGTCGTGTGTTCATTTATTGTTGCAGTGGTCGTTACCACATACATATAGAGGATAACTTTTCAAAATTGTATTAAACGTTTACATTCTTTAAACATCAATATTTACCGAGATATTAAATTTTCCAAAACAAACAATTTTAGAACACCCTTACGTATGAAACTGTAACATAAAGTTCATTAGTAAAGGTCACAAAGCATATGAATGGGTTGAATGAATTTAAAAGAGACAAAACATACTGTTAGAAAGAGAGGCTTGTAATGCGACGCTGCGGCACGAGTTGTATAGGATGTTACAAATTTTGTTTCTTTTTTACTTAATTAGTTTGTTTGAAAAATATATTTTGTTTTAATTGTGGATTTTGTTTAACGTTAATATTTTTTTATGATTACTGGCAAGTAGCGTTAGACGTGTGTTCATTTATTGTCGCGATGGTAACGACACGCTGTATATGTTAAAAAAATATGCTAAACTTATTGTTGTTTATTTTTTTGGTTATAATTAAAAATGTCATACAATAGTTCTCAAGTGTTAAATAGATTACAGTTTGCTTCAAGCTGTTTTAAGTATTGACAACTGTTTTAAACCAGTCCCTAGTTTATTTTAAAACTCTGGGGAGCAAATTTTTTTATTAGATATTTTAATAATATTGAAAAATGTCTTATTCTTCAGTACAAATAAGCTTTTCCAATTAAAGATGCTATAATGCTAGTGACAAATAAACCAAAGTTATGCGCTGTGCAAATCTCTTGTTTTTTTTTTAAATAACTTACAATTCCCTGTTAATTAATACAACAACATGCTATAAAAAATAGATAGTTTAAATAATAAACTTATTTCACTATTGGTTGTGTATACAAAGCAAGCATTCCTCAGAAGATAAAAATCATCTCCCAAATTTACTCTCCATCACATGTTAGTTCTAGAGATCACTAGATGTTCATTGCTTTAGCAATATTGCAATTTAACATATAATCTAATAAACCATTTTGCTTCTGTTCCTTATACTTATCAAATTCATTAATTAAGTTATTTTAATGAAAAGTTTGCTTGTAATTTAGTGTCTCTTTGTTGGACTAATTTATTATCATTATAGTTGTCAATACCCATAATCACAATCTTTAAATATTAATTTTGATGCAGTATTTGCGGACACTTCTGTGCTGGATACTTCTACTGAGGAATTGGATGAGCCAGCAACTCCACGTAAACCTGGGCCTGCTGCTCGTACTACCAGGAGGTCCTCGTCTTCGCGCCTGGTCACCACACCTATGAAGGTTGCTAATCTTATATATAAAAATGGATTGCTGTTCGTTAGTCTCGCTAAAACTCGAGAACGACTGGACCGATTTGGCTAATTTTGGTTTTGAAATATTTGTGGCAGTCCAGGAAAGGTTTAAACGATGAGAAATTATGGAAAAATTGCATGGAAAACCGAAATAGCAACGATTTTATTTTCCCATACAAATAGTACCTGTCAACCTGTCAACTATATCTATGTAACCTGTCAAAAACTATATGCGTGCGTTCCCATTCCTCTAGAAATAATTTATATGGCAAAGCAACGTTTGCCGAGTCAACTAGTATATAATTACATATAATTTTTAGGGTTCCATACCCAAAGGGAAAATAGGACCCTATTATTAAGACTTCACTGTCTGTCTGTCTGTATCTCATGAACTGTGATAGACAATTGAAATTTTCACTGATGATGTATTTCAGTTGTCGCTAAAACAACAAATACTAAAAAATAGAATAAAAAAATATTCAAACATGATTCTTTATGCCATTTTTATAGATAATGATATGGAACCCTTCATGTGCGAGTCCGACTCGCACTTGGCCCGTTTTTTATAATACAGTTGTATCTTTGTATAAGTAATTATTGATATTATGATTTTATTTTTTTTTATTTTTATTTATTTAAACTTAAAAAATTAGCATTGTGTATAGGCGGACTTAATGCCTAAGGCATTCTCTACCAGTCAACCTATAGGCGACGCAGAGACAAAAGAGGCAGGTGTAAATATATTATGTATATAAACATATTAAACCCAATATAACAAAAATATATTACATTATTTTAGGATTCAAAATAGAATACATATACTATAATATTCACAAATACTTATTTAATATAAATAAATAAATAATATATGATATCAATAACTACTGATGATTTTATTCTGCCAACTTACTTAGATATAGTTTTTTTAGATATTTGCATTTATTTTGTTTTTATTTTTCCTTTGTTTTATCTTTATCCAGTTTGTATAATAGTATTCAATATGTATTTTTCCATTAATAATATAATAGATATCAAATATTACAAGTTTAAAATTTTTAAAATTTAAAATTGAAGTGTATTCATAAAAACAGACAAAGCAAGTCAGTTAGAGTAACATTGTATTGTAGTTTTATTACTAAACCCTCTTTGCTTGTTCGATGCATTTACTGAAAAATTATTGAAAAAAAAAATGACTTGTGGATTTGGTGGTCTGATGTAATTGAATATGAATAAATGGATTACATATTTCTTGAATTTACACATGACCATGAATGCTGTAAAGGGTCTGAAACATAGGATATATTTTTAACCGACTTCAAAAGAAGATGGTTCTCAATACTTTTGTCTGCGTGGACCAATTTTGACGATTCTTTTTTTATTTGAAAGCCGGTGCTTCCCATGTAGTCTCACAGTCTAGTATTAATTTCACTGGAATTGGATCTTGGGCTCCGGAGATACTTAGGGAACTCCTGAAAATCAGTTATAAAATGAATACAGAGCGAGATATTTGTAGTCAGTTTTGTTTTTCGTTTGTAAAAAAATGGTTATTAAATAAACGTGATGGGTCCATAAAAAAATAGATTTCATTTATAATGGATTAAAAATAGTACACTTTTGGTATAGATTAATCACTATGTATACTGTCTAGTTAATTTGTATGTGTAAAATGCGTTACTGGATACTGGATATTATTAAAACAGTAAAACTGTCTCTCTTTTAGGTTACTAGGAACAAAATGTCTGAAATAATACATTTATTTTTCTAGCAACTTAGAGAAGAACCACCTGAACCAATAGAGGAGACAATTAAAGAAGAACCAGAAAAAGATTATGACTCTCTACAAAAAGTTGATACACCAAAGAATGCTGAAACACCTAAAAAACAAGAAACCACTAAAAAGATTGAAGATGATTCAAAAATACAAGATGATGTTTACTGTATAGAAGAAAAGTAAGTATATATGAAAAATTGGATTATTTTGGTACACTGTAGGTTTTGTATATGAACATGAATATATAACTTCATAAAATCATATGGGTTTGTTACACGTACATGATAAGTCAGCACTTAAATTGCAGATAACAGCTTTATTGGCTAAATACTCTATATTGAATTAAAAACAAGCGACCAGACACTAGGCTATGCATGCTACAATTATAATGTAATAATTTTGTATTAGTTTTTCTAACATTTTTCTGTTTTATATTTATTTATGTTAGATAACAAACATACTTTAAAATTTATTGTGTTAATTTACGAAAAAGAAAAAGAAAGTTTTTAAGCATTTACTATTATGGGTCACAATAATCTAACAAAAAAAAACCTTTTTTATTACTGCACTTCAGACAGATTTAAAGTTATGTATGTTGTGAATAATAATTTAATTCTATTTTAGGAGTAAGTCACCAATAACAATTGAGGATGAAACACCAGAACAAGGTAAGGATGTCATTACATTGATAATCTAATTTTGTGATATTTATGAATCAATAATTAATTGGTTTCTTTTAAATTGCCATTACTTTCTTTGGAATGAATCACGGGAGAGTAAGTGACTTCTAATGTGAAATGCAAGTAAGGTTAAAAAGTGAAGTACTGTGTATGTATGTCCCACTGCTGAGCCAAAGGTGCCTGCTACATAGAACCTACATAGAGCCTGCCACATAGAACTATCACACAATTAACATCATCAAAATATGTAATTTTTTTACATATGCTTCCTATATAAGAGAACATCTCAAAATTTGGTCCCTTTCGCCTAGTGTAGGTCTTTATCAGCCATTTAAATTGAAGTCTAACTTTATTGGTTCCCATACCAGGATTGGAAAGTTAGGTTGTGTTCAAAAGTAAGCACCAATACACTGAGCTATCACAGGTTGGAAGTACATGTAAACAGACTGGTTGTGTCATTTACATTATGTTATACAGTTTTGTTACAATGTGTTAATTTATTTTATGCTATTAAACTTATGCAGATAAAAATGAAAATTCAGAAGAGTCAAATCAAGCCAGTAACACAATGGACATTAGTAGTGTAGATGTCAAAAATGCAGATGTTAGTAATGTAGATGCTAATACTGCAGATGCTGACAACTCAGATAGCAGTAAGCCTGGTAATAGAAATGATGAAGAGTCTAATAATGAAGAGTCCAATAATGAAGATGACAACAATGAAGAGAACAATGAGCATGTTAAAGAAGATAATGAAGGAAAAGAACTGGAGAAAATGGACCACGATGGTAATGATAAAGATGATGACAATAGGAGATACAGAAGAGACTCTGACCAGGTTTGTAAGCAAATGAGATCTGCATCAAAACAATTTTTTATAATAGTTTCATTTATTTCTTCACATTATTCTTCACATCAAGTTATTAATTAGATAAAAAACTTGAGAATTCATTTGTGTCACCACATTTCACATTAATAGCAATCATTTGTAACATAATCAAACACTCTTGCAGAGAAGGGATAGGGATAGAGATCGTGAAAGGGAGCTAACAGAAGAAGAAGAGTGGGCTCTATTAAATGAAAGACTCAAGATACGTGAGCAGGAAAGATTGGAGAGAGAGAGAAAACAAGCTGAAGAAGATGCAAAGAGATTTGAAGAAATGAGCAAGGTTGGTATTTAGTAGGAATGAGAAAGTTAATGTAATATAAGTGTATGGATATTTTACATTTCAATTTTGTAAAGTTATTTAGAAAATTTGACACAGATATGATCATTAATTCATGATGGGGGATGTTATGAATTAATGCGATTTTGAAGCCTATGTTAGTTATGTATTTCATCATCCTTTAATTTTCCATTTAGGATCCAATAAAGCTTCAACGTTTAAAGCGCAAGCAGGAGAAGAAAGCCCGTTGGAGTAACTTTTATAAAACTGTAGCAGTTACCAATGAAGTATTGACGCCGCCTGTTGAGGTAATAACTAAATTTTACCTCCCTTAACTAGCCTTCAACCAACAATATTTGTATAGAAATGAAGTAAAAATATTTGTTAAAATTAGATTAAAGAGAGTCTCGTTATTTTAATGTGTATGAAAGAAACTTTTTACATAGTGAATTGTTACATAGGAGGAGATGAAACTAAACAAGAAGGTGGAAGCTACAACTAAAATTCCTGAACCGGAAATTAATGATGAAAAAATCACCCTCTCTTGGTGTGAGTATTCACATTTTATTTTATGAGCACTTCTAAGAAAATACTGCTGCAAAAAAAAAGGAATATCAAAATTTTGTTTGGGTATATTGCCATATTAAAATAAAATATTTTTTTTTATTGAAACATTCCCCTGTAAAGGATGTATAATTCTGATACTTTTTAAAGGGTACTGGATATCCTGAGCAGGCAGATTATTATTTTGTATTTACCTTTGTACACTCTGTGGTGTATGAAGTCGCAAGTGAAATAACAACTATAGTAAGATGTAGCTTAGGGAAAGTTTGCCCAACACTTACATTGCCACAAAGGCCAATCCAGCCAATACCAATAAACTGAGCATTGCTTGCAGAGATGAGAAAAAATTTGTGAGCCTCTTTTGTCTTAACAACATAACAGAAAATAACCAGTAAATGCCTCACCTAATGTATGTGTAATTGAACAGATGACAGTGACCTGAACCAGTATCTGGAGGTGCCCGATTTGAATGGAGTGATTCCATTAACGGAAGGTGCACTGGCACATGCCTGGGCTGGTGCTCGAGCATCGCACGGTGTTAATACTGGAAGGGTCTGCTTCGAGGTGTGTATTTTTGTCTACATTTAGAGTGTTTACTTATGAGCAAAAATCAGTGTTTGCCATTTGTGCCTGTAGCAAGTCAACATGTAGCATTAAAAGTGCACATTTCTTAAGTAAACAAGAAAGATTTTTCTTGTTTACTTAAGAAATTAGGGATGTGCTTGTTGGTTCCTCAATGTCACGTCGCGACAGGGCCATGTTTAAATAATTGTGAATTGATATTCTGATTGGTTTCATATACTTTGTGTACATAAATTATAAAATAAATAAAAGAACTATCGTATGAATAATTTGGAATTTTATTTCATGTTATTTTTTTGTAGTAAAAAAGTTATTAGAATGAAGTTTTTTTTTGCATTTTTATGGTTAGACATAGCAATGTTTACAAGGAAACACAGAGTACCTTCCATATTAACATTTATCGAAATTTGATGGTATTTTTCAGGTGCGTGTTGGGTCTGTAGTGACCACAACAGAAACATCTGAGAAAGAGGTCATTAGTAATGGCTTAAGAATTGGTTGGTCTTCTGAAGATTCTACTTTGCATCTTGGTAAGTTTGCAATTGTTTTACACATGTTTTAAAATTTATATATATTAAATATTTTAACCATATATTTTTTTTAACTACATAAAAATATACTTTTTTAATTCATTCAGTTAGAATAAAAATACTTTAATTAGTTTTTTTTTTTCCTTTATTGTTTCCTTTATTGAAGATAATTTATTATGTCTTTATGCTTTAATCATTATTTCTTTTAGGCGAGGGTGAACTGAGCTGGGGCTACGAAAGTACGGGTCGTGCGGTCAATAATGGTGAATACAAAGAGTATGGGAAGCAATACTCTGAGAAGGATGTTATCGGAGCCTATCTTGTGAGTATTTTGACTATGTAGAAAGTGTAAGGTAAAATTAGATTTGCCAGTAAAAAATTTAGTACCACTATAACTTAGTATTTATATATACCTCTCGAGATACCTGTTACAATAAATACTCCTCACTCCTCAAGCTTGATAAAAATGGTGATAGATTTATTTGATAGTGATTTTTATTCTTCTTTATAACAGGGAAATTGATTGTGTCACTATGTCTACTTTAAAGATCGCAAGAAAAATACTTTTTCAATTTACTAATTTTTTGAAAGCATCTTACTTAAGTATTCCATATACCAAATATAATATCAAATAATAACAAAATAAACAAATGGCACAGAAATCATATCTCTTAATTTATTTGTTACAGGATCTAGAATCAAACCCATGCAAGATTTCCTACACTTTGAATGGTATAGAGCTTGGAGTGGCATATGAATTTGACAAGGAGGCTATGGGTGGAAAAACAATTTTCCCTCATGTCCTCACTAAAAATACCTGCTACAAAATTAACTTGGGATATGATAAGTAAGTCAAATTTCACATAAACAAATTTATGTCTGTTAGAATTATATAGGGTGATTTTTTAAACGAAGTACATACTTTGACATAATGTTAATTGAGTACTCCATAATTCAAAAAAATATTAATCTTTTATTTTGACAAGAAATAATCAGAAAAACATCGATTCAAACATTGTTCGTTTATTCCGTTAAGAGTGGTCACCCTATTGATAAGCAGTTTAGTAATTATGCGTTCAGCGAAAAGTTTTAGTATTTGTCAATAAGTTACTGTATTGAGACGGTAAAGCAGGATTTTTTAATGTGTCCAAAATTAAAAATAGTCTGAAAAAAAAAATGAGGTCAAGTACTTACAAGACTGAGTATCAAATTCTGCATATTTGGTTTGTTAATATGACCGTCGTCTATAAAAGCACCGTGTATATACAACATGTTGCTACTAACGCGACCATAAATCAACACACATAGAGGATAACTTACTAAAGTTGTATTAAATTATTATATATATTATATTATTTGAACATCAATATTTACCGAGTTTTTAGATTTTATAAAACAAACAATTTTAGAACACCCTTACATATAAAACTGTAACATAAAGTTCATTTGTAAAGGTCATGAAGCAAATGAATGAGTTGAATGAATTTAAAAGAGATAAAACATACTGTTAGAAGGAGAGATTTGTAATGCGATGCTGTGGCAACAAATAAAAAAGTTTCTGAATGTATGAATCAGTCAGTTGTAGTTGTATAGGTGTTACAATTTTTTTTTTTATTTAATTAGTTTGAAAAATATTTTTTTAACGTTTATGTTTTTTTATGACTATTGGCAAGTACCGTTAGACGTGTGTTCATTTATTGTCGTGGTTGTAATGACAAAGTATATGTAGGTATACAGCGTGTCGTTACCATCGCGACAATAAATGAACACGTCTAACGCTACTTACCAATAATCATAAAAAAATATTAACATTAAACAAAATCTATAATTAAAAAAAAATATTTTTCAAGCAAACTAATTAAGTTAAAAAGAAACAAAATTTGTAACACCTATACAACTCGCGCCACGGCGTCGCATTACAAGCCTCTCCTTCTAACAGTATGTTTTGTCTCTTTTAAATTCACTCAACCCATTCATATGCTTTGTGACCTTTACAAATGAACTTTACGTTACAGTTTTATACGTAAGGGTGTTCTAAAATTGTTTGTTTTGGAAAATGTAATAACTCTGAAAGTATTGATGTTTAAAGAATATAAATGTTTAATACAATTTTAAAAAGTTATCGACACGCTGTATATATGATAAAACATGAACACAGAAAAATTAAAAATTTACAAAAAGTCATCATCCCTTATGTTTTTTTTATAGTTAGCAGAACTGCAGACTAATTTTTACAAAAAATAATGCTTTGCATGAATATATATTTTTCCATAGATACAATATGTTGACAAGAACAAAGATTGTTCGCAATCGTATCGAGGTCCCGATCGAGCAGATCATAGAGGAGAAGAAAGCGCGGGAAGCTGAAATCAAGCGTCAAAAAGATGAAGCTATCAGGCGTAACAAGGAAAGAAAAGAAAAGGAACGAAGGGAGAGAGAAGAGCGGCAGAAAAAGAAGAGGGAGGTAGGATATCTTGCATTTATTTCTCATGCCATCATTTAACTAATTAATGTACAATTACTAAGCATAGTTGATAAAAATAATTTTTTTTAATAAAAGTGTAATAAATAAGCAACTGTTTAAATAAATAGCAACAAAAACTATGAATGTCAAATATGTTTTAGGAAAGGGAGAAATTGATCCGTGAACGAAAAGAAAAGGAAGAGCAAGAAAAGAAGGAGAGGGAAGAACAAGAGTCGGAGACAGATGGAGATAAAGTGGTGGAAGATGCTGATAAACAGGTAGAAAAAACTGATGATGTGGAAATGCAATCTGAAGAAAAACAAGCTCAGGTTAGTGGCAATATGTATAAAATGTTCCAATGTTATTATAGCAAGCAACATGGCATTATGATATTTAATTATTGTTATGGAAGTCCTTATATTAAAATCAGTATACATTAATGATTTTTTACTCTTCTGTGCAATAGTATTATATTTTAAGATTTTTTCTTTATATCAGGAGAATGGAAATCCAGAACCAAAACCTGTGGCTATGGAGACAGAGGACTCAAACGACCTACAGCAGAAAAAGGATGAAGAGAAAGAAAAAGAAGCGGAAATAGAGAAAGACAAAGAAATGGAGCAAGAAAAGGACAAGGAAGATGAAAAGGAAACTCCAACGGTGAAAGAAGAACCCGTCAATGGTAGGATATGTGTAATAAGTAAAGTAACAGCCGATACATAAATTTTGGCGTGAAATCGTAAAATACAAACTTACATTCACATTCATAATATTAAGTAGGGATGTTAAAAGTTGCAGCTTTCAATTTTTTTAATTATGTATGCTATTGATTTCATATGCAAAGTTTTCAAAGTTATTAAACTCATTGTAATTTTCAGAAAACCAAGAACAGGAAGATGATTTACTCAAAGGCCTGCTTTTAGACAAGAAAATGAAGACTGTTATCAGGTGAGTTTTGATTGCTATTGCCAATAATTATTTTGAAGTAAAATTACAATAATCTTAATCCTAAAAAGATGTTTCACATAATATATGATCTTATGGAGACAAAATTATATTACCTGTGTATGGTTAATTGGCTCTCACATTTTGTAATATTTAATATTCAGTTTTCGCATTCAATCATTTTCGCTCATGGTTGGGCTTGGAAAAAAGAGACAGGTTATTTTTCACTAACACCGCACTCTCAAATATGTATAACGACGGCATTGTTAATATTTTATAAAAGAAGATTTACAGCTCTTTCTCGTGTTTAATTTACACATCCCTCTAATGCATTTTTTTGCGACCTGAATATACTTTCTTTCTTGCTGCAATTTCCCCAGAATATGATGCCATACCTAAGATGCGATTCTACATAGGCATAATGTGCAGTTAACAGTAATTCAATGTTTAAAATATAAAACATATTCTCTTTTTGCAAATAGCTTGGGAGCAATGATGAGTTCATTGGGGATGTCAATATTTTAGGACAGGACACTTTAACACAACATTTTTTATTTCCACAGGCTAAGCAACGCTTAGTCTGTGGAAACGCGTGGGTACTTAACTAGATAACTGATAAACATATTTAAATATACTTTTCTTTTATAAATAAATATATAAACACCCAGACACTGGAAAACACTATGGTCGTCACACAATATAGGTACAGGGAGGCTTTTCTAAGTGTATCCATTTTCTTTTATTAAATTCTAGACATTAATAGTGTTATATAAAAAAATGATAAATATTTAAAATCACTCGTAATTAATTAAATACGTTCATTTGAAGCTATTTCAATGGGCCACTAATTTGCTTTACGCGCGATCATTGCGGCCGATTGTCACACGACATAGTTTTTGAGCCTTTGAAGCAATGCTTGGTTTTTAAGATGCACAAGTCAATAAGTTGCAAGAAAGGAGCGGACCTCGGTGGAACACGTCCACGTCTCTACATGAAGTGTAGGTGTGTATAAGTATAAATGTGTGCGCACGGTGCGTTGCAGGTACGCCGTGGAGGAGGAGCTGGACGGCGCCGAGGCGTGCCTGGTGCCCGGCTTCGTGCTGGTCGCGCTGGCCGAGCTGCGGCCGGGCCCGCGCGCGCCCCCCGCCAGGGCCCTCTGCGAGGTGATGCGCCTAGCCACATCGGGACGAGACTAACGCGCTGCGCCTTGCGCCTTGCGCCTTGCGCCTTGCGCCTTGCGGGATGCGCCAATTTACAAACAAGTGATAGGGTGGCAGGCTTACGTAGGAAACGGTGTGTTGTAGGCGCCTTTCGGCGTCGATACCCCGCACAATACGAAACGCCAAACGGTTGGCTTTCGGAACCAAGAATACGCCCCAATACAAGAAGTGTCGAAAGCTCATCTTCTCTTGAAAACTTAAAGTCCTTTCGAACAACTTTATTGTAGTCGTATTTAAAGGAATATACTCCTACTGTAACATAGAATGTATTGTAAACTCGTGGGTTTTGGCTATCCCAAGAGTTCTTTATTCGATGAGGCTTTAATAATCATACGGACTGAAAGAAAACATATCAGTCAACGTATCGCAGTTGCGTGACATTAATGCAAGATAGTTTAGTTTTGTAAGCTCTTTTTCCGGTTGGGAATAGAACCCACGACCCACTAGAAACTGCGCTAACAGACCCAAACGTCAAATCAAAATTGAAAACTAGTGTGTTATTCTTTTAATAAAATCCGATAGTTTAGCGTTTACTGTCAACGGGCTCTCTATCCAACTTTAAACATTATCAAAAACTAGTATTTAATGTTCACAATTGTAGCATGAATTGGTTAAATACGAATAAATAGTAATTTCAACTATGGAAGATTTGAATCACTTCCATCGAATTGAAGATAACATCGTGACACTAAATAGAAAACCAGACGTAGAACTTAGTTCGGGTACCGTAGCGACCCAGGTTCAGGGTCCAATAAAAAGAAACGTGTAGGTGTTCTTTGGAAATCACTGAAGAGTCTAGATGCCAAAATAGAGAAAAGCATAATTTAATTCATTTAAATATCATGGCACCGCATTGAGCACATTCCAATTGGGCGATATCATATATTCCGATACGTTACAAGGCGGATCCAGGTCGCTTTTAACTTAGGTTTTTTTTATAAAAGTCTTAGACTATCTATACTTCCCATGCGCCGGAAGTGATTGGGCGTTGTCTAGTACCAGTTCGCTGCATTAATAGCTATTAACAGATATACCGTTACAAGAAGAAATTGTCAAAAATTCATAATACTTGACAATTAAGGTTCATATGGTAATATGTTTTGGACGGAAACTAGACTAGGAATTTTTGAAAAGGGTTACGGGAAAAGCTACCTAGCTTTTGCAGTCTTAATACACAGAGAATTTTTAAAAGACAGTTCTTAAATAATCCTAAGAATTTATTGTAGTATGTTCTGTTCTCATAGAGTAAACACTCTATTACTAAACCCTTGCCAATGACGTTTATAAAGTTTGAGAACATGTCGAGTGTTCCTCAATATAACTTTATGTGTATAGCTAAGGGTAAGGCTCGTGAAAAATACAATATTTCTGTCGTGCAAGCAATTTATTCGCAATTCGTTTCATTTAAACTTCAAAGGTTTTAATAAGCATATTATTATTTTCATTATGCTCCAAATTTGAACCACGTAAAATGCAACTTGTAAGTAATTACCGCCGTTGTAGATTTCGCTGTATGGTAAACCGTATTTAAAAATTAACAATATGTAGATGAAACATACTCATTTCTGACTCTATCTTAAGATCTCATAATTCTATCGTGATAAACACAATGATGTCGCTAACAATTCAACAGACCAGAAACCGGACAGGGATTTTGGACACTGGACAAAATGCCAATCTTCATTTACATTTCTTTTGATGTATTATATTTTTAAGATGATACGTATTCCAAACGATAAGCGGATACCGCTTAAACTACGAACTGCACAGTGAGCGTATGACACCGCTGTATCGAAACACAAGTGCAACGAACGACTCATTTGAAATCCGCCAAAGGGCCGAGTGCGCTCAGTTCCCCTTCTCGGTGACGAGGTGATCGAATTATTCCTCGGAAGAGACTTAAACACTCGAAGTGAATCACCCCTGCCCGATATCTAAACGACTCGACCTGTTCATCGTGAAATTGTGCTTTTGTTTCATACATTGTCCGCCTGGCCTTTGCAGCTCGACGGCGCCCCCTGACGCACAAAATACGCCTTAACGCGCGACCGCCGCTCTCGAGGTAGGGGTCAACGGACGCCGCCAGATGGCGCTCGCTAGTGGGATAATGGGGAAATAAATGGGTGGTGTTGTTTCGTGCGGTGCCGAACTCCAAACGGAAATCTGCTACCTGGGATATATCATGTTTGCTACGGGGGAGATTATATTTTTATCGGGGCACAAATGGTATTCTTCTCGAAAAAGATACTCAAATATTCTTGGGCTTGCAGTTTCTTTCTTTATGATCTGTTTAATTTATATCAGAAAAATGTTAACGCAGTAGCTGGGGTCAAGCAAGATGATCTTGAAAGTTGTAAATGAAATTGTGAAGAAATTGTATTAATATTTTAGAACTTACGGCCTAAAATATTACTTTTGCATCTATTGTTATTGTATTCAACGCTAAAAGAACAATCAGCAAAGACGAAGGTGACAAGAATAACTTGTGGAGACATAAAATTGTTTACGTAATGAATAGGACCTCAGTTTTTATGCAGTTAAATATAACAAACGAAACGAAGCTGGCAGAAATGTTATCGAAATCGTCGCATCAACTATATATTTGGATACGTCTTACTACAAACGGAAATCCACTCCCAGCACACGGCGAGGTGACCACGTCTGCGTTGTAAATTCTCAAGATCAAAGACGGGCTAATTTCATAGTCGATCGCCATTTGCAAAAGCCCCGTGCTTATTTGTAAAACTCGTGAGTTTGCTCGAAAAAGTTAGAGCAACCACGCTGTGTGTGCCCACCGCGTCATTACATCGACAGTTCATAACACAATTCTAATACGGTTTTGTACGCAACAGGTCATCCTTATGGTGGGGATGCCCGGTTCGGGCAAAACTTACTGGGCGAAGCAGCACTCCGCCTCTAATCCGGATAAGCGGTACAACATCCTGTCGACGGGCGCCCTCTTCGACAAGATGAAGGTACGTGTCTCGGATTAATTGGAAAAGGCACACTTCACAGGACAACACCAGCTTGAGAGCCAAACGTTCCGTTTCTACGTTTGATATCGAATTTTTCAAAGGAAATTGTCCTAAACACATTATTAGCCGCTCGCGATGCTACTATTCCAATAGACTTTTCAGAAGTGGATAATCAACTTCTACTGGAAATTAATAAGTTCAGTTATGTATAACTTATGTATTTCAAGCTTGGATTAGATTCGGACCCCGTTTAATTTTCGCATTAAAGTGTATGTGAAAAATAACAAATCAGAAACTAATAATTAAAACACTCGTTGAGTTAATATTGTTCACGGGGAATATTTTATTTAAACAATTAATTGTAATTTAAAATTGTTCGATCGCAAAACTGAATTAATGATGACCGTTGCCTTTGACACCTGCACAAATTCACACAACATACACGACACTGCACAAACCATACTAAAAAAGTTTCCTTTTCAGCATAAGGGTTTGACAACAAAACGATTGAACTGCCATTGCACCTTTTAAGTACTGTCACAAAAACTAATGCCAGTCTGTATTTTCAACAGGGCGCAAATAACAAGCATCATTTATTGCAAAGTATACGCGTTTAAAAAAAAAAACAATTCAATGACCTGTAGCGGTCGAAACGACCATAGCAGTGTTATATGATACCAGTGGATCGACGCAGAAAGGAAGAGGAGGACGTTTCAAGTCTTGCCAGCGCGGACTGTCCCTGGTATCCGAATATAAGATTATTCTCCTAGAGTTAAGTTAGCGTGTAAGCGGTAAAGCGCCCTGTGTTCGCTTGCATGTGACCGTGTTTACCGTTGCCCTCGATCTCAGGTGGACTGTAAACCTTTCCGGGCGAGCTACGAGGGCCGTTGGGACGCGATGGTGACCAAGTGCGCCAAATGCGTGCTTAAATTGTTGGAAATCGCCAAGGGACGCAGGAGGAATTTTATCCTCGACCAGGTGAGACCCCAGCCGAACGTAACAGTAAGTTTGCTCGCTCCGGCAGGCACTTAATCAGGAACAATCGAGATCGATCCGCTAGATGGGCGTTTGGCCAAGTCCCCTTTACTGTTGCCATCGCGCTAATCGACTTTCTCTTAGCAGTGTAGCCACACCGCGAAGGTACGTTTTTTTAGTAATGTAAGTTTTGCAAACACCACAGACTGTGATAAAAGAATACTAATGTGCTCGTTTCTAGATGCAGCCACGGTGAGTATCTAGATTAAGGGAGCTATGTAGTAACTTTGCCAAACGAAAGCCAACCCCGAAAGGTGAATGTTAAAGCGTCTGGGATCTCTATTGAGCTTGTTCTAGGTGTCTAACTGCCGTATGCACCTGGACGTTGCCTATAATATGATTCGTTTTGCTCCACATTAACGCCGACGGTACGACGCGCCGACCGATATATATGTCCGCTGTAACGCTGTGTAAAACAGACGAACGTATACCCGTCGGCTCAGAGGCGCAAGTTGAGGGAATTCGACGGTTACCGGCGTGTCGCCGTAGTGATTGTCACTGACGAGGAAACTTACCGGGAGCGACAGAAACGGCGGGAGGAGGCCGACGGCAAGGAAGTGCCTGACGGGGCTATCGTGGACATGAAAGGTTGGTAGCCGCGAAATGTCCATAAATGCGACGAAACGACTAAAAACCATTCCAGCCGTAAGTCCATAATCACTTGTAACGGACACATGAATACACCGCCCCCTTGCGAACAGACGAGCTTAGTCGCGCCGACGTCTAAACGGTACCGAGGAGTGTCGCTCTGTAGTTCCGGTTAGCGCGGAGCGCGGCTATGTGCAAACACTTCACCCCGTTCTGACCCGATCGTTACCCTGTAGCCAACTTCACCCTGCCGGAGAAGGGGCCCTGGCTCGACGACGTGATCTATCCCGAGCTGCCGGAGGAGGAGGCGAGGAAGATCGTAGAGGCGTTCCACAAGGAGGCCAAGGCCGCCGGCGTGGTGAGGGACAGGGAGAAGAGGGACCGCTCCGCGAGCAGGGACGCCCCGCCCAGCAAGAGGCCGCGCGACGGCGACAAGCGCTACGGCGGCCGCGACGACAACAGGCGCCCACGCGACTTTGGCCGCGACAGGGGTGAATATACTTTAGTTTCTTTTTAAATGTCCTTACTGAAGGTAAACTAGCATTAGCCTGTGTTGAGGACGTTTAGAAAGTTTAGGCAACAGACCCTTTTTATGTAAGAAGAAAGCTAGCGAGCTGCCGGTTCAGCTGTGATGTTAAGGTGATAAACGCCGCCCATGGCAACACCCGCAAATGGGCGGTTTTCTACGACCCCGACGTGACTATGGCCCTTTTGGGCCTCGTCTTCTAAATGCTGCTGTGCTGGTGCATACCGGACGGACCTGTCCATTCGTGCAACGGCTTTCCGCGTGGCAAGGCACAGAATTTAAGTACGACTATTGACTGTTGCAGAGGACCGATGGGGGGGCGGCGGCGGCGGTCGTGGAGGCGGTGGGGGCGGAGGCGGAGGCGCCGGCCGCTGGGGCCCGGCGGCGCGCGGCGGCCGCTGGGGGCCCAGGGAGCGCGGCGGCGGAGGGGGCGGAATCCACGGAGGGGCGCCCCCGGGACGCTTCGACCGCCCGTGGGGCCCCCCGCACAACAATCGGTGAGCGGCTGCGGCCAAACATTGTACTCGTATTTCGAATGCCTAACTAGAAGATCTATTTTAGTTCTTCCTTTCGAATACATTGCCTCTTACTGTTGGATATTTGTTTTACAAGGGTACATAAATTACACATGAAGAAAAACACTCAGATCCGGAATTATCTGTGGGTCACACAATAATGTATGTGCTTGTGTAAGCATGTAAGAAGTTGTACTTCCTTAGCGTAACAAAAGAAAAATAACTAAAAAATTTATCTCGTGTGCCAGTACTCTCTGTTTGTGAAAAAATACATCAAATGCAATTCGTTTAATTAAACTACTTGGAATTATAAGTAAATGTCAAGAAGTTATTGTTAGCCACGGTAACACCGTGAAATCGCTGTCGCGCATAATCATCAATATCAAAGTGAGTATAACCTTAAATAGAAATACAACTAACGTACACAAATACCGTTGCGGTCGCAGCAACGAGTTCGGCGGTCGCAACGACTTCGGCAACGAGCACCGCGACAACTTCCGCGGGGGCCGCGGCGGGCACGGCGGGCCGGGCGGCGCGCGGGGCCCGGGCGGGCCGGGGCCGCACGGGGGCCCCGGCGGGCCAGGGGGCCCGGGCGGGCCGCCCATGCGCGGCGACCGCGGCCCCAGGCCGCCCCAGATGGGCGACGGCTCGCGCTTCAGCCGCGACCGCCCCAACAACAGGGGCCCGCCGCAGCCGGACAAGCGGCCGATGCCTGGTAGGGACTCTTTTTTAACTTTGTAACTGCGTTGTTCGTTATTTATTTATCATATGTGTACGAAGCGGATTTTATTATGTCAACCTATATGGGGTGGGTTAAAAATCAAGTTGACTTAAATCATACTTAAAATAGTGTTGCTACTCATATGAAAAAATATAATAACGATACTATGTATTACAATATTAACTTACAATAAATTAAACATATTTAAATATACAAGACATAATATGTAAAAATTATTACTTACATACTTAATTGATGTCATTGTCACTAGTATAATTATTATATTGGATTATAACTTCCTTGATCATTTGATGTATACTTACATATTTACCCACATCATTTCTATTCATTTTAATAATAATGATACCATTATTGGTATAATTTTTCATAGAGCGGAAAATGAGACTGCGGTTCTGTTGTAATTATTTGTATTTGTAAATGTTTGACTTCAACTTAAGTCAAGCCATGGGTAAGAGTAGAAAAGAGACATGCTAAAGTTTCGAGATTTTGCCAGGCAGTTGGAAGGTTTCTTGTTTTTTGTCACATGTATATATGTGTATAAAATTTTAAAATGTCATTAATGTAGTAGGCGGCAATCTCGGTGGCGGTGTCGGCGCCGGTGCTGGGGGCGGGAGCGGGGGCGGAATGGGCTCTTGGCAGCGCGGCGGCTCGGCCAACCAGCAGGCCAACCGGGGGCCCAACAGGGGTCCCCAGGGGCCCGCGGGCATGCAGGGGATGCAGGGCGCCCAGGGCCCGCAAGGCGTCGCAGGGCCCCTGGCCAACCAGGCGCGGCCTCCCCCAGCCCAGGGATCCAAGGTGAGATAATCGTTTTAAATTGTTGACCCGATTGGCGTAGTGGGTGGTGCACCTGTCTCTTGCGCTATGGGGAGTGGTTTTGATTCCCACTGCTGGAAAAATATTATGAACATGATGTTTTTTCAGTGTCTGGGTGTTTATATTTATAATATGTATTTATTTACAAAGAAAAGTAGTTTTAAGTATGTTTATCAATTATCTAGTAACCATAGTAGGACAAGCATTGCTTAATTTGGGACTGGAGAATGTTGTTTAAAAATGTGTCCTCGATATTTATTAGGAAATTGACAATAAATTACCGTAATCTATAACATTATCTTACCTTATTATGTTCTCTCCTAAATGCTTTATTTTAATTAGAAAAAAACTTTTTTGTCAGGAAATTGCAAACCCGAGCCAGAACCAAACTCAGAGCCAGAACCAGAATGCGCAAAATGCCAACCAGGCTGGTTGGAACCAGTGGGCCAGCGGCTGGGGTGGATGGGGGGGCAACTGGAACCAAAATCAAGGTATAAAAAGTCTCAGTTTTATATGTAACAATATGTCATTAACTACTTTTGAATATTAACTAAGATTTGGAGTTTCAATTAGTATATTTACCATATCATTACAGATGTGCTAGTGCAAAAGTAATGTTAATATTTTACATAAAAAGGAGTAATGTAGCAAACCATGTCCAACAACCATATGTCCTACTGCTGGGCGGAGAGTATTAGACTCAACCTTACCATCAATTAGCTGATTAAAATAAATTTTTATTTATCTTTTCTTAAATATTCAGGTTTCATCACAATAGAGCATGTAGGAGATTTACCACATTAGGATTTACTTAAGTTGTATAAAAATACTGAACTGCTTATTTATCTTTGCCTGAAAGAATGTTTAGATAAGAGGTTCGGTTTTAGTTCATTCACAATTCAGTCTTCAACGTGTTTTGCTCTATAAATTTGAATTAGACTTTACAAGAATAGGGTATGTAAATGTAGCTTATTCATTGTATTTTAATGTTTTTTAAGCAGGCTGGGGCAACTGGGGTAACTGGGGCTGGGGCAACCCAGCAGCGCAACAAGGCAACAACCAACAATCTGGTGGTAGCGGTCAGACTCAGAGTGCTGGCGGCAAAGGCAACCAGGCCCAGGGCCAGAACCAAACTCAGACGGGTCAGAATCAACAGTGGCCAAACAATTACACCGCCCAGCAATGGTACCAGTGGCAACAATGGCAACAGCAACAGCAAGGATGGCCTGGGGTTAGTTAGCATTTTTTTTAAATAATGGGAAGGTGGCAAAGGAGCAGTTCACCTGATGTTAAGTGTAAAGGCGTCGCCAATTGACATTTGCAAGAGGCACTTGTAGATTTGCAGATACATTGCCACCTTTTAATAAAGTATGCCTCGGCTTCCGCAAACACCAGACAAAATGCAGAAGTACAACTCTCCCACTTTCCACCGGTGCTCTGTGATGTTGTGGTACTTACTCGGATGGACCTATCCATTCATGCAATAAAGACTTGTGTGGCTATACAACAGTTAAAATTTTCCGTATCTTTTGGCTACCAGCTTATGCAAACTTCATGGACGACTTGTCCTCTGCAAGGAATCTTTTGTTGTGACTGTACTCAATCTATGGTTAAAATTCTTTATCATTATTTACAATTTAAGTATTTGTGATAGTTTTAGTTTAGATTTTGAAAAAAGTTCTTCTGATTGCCATTGAACTGTAGTTCAATATCTATAGCTATATAATATGTATAAAAATCTTCACATGAATTATACAGACATGTATGATTTTATAATATCATTATTGTTTCTTCAATTTTCATGCTTTCATGATTTCATGGGTATGTTGAAATATTGCAGATTTTAAATTCACATAATATTTACTGTGTAATTTTATTTTAATTGGATTAATATTTGCTTCAGTACCAACAGTCGCAAGGCAATCAGCAGACTGGCAACATGGATCAGCAAGCTTGGGCACAGTACTATCAGGTAATTTACATTTCATTTCATGGGAATATGTGTACGTAATAGCTCATTGTTCGGGCGAAAAAAACTTCACTATGTTAAATATTTGCTCTAATAATTTTTTCCAATGCCGAAAAAAGAAATATAACTTCTTAAAAATGTGTCGTTTCTGTTGCAGAACTACGGCGGAGCGAATGCCGGCGCAGTGACCGGCGTCCCAGCGCCCACCGAGAAGAAGTAAGACCGCACAGGTCTTCGCTGATACAGAAACTATTCCAAAAACGATCCGTGTGAAACTAGAAGACGAATTTTCGGACCTCTAATTATAAAACTTAATTGAACTTTAGAATTTTATACATCGCAAGCGCAATATAACATCACGGTCGCACTAGGAGAGCGTTTACAGACGCTAAATTCGTTTGCTCGCAAACTTTAAGTATAAATATGAATCTTCAGTTAACATATTCTTATTTCATGTAAGCATTGTTTATTGGCTTAATCGCTGACACTTTGAATTGAGTGTTTCACTAAAAAGTTTTCTGGATACTTAATTTAAATCGCACTCTTATATCAAACTTAAAGCACTCTTGTTCCAAGGTCAATGCTATCACTGATACAATGTTACTATTTCGTTTTAATAAGGCACTGTTACATATTTACATTAATGCAACTGTTTTTATAAAGGTAATAACCCTATCTTGATTGAAATGGGCAAACCTAGGGTAATTCTGATTTGATGTATTCAATTATTTGTAGCAAATAAGACTTTGGGTAAGGTTAGTTATATAGAAGACTCAGTTTTATTTGGCTAAGAGCTTAAAACTGTTTTTTTTTTGTCTTAAAATTTAAACGATACTATATTTTTATAGTGATTTGTGAGATGCATTCACTTTCCACAGTTCTTGTAACCTACAAGGAACATGTGACGTGTTACAGTATATAACGTGCTTGTAACTTTCCCGTGAGAAACGTTTACCGATTGTGTTTGTATAATAACGATAATATATTTTAGGAGTAATTGAGACGAGAGCTTGGTCTCGTAGTAGTTAAGGTTTCTAAATAGATTAGAACTTGACACATCTGCACCTTGAAACTTCGACGTGTCGACATAGAGTTTATTTTGCAATGCCCGATCGGTAGTAGCTGTGTGAATGCGTGTGTGTGTGCGTGTGTGAATGCGAGTACACGGTGTACTGTAATACGTGGTCTTAAGTTTCGGGCGTTATTTTGATGCAATTGAATTGATTTTAATAAAAATTGTACCAAGTAGTGTTGCTGTTTTAATCTCTTTTTTCCTTTGAACCCCTAGATTTCATCATCATTAGATATTCATATAAATTATCCATTACCCATTTGTTATAGTCTAGACTCTAGACTGAGACTTGAAGTTCCCATACATGTAACGTAAGCGTTTAACGTGTACCTATAAAATAAGAACTAAAACGTACACTTCGTTGAAGTCTGGCAAGACGGGTTCATATACAATTTAAATTAGTACGGAGTGCCCGATTGTCTCGTATGCATAATACTAGACTGACGCCCACTTTCTGAAACACTGATCATCGTAAACGTTAACTAACTAATCAGCTGTCAAATGGTTTTTCAAATTTCATTTGAGTTGCCAAAAGGATGGTTTTATGATCAGTGATTTGACTAAGAATGAAAGTGTTTTCACATACTTTGGATTCGATTCCCACACGGACAACTATTTGTGTGACCCACAGATAGTTGTTTCGCATCTGGCTGTTTGTCCGCGTAAAATTTATGTTTCTAAAACGTCCATACAACACAGGATAATGTTATCCTAAAGTAAGGGCATCGTTTTTAAAAAACAAAAAATAAACTTTATTTTAAACGAAAGTACAAAGTACTTTTCGCTCGCGATAAAGCCCTTAAATAAATATCTTTCTTTAAAAACTATATCGACGCTTGAAAGGCAACCCTAACTAAGCGACACTTAGCAAATTTTACAGGAGAGTGATTTAAAGTTCAAATATAAATTTAAAAAATCATAAAAATTCAACCTATTGTTCGATTTAAATGATGATAACACTGGTAGAATTAATTTTTTTGTGGCTATTGAAATTGTCACAATAAGACAGCTCACACTTATAAACACCAGTTTGTGTCGGGTAGATAAAATTTACCTGATTTCATAAACAGGTAAAATTATATAAGTCATCACTGTAGCATATGCTGTAACATGTAAAAATAGGTAAATTTACTTAGTTTAAAATTTTGATACAGAAAAATTGATCTAAAATAATCAGAGTTTAAATTAATAAATCAAGTAAATTTACCTAACCATTATTTAATGATTTTTGTGATTGTGGAAATTCTATCTAGTTATTAAAATTACTCCAAACCTAGCTTCGTAATTGACATTAAATCAAAAACTGTATTGGTAAATCAAGCATAAAAATAAATGAAATCAATTATGTGGACTAAAATTCTTTATTAAAATTAAACAAATGCGCTACGTACAAAATTAAATAAGGAAACTAATTAACCTAACATAATGTAACGACCTATTAATAATAATAAATATTATTATTAATTAGTCATAATAAAGATCAATTAAGATGAAAATAAAACGTTTAAAAACGTTTAATCACAATAAAAGTTAATAATATATACTTAAATTAAAGAAATATAAGTGTTAGTATGAGAAAATGATATTACCAAAAATTGATAAAAAATAGTTAAAAATCACTTAAAATACTCAAAAACGGATATTTATTAAAAATATAGCAAGAGACGATCACTATTATGTCCATTAAATACAATTCCATACTTAGTGATTTCTAAGGGAAGTAATATGTACCGTGCGGGGACACATTTGTATGACCGCACATATGTAAGTACAGAGGTCGATCGCGACTCTTAGTACTATAGTCAAAGTACATTGTATGAACGTCCCATACCAATATCATATGGAAGTAAGGTCTAATGAATAAAAGTAATAATATGTGAAGGCTCAGAGAAAAAAATAATAAATATATAAATATAATGAAGAGCAATGAATGACTTGGGACTTTATAAGACATATTACTATGGAGTTGCGTGGTACTTCTGTACGACGATATGGTCTACGGTAAACGTGGAACCATGAATGGATATGTCTTCAGTGGTGGACATATCATCGATAGCTGGTGGTAGTTGGCGTCTTAGTGACCATCACTATGATACGTTGGCTGTCATTCGGCATAGTAAGAGGTTGGTGGTAGTTGGCGTCTTAGTGTGTTGCACTATGATACGTCGACGGATCATCTGACTTTGGGGAGTCTGGTGGTGGCTTGCGTCTTAGTGTATTCCACTATGATACGTTGGCTATTACTTGGCTTGGGTGTGGGGGTCCGTTGGTGGTTGGCGTCTTAGTGTTTACGCTATGATACGTCGACTATCATTCGGATCGTGAAAGAGTATGTTTGGAAACTTCGTGTGTTCCGAGCATATTCTAAATTTTGGAGCCGAAGTTGATTGGAGTTGTATTGGTGTGGTGTGAGGGTGTGCCACCTACGCGATAGTCACATTGATGCATGCGGCTATATGCAGTAATGCGTCTTGTGGTATTTGCGGGGTGATCTGCGCCTAATATCATTGCATCGTATGAGTCTGGTTGATGGAGGTTCGAGGTGATGATGTCTGCTGTGTATGCGGATAGGCTGTATGTTGGCGTGTTGACCTGCGATAGTTGTATTGATGCATGTTGCTTTTGGTGACATTGCGTCTTGCGACATTTGCTTGGGAGACGACGCTATTCATAATGGCCGAGTCTGCGTCTCGGTTTGATGCACATCTCAGTAGATTTGTCCAAGTCGGGTTCCTGATGACGGAACTGCAGACTGTCTGACCTCTTTATACGTTTTATCATTATTAACGAATCTCAGTAAAGTTCCCACCGTTCGAACGAATAATGGCAACTTGCTGGTGGGTGAGACAAACTTGATCGAAAATACACTATACTCAACGTCAGAGACACTGACAAATAAATATATGTTGCCAATTATAAACCCTTCTGATGGCTAAACATAAAATCACAACTATGGCTATATCTGACTATTTCAATGGTTGGTGGAGCATATGCGTTTACCTCATGTGGATGGTAGCTGGCGGGAGAAAACCTCTCAAGGTTGCGGCGATGCCGTGCAACGTTTTAACCATACCCTTGGGGCTACGCGCTCTGCGACGAAATGTCGTGCTAACCTTTTTAATGGTGGTGATGCCAAAACACTAACAATCACGTCTGCAGTCGCGGCGGTCTGGCAAAAGTGGTGGCGCTTACGGAGGGCTTATTATATCATAGGGCCAGAGTGCCTGATCTTTAACACATGCCCAAAACCGTATTGACGTACATTCACGAAGACTGGATTTTTGTCGTCGGCTTGTATGACGTTTACACGCATTGACATGCGCGACTTCGGTCAAAGTTTGTGCTTACGCAATGCCAAGGGGCCAAGCCCTCTTTATGCTGGTAAAACAGCTTTGCAATGGACTTCGGTCCTTTCCCCAACTTTTTGTCCCTCTTCTGGGGGGGGGGGGCGCAATATGTTGGTTGGCGCTCACCGCACACGGCGTTGGTGAGTGTTTTCATGGAGCCGTGTGCCTTCCCTACATTTTTTTAAAATGTGGGGGAGCCGTAGACTTGTATCGGGTGTGTAAAATTGATGTGAGCCCTTTTCAAGAGAGAAGGGATATTAGTTCAAAATTAAATTGTGAGCCCTTTACAAGCGTGAGAGGGAGTATACTATATACTCTGAGCCCGTCTCAAGCGAGTCGGGATTAGTTAATAAGAAAGCAATCTAGCATTATCTCTGGCTTATACCACAACTAGTGAATATTTATCTATCCAAGATCCACCTAAAAGAATCAAGTTACTAATTAAACACAACGTAAATGAGGTCCTACCGAATATGACGATCACAATAATATTTTATACGGCTAATTATTACCTTTAGAAAGATCCTATAGAAAGATCAATAAATTATCCTGGTCACGTAATGATGTTATATGATTTATTCATATAATGGGGGAAAAAATATATAAGTTATAATTATATATACGCAATAAAAGGAGGGGTGCGAGTTACAATAACATTTAGTCTGAGATCATCTTAAATTGAACAATTGTTATTGCAGTCGCAATCATAAATTACACTATCATGAAGATGACTCATTTTCTAAAAAACTGTAACTAACAATTTTAGGTAAATGAATTATCATGAATAAACTATTAAAC